GATTCTATCAATCTGGATAAAAGCAGCCACAGCCTAAATTTTCCAGATCAACAAGTCTGCCGCCCTTCATCTCAGTCTCCTGCAAAGTCTCAGAACATGGGCAAACTATAGACAAATTTTTCCAGAGTACAATACCCTGCCTATGGTCTAATCGCCAATGCAGTCCTTTTTCTAGACAAAGTGCCTTTGCTGTTCATATTTCTAGCAGTGTTCTGGTCTTTTTGAGCCCTGATCAGAATCACAGGGCTCTGCTCATTCTAGGGTTTCTCTGGTCTGCAGCTCCAAACTTTTCCAAAGTCCTCCTGCAAACCGGTTTCAAGGTATCTAAATCACATCAAGTACAGTCCCGGAGTGACTCCACTTCTCTTAGTATCAATTTTCCCTATTAGGCAGTGTTCCCATTGCTGGAGCCAAATATCTAACACCTACAGCTGAAAAGATAGTTTACCTAGCTCACGATTTCAGAAGATTCAGTCCATGGCAGACGTCCATGGCAACACAGCAACATCATTGTGGAAGGGCCCGACCAAGCAGAGCTGCTTCCTTCATGGGGCCAGGGAGCAGAGCAGGGGATTGGGTCCATAGATGAAGGGACCAAGAACTATATATTTGTTGGGCGCAGGCGCTCAACATACCATACCCCACCCGGGACTAAGGACCACGCCAGCTTCCGCAATGCGCTAAGTCCCTCTTTAAATTAGCCAACCCGTGCGCACCCCGCGCTCACTCGTACTCTGTGGCAACTCCTGATTGGCCACAGCTGGATATAGTAGCCAGAGCCTGCATCCCATTCCCGCCCTGCTTCCTTGTGGCAGCCTGTGATTGGTCACGGCCAAATATATAAACCAGAGCCCGCGTAAATAAACTAGCAGTTAACTGTCGTCCACAAAAGCGTCTCCTGTCTCCTGTTTCATTGGGGAGCTGTGCCGGTCATATATTGTTCCCAACATTCTGAAAAGGACTCTGGCTGGAAGTCAAAAGCATTCTGGAAGGCTGAAGCAGGAAGATTGCAAGTTCAATTTTTTTTTTTTTTTTTTTTTTTTGAGACAAGATCTCACTGAGCAGTTCAGGCTAGCCTTGAACTCACTATCTAGCCCAGGCAGGCCTTGCACTCATGATGCTCCTCCTGCCTCAGCCTCCTGAGCACTGGGATTACAGTTATGTGCCACACACCTGGTCTGTTACCATTTCCACTTCATAACAGAGGAAGCTGAGGCACAGCAGACATCAGAAGCTTAGCTTTTAACTCCCAGGCCAGCACTGCCTGTAATAAAGTTTGCAAGTTTCCACCTCATCTGTCCTCGCTACTGGAACGTGGGCTCAGAGGCGGGGACCCCATCTGATGCACACAGGTATTTCATGGACATGCTGGGATGAATCGATCTCTTGGCCCACATGCCATCTTGACTGCTTGGGACACCCGCTCCCAGCAGGGCTGTGCTCCGGGAACTATAATCAAGGCCAGAGCTTCCAATCCCAGGAAACGCGCCCCTGGCAGCAGCACCAGAAGCAAACCACCTGCTTGGACCATGTAGACCAAGGTGGAGCCAAAGCCACGCCCTGCAGGGGGTGCTCGCAACCTGGTGGCAGAGCGCTGAGAAGGCCACGTCCCAGGGGACAGAAACCTTTACCTGGGGTAGGGTGGGACTGGCTCCTGAAACAGGCATGAAAAAAATCGTGCCTTGCTGGGGACTCAGGCCAGTGGATACCAAACTTCTCCATGTTGCCCAGTAAAAAATCATTTCATGTGAACGTAATTTCACAAAATGATACCACCGCAAATGGGAAGGGGACCTAGAAAGAGAGGGAGGAGAAGGGAGCGTAAAATGAAATAAAACAACTGGGCGTACAAAGTGAGCTCAAGACCAGCCTGGACTTCATAGAGAGAACCTGTCTGAAAAAGAAAAAAAAAGTAAAAAGTGTCATGTCCGTGTTCTAATGTCATATGATTGTGTTATCACTATGTACAACAAATGGGTACAAATAAAAATAAGAATTTTTTTAAATGATGCCACCCCATTGCACTCTTTCTCTGATCAAGTTTAAATGATTTCCTGGCTTGTCTGGGAGTGTTTTCCTTCATTATCCTTGATTATTTCTGCTGACGAAGAGACAATGGGGGAGGAGATGGCTTCCACATCACTTCCCCCAAAGCCACCCCCGCCACACAGGCTGCTGGCCACATTCAAGGGGGCTCTGATTTCAGGATGAGGAACTGGGCTCAGAGCAATTAAGGCCCTTGTCCAAGGCCACGCAGCACGGATGCCACAGAGCCAGTTTCTGCCTCATTCTTGGAGGAACAAATCCTAAATGTTCCTAATCTCATCGTTATCCAGTGAAACCAGTAACCTGAGAGCCCCAAAATGTCATTAACCACCTACATCTATCACCACCAGGATCGCTGTTCTCAACAGGGTCACTAGCGTCACCATCACCACCACCACCCTCACTGCCTCAGAGCAGGTACCCAGACACCAGCCTTTAAGCTTCCAGCCACCCTTCATTCTTCCTGGTCACTCTCTGTGTCTTCAAACTTATATTCTCTGGTGTTCTTTCCAGCCTTAGCCAGGTGAAGGTCACGAAGTGCCGTCATGTTGGGAATATGAGGAATATCAGTTTGATCCTATGGCTTCTCTATTATGGCCTCAAACCAGGTGTGGTGGAACACGCCTGTGATCCTAGCACTTGGGAGGCTGGGGAAGGATGATTGCTGCAAAGTCAATTCAAGGCCAGGCTGAACTACATAGCAAAACTCTGTCTCAAAAAGACAAAAAAAAAAAAAAAAAATACTAATATGGCTCAAACGTACCTGTGCATGAAGCCAGGAGGAGGTCTACACGGGACAGGTCTGGGCCTTTGAGGTGGACAAGACCTGGGGTTGGCCTGAGTCCCTGCTGCTGCTGTAGTTGACGAGCCCAATATGGGGCAGGCAATGGCATCTAAGGTCTTTGGTCAACTGTGCTCCCCCTCTTGCATTTGGCGGTCAGGAGGAGAAAGTCCCTTTGGGACAGAATTGGACTCTGTTCCACCCTGAGGTGAGACCTGCAGGGCCCCAGAGCAGGAAGAGGGAGCAGCAGCTCCACTCCAGCAGCCGTGACCCAGGAGAGCTGCTTTTTCTGTCTCCTGAAATACATCTGTTAATTTCTTGTTGATTCTTCTATCCCCAGAACCTCGTACAATCCATGAGATGTAGGAAGCACTCAATAAGTATTTGTCAAATTAATGGGGAAAGAGATGGAGGGGACCCACTCCCTCCACAGCTCTGCAGAGGTTTCTAAAATTATTCCAAAGGATCTGGTTGGGCGTGAGGCATCCACCTGTAATCTCAGCACTAGGGAGACTGAAGCAGGAGGATTGCCACAAACTCCAGGGCAGCCTGGGCTACACAGAGATTGCAAGGCCAGAATGAACTACACCATGCAACCCTGTCTTAAAAAACAAAAACAAGGGGCTGGGGATTTAGCTCAGCGGCATAAGCGCCTGCCTTGCAAGCAGGCAGTTGTGAGTTCGATCCCTGGTACCGATAAAAAGGAAAAAGACAAAAAAAACAAAGAGGGGCTCGGAATATGGCTTAGTGCTGCAGTGTCTGCCTGTCAAGCAGGAGACCCTGAATTCAATGCCTGGTACCTCTAGTATGGGGACTGAACCCAGGAAGTGTTGAACTACATCCTCAGCTCCTTTTTATTTTACATTGACATAGGTTTTCATTAAGTTACCCAGGCTGGTCTTAAAGCTGGTGACCCTCCTGCCTCAGCCTCCCTAATAAACAGGACATACACATACAGCACCATACCTGGCCAGACAGGAACTGAAGAAACATACTGATCAGGTGCCCTAGACATGTGTGAGAATTAACTCATTCCAGCTTTCTTGTTCTCTGTTGTGGGGACCCTCCCAGACTGCGCCAAAGTTCAGGGCATATAAGGACACATCCAGAGAGCCCTGAGGACACGCCCCACAGGCGCACATCGGGCCTAAGTATGCAACCATGACTTAGCAGTGGGCAACTGCACAAGCGCCAATGAGGCCAGCATGAAAGAATGTACGTGAGTGATAATGACCTGGATAAAATATATACAACAGAGATGTGGTGGTTCTTGTGCTCTGCTCGACTCCACGCTGCCAGCTGTTGCTGCTGTCACTGGTAAAAATCTCCCTTGGGCCCCCAGGGGGCTGATACCTATTCATAAAGCAACACTGTAACAAAGGATTCCAAAAATTCTGGAAACTGTTCTCTCTATAAGAAAGTTTTGATTCTCAAGTGCTGTTCCACTTACTCGTTGGCTGCCCTCTGGATGACATCCCTGAATGTAAACTGTCTGCACACACGGATGTCTCGTCAGCTCTCTTTTCTCATATGCATTCTCATATGCAGGGATGGGCATTATTAAAGCCCACGACTCCACAAGACTGAGTGTTGTACAGAGAACTAAGGAGCCCTGTCTGGGTCAAATGTAGAAGGCTACGTGGACCACATGTGGCTCAACTTCCGGGCTGGCAGAGAATGCATGGGAGGTGGTGACAGCTGCTTGACCCACAAACAAATGTCACCCTCACCCTAAATCAGATTCTTGAGCTCTTCTCTCTTCTGAAGGTTTTCTTACAAAGTCCACATGATGGAACTGGGTACTTGAAAACCAATACACTAGGACTACTTTATTTGCTTTAAACACTTCTTTCCTGCGGTCCTACTCTTTTTGTCTTGATAAAAGCAAATTAATCAAAGATGGTCAAATCAGAGGTTTGGTTTCCTGTGTTTTGTCTTTTGACTATGGATGGAGTTCTGGACTGTATCCCTATTCGCGGAGCACTTTCAGTTCTGAGGTAGAGTAGACAGGAGGATGTGACTGTATATAAATACTGCGCCGCTGCATATAGGGCACCTGCACACATATAGATCCTGGTATCCACAGGAGTTATGAGACCAGTCCCCTCCAGACACCAAGGGATGACTGTACTTATAATCAGATATTTTTGAGTACTTACTTTGTGCCAGGCTATCTGTTATCAACTCATTTTATTCTCACACAAAAAACAAAACTTCCTTTAAGGTATGTAGTTATCACTCATCCTGAGGGGAATGAGACTGGAAGCACTACCTTCCTGAGTTAGAAGGGTAGGTCGATTCTCTGTTTGGATTAAGATTTGGGAGGGCGTTTGGCATGACTCAGCTTCCCACAGGAGTCATCCACGTGTTCTAAGCCCCCTCCCAACCCCAAGGACAAGAGCAAGGCCAGCTTTGCCTCTGTGACCCCCCAGCTGGCATTAGGATGCCTACAAATATCCCCTCCTTTCCCTCCTCCCAGAAAGGCTGCTCTCCCTGGCCCCACCACCCTTTGAGCCGAGGCACAGCCAAGGGACCTTCCACGGCTGAGCGTGAATAAAGGTGGCCAAGTCACACCCAGTTCGATGCTCTAAAAGCTCTGCCATTTTCCCATCTTTTCACAGGCCCAAAGGACCAGCACCTCTCCAGACAGAGACTGTCCCACTGGCCAGGAGCACACAGATGACATGGAGCAGGCTTCTCGGGTGACCCACAATGGGGAAAGAAATCTTTGCTACATTAGGGCCACTGATTCTAAGGCTGTTTGTCACTGCAGCATAGCCCAGCCTGTCCTGTCTATGCAGCTCCCACCAGAGCTCAAAATGTGGAAGTCTTGAAAGAGGAATGATTGAATGGCAGAGCACAAGCGCCAGATTTTCCCCTGGGCTCGAGGTAGAGGCAGTAGCCATGTCTCGAGCCTGCTCACTCACCAGTTTGAAGGGAATAAGCCTCAAAGTTTGAAAGGTAGGTGACACATTATCTGCTTAGGTTTGGTTTGTAACCAGGCTTGGGTAAACATCCAGCTCTGTCCTTTACCTCCCATGGTCACAGCTCACCTGGTCAATATGGGGGCCTTGGAGGGTAAGGACCAAGGAACTGCAGATGTGGGGACACCAGATGCTGGGAGAGCCGGGCAGTAGAGGTGAGGAGAGGAGCCAGATACGGGGATGCAGAGGAGGAGCAGGGATAGCAGAGGATTAGGCCTAGGAGGCCGGCAACGAGGACAAGCAGATGAAAAGAGGTAGAGGGACAGAGAAGCAGAGGCCTCAGCTGGGAGAGAGAGGCAGAGCGTCCCAAGGCAAAGAGCGAGGCAGAGACACAGAGAAAGCCTGCTGAGGGCCAGGCAGAGCAAGGCGCCTCTACTCATTGCCCTGGGAGTCCTTATTGAAGGAAGCAGACTCTCTGCCTCTACTCTCTGTGCCACCTCCAGGGCTAGTGGACCCCAGGTGGCCACCAGAGCCCTTGGAACTGGAGGCCAGGTTGGACTCAAAGGAGCCAGATTTGAACAGCTGATTTGTGCTAAAACTGGGAATTCCAAAAGTGACGTGGCCAACAGAGCCAGTGCCATGGCTTTTGCTAGTCCTGTGACTCAGGATGGACCCAGGAACCCCACTGCTCTTCCTGGCAGGCCCCAGGACAGGGCTCATGCCAAGGGCCCGGGTGCCAGAGAAGCCAGGGCTCACAGTGCCATCCAGCTTCCTCGCAGCCTCCAACAGCTCCTTCTGGTTCTGTTCCTGACCCAGCTCCAGGAGCTCCACCTAGGGGAGGGAACAGTTGGGGTCCTGGTGGTGGCTGGCTGTGGTCCTTGCCCAGACCCCAAGCCTCCCACTCACCGACTTCATCACGACACGCAGTAGCTCCTCCCTGCTCATGGGGTAGCTGTCTTTTGCCGTGAAGCCAGGAGGGTCCTCTCTAGAGTGGAGAGGAAAAGTCTGGACTCAACCTACAAAATGTCAGTGATGCCTCCCAGCAACTTCCAGAGATCCTCAGCCACTCTGCCTGGCTCTCTTCACTCCAGATACCTGGAGCCCCATCCTCCCATACAGCCCTCTAGCGTTCTCCCTTTCATCTTCTTCCCACCCAAGGCCACCACTGAGGCCCCCAAAATACTCCATCTCTTGGGGCTGGGGGTTTAGCTCAGCGGCATAAGCACCTGCCTTGCAAGCAGGTAGTCGTGAGTTCGATCCCTGGTACCGATTAAAACAAAAAAGACAAAAAAAAAAAAAATCCTCCATCTCATTTGCTCCCTGCACCCCACCCTGCCCTGGGTCTCACAGATTGTCAGGAGGCTTCAGTGTGTCCATTTTCTTTAGAGGATCTTCCAGGCTCTGGCCCAGCACGAGGAGTGCAGCATCAGCCTCTGAAGACTGGTTCTGAGAGTGTCAGAGCAGGAGTCAGCTCCAGCCCGAACCACCCAGGGCACCCGCTGCCTCTGCAGCCCCACCTGCATGTCCAAGAAGGCCTGCACGGTCAGGAGCTCCACCAGCCGCTTCTCAATGATGCCCAGGAAGAGACCTATGTCCTGATCCCGCGAGTGGCCCTTGACCCCAAGGAGGTCATCGATGATCCTGCTGTCACAATGGGCCTTGGTGAAGAGCAGCTGGATGTCTGGAGTCAGGGAGGGACCCGTAGTCAGGGATGTGTCAACCCAGGTCACTGCCACCTGTTCTGTGGTGACACAACCCAGCCCCAAAGGCTTAAAGGCACTTGGCCCAATACTGTTGTGCACCTAACCTCAGGGCTCGGGAGGCCAAACACAAACCCGTTTCATGTCCCCTGTCAGATACCTTGACTAGAAACAAGCCCAACCTCCTGACCCAGTGATCCCCCTGCTCAGGTTGGTGCCTACAGGACACACATGACACACACCATTGAGGTGTGCAGGGCTGTTTTCACCGTCCTCACATCAGACCCAGACTGATCACTGTCCTTGGCTGATTGATAGTGTTGTAACCCACACTCACACTGGCCCCTGCCTCGCCACTTGCATTTTATTAACTGACTACTGTTAATAAAGTAAGAAGGTGGCCCGGACCATCCCCATGATTCTGAATACCTTCATTGCATTTTGTGTACTTTTTTTTTAGACAGGCTACTATGTAGTTCAAAGACAATACATAGTGGCCTTGGACTCACTACATAGCCCAGGCTGACTTGGATTCTCTCTCAGTGATGCTCCTGCCTCACTCTCCTGGGTGCTGGGCATGTGCCACTATGCCCAATCAGAAACGATATGCATTTTAAAGGTTATACAAAGTGGGACATAGTGGTGCATGCCTGTAATCCCAGTACCCAGGAGGCTGAGGCAAGAGGATTACAGTGAGTTCGAGGCCAGTCTGGGCTACGTGAGGAGATCCTGTTGCCAAAAAAGAAAAAAGAAAAGAGCGTATTTTTCCCAACACTGGGGAGGCTGAGGAAGAGGATTGTTGGGAGTTCGAGACCAGCCTGGGCTACAAAGTAAGCTCAAGACCAGCTGAACTGCATAGCAAGATCCTGTCTCAAAAAGACAAAAAAAAAAAAAAAAAAGCATATCACTTTTTTGGTTTTGTTTTTTTGTTTTTTTGTTTTGTTTTGTTTTGTTTTTTGGCTTTTTCCTTTTTATCGGTACCGGGGATCGAACTCAAGACTGCCTGCTTACAAGGCAGGCACTTATGCCGCTGAGCTAAATCCCCAGCCCCCAAGCATACACTTTTAAACTGGATGTGGCAACACACCCCTATAATCCCAGCACTTGGGAGGCTGAGGAAGGAGGTTCACTGCAAGTTCGAGACCAGCCTGGGCTACAAAGTGAGCTCAAGGCTAGCCTGAACTGCATAGCAAGACCCTGTCTCAAGAAAAAAAAAAAAAAAAAACATCGTTTTTATATTTTAACTTCCTAAGAGAAGCCTCAGTGGCATTAATAACAACAGCAAACAATTAAAACTCCTCTAAATGTCCATCCATAAGAAATAGGTAAATCCAAAACATCCATAGTGTTATGGGTTTGTTGGGGACCACAAATCACAAATTGAGTCTAGAAGGCATCCTTGTCTTGTCCTGTAAGCCAGACCAGAAACTCTGCATTTTCTCTTGGTCACAGCTGAAGTCCCACGTCTAGTGATGCTGTGGCACTCACAGGGCAAGATAAAGCCTCCTGACGACAAGCTGGGGATTTAGCTCAGCAGCATAAGCACCTACCTTGCAAGCACAAAGTTGTGAGTTCAATCTGTGGTACCAAAAAACTGTTCCTGGAATCCTTGCTACCCCTGCTGCTCCATTCACTGGCTGCTACCATAGTGGCGAGCTGGAGTCTTTGTCTTGCCCATCCTGAAGCACTGATCTCCCACCCCCCACCTTTACACATTACTAATCTCTCTCTGCCTCTTATTTCATCCTTTGCTGTACCCATCATAGAGGCAGTTGGGAATCCTGGCCAGGTCCGTTGAACTGCGTGCCCCAAAATTCTAGCCCTCAGTACTTCAGAATGTGAGCTAATTTGGAAATACAGTCATTGGGGATGCATTTAGTTAAGACAGGGTCATAATGGAGTAGGATTAGTGTCATCACTAACAGGTGAACTCGACACAGCAGGGAGATGATGTGAAGAGATATAGGGAGAAGCCATCAGAAAGCCAAGGAAAGAGGCCCGGAACAGACCCCCACCCCCAGCCCTCAGGAGAAAGCAACCCCACGCATGACGTGGTGTCAGACTTCTGGCCTCCAGACTGTCACACAATACATTTCTGTTGTTTAAGCCGTGACAAATCATTCTTCTGGGGATTTGTTCACTTGTTTGGTGGTACTACTGGGGATTGAACCAACATCCTCAGCCTTTTTGTATTGTTTTGGCTTTGGTTGTTTATTTACTCATTTGTTTTTTGTTTTCGTTTTTGAGACAGGATCTCACCAAGTGACTAAACTGCCTAGGCTGGACTCAGACTTGCAGTCCTCCTGCCTCAGCCTCCCAGAGTGCTAACATTACAGGCATGTTCTACCACAACTGGCTCAGTTTGTGGTAGTTTGATAAGACAGCCCTAGATGTCACAACTAATTTGTAATAGGTTGAAGACTTCAATATGGAAGCTAAAACCAGTAACATTTGGGTGGGAAACCCAGAATGGTTTTGTACTGAGAGGAGGCACCTCCGGATGGGTAACCCTGAAATAATTGGGAGCAAAGAGCGCTGGGGGGGGGCATCTGTAACCCGCACCTAAATGCTGCAACCAATGTGGAGAATTGTGGGATTTCCTAATAAATCCCAATATAGCTGCTCTATGACCCAACAGTCCCACACCTAGGCATCTCTAGACAGACAGATGGGCGGAAAAACCATGGGGAACACAGATCAGTTTGGATGGGTGTCTGGATGGAAGCATGGGTGGGCAGGATGTGAGGTGACACTCGATGCTAAGTAGTCAAATCTGGCCTTGGGATGGCTCCCACTGGCCAGCCGCGGATTCCACATCCTTCCTGTGGGCGCTCACCGGCCTTGAGCTTCTCCAGCATCTCCCGCAGGCTCTGGCACCGGGCCTCGATCTGCTCGGCCTCCGTGCGCACAGTGTCCACAAGCTGCTGCAGGGCAAGGTGCTCCTCCTCGCCCAGGTGCGGGTTCTCCGCACGCAAGCGTTCCTGGGACAAGGCCTCCTGTATCTGGGGGGCGGGGAGGGGCAAGCTGAGAGAGGGGTAGCGCGAGGGGCGGGGTCAGGGGCGGGGCGGGGAGAGGAGGAGAGGGGAGGGCAGGATGGGGAGGGAAGAAAGGAGTAGCCAGGGACTCACGCACCTCTTGGATCTCTTCCCCGAGGAAATGCAGCTCAGAATTCTGCTCGTTGATGAAGTTAAACTCGGCGAAGTTGCGCTCCTCGACTGGAGGAGATGCGACAGACAGGGTCCACAGGAACAGACGGAGACGCGCAGCCAGGAAACAGGGATGAAGCGATCACAGAGGACAGACAGGTGTTGAGAAAGAGGCAGGCAGAGATGAGAGAGCCAGAAATGTAGACAAGGAGAGACACCACAGGGACACAGAATTACAGAGTAAGTCCAAGAGAAAGAGCGACCAAGAAAGCCACCAACAGGTGGAGAGAAAGACAAAAGAGGAGATGCTGAGAAAGAGGGAAACAAAGGCCGCGAGAAAGAGTGCAGGGACAGAGAAACAGGGCACAGGACGGGGAAGAACAATCCAAAGAGTAGGCTTGGCCTCCACGGCGGGGGAGGGGGTCTGGGGACCGGCTTGGAGCCGGCAGGCCTGGCCTAAGCCTGATGGGGAGGGGAACTATAGGGGGGTGGAGTAGCTCCGGGCCAGGGCCAGGGCGGACACGGGCAGGGACGGTGACCCGGGAGGGCTGCAGGGGCGCCACTCACTTTCTAGGTACTTCTGCACCAGCTGGTCGGGGTCGCTCTCACCCGTCAGCTGGGACAGTTTATTCAGGGCGTCCTCGTATCGCAGCACCATCTTCTCCTGAGAGGTCTTTCGGAGGCCTTCCGCCACCTCTTTGGCTGAGGGAGCAGTGCGGTGGGGTCCAGGGGTCAGGCCCCTCCTTGTCCCTCTTCACCACCAACCCCGTCAGGCCCCGCCCCACCCTCCCCTCTCCCTCCAGGCCCCGCCCTGTCCGGCTCCCTCTCTGCCTGTCAGGCCCCGCCCACGCCCAGACCCTGGAGCCCTCACAGCCCTTGGGCCAGCAGTGGAGAAGCAGTCCGGGCCTCACCCCGCTGCTCGCCCTTCTGCAGGACATCGGGATCCGGCTGCCGCTCGTTGTTCTTGAGCTTCAGGAATCGATGCAGCTGCTCCAGGTGCAACACCTGCCGCTGCAATATCTTCGCCTCCGCGTCACTCTGCGCCACCTCCTTCTCTGCCCGCTCCCGCAGCACACCCATCTTGGCCTTTGCCTCCTCCCTGGGGCAGGGAGATGGAGGTTGGAGGGGGCTCTGCCTGCTGTCCTTGAAGGAGCAGTGCCAGCGAAGGGTGACAAAGATGGGGCGGTCGGCTTGAGGTCACAGGGGTAAAGTGTGGTCATCTGGGTCACAAGGAAGCAGCATAATCAGGTTACTGGTCGCCTGTGGCCTCGAGAAGCAGAGAACTTTCTGGGCTCCCAGAACTGGGTCCAGATGGGGTCATGGGTAGAATCAGAGCTGGGGTACTGAGCCTGGCAGGATCCGATTTATCAGTCTAGGCCACCGGTGGGCATTGCTGGGATGCACACAGGGGTCTCAGGGAGCCCGGGAATTATGTAACCATGGAAGAGGAGGAAAGATGAGTGATGGGGAAATAGGGAGAGATTCCATCTGGACACCAAGACTTCAACCCAGGGGTGAGGTAACCTGGACAGCTCAGGCCTTGTGAGGACAGGCACCTGAGCACATAGCCCATTAGGATATCAGGGACAGTGACCAGCCTCTCAATGAACACTCCACTCCTCTGTGAATGCTGCCTTTAAGCTTTCGACGTAGTGCTGCCAGCTTCAGGGTGCTCCTAGCTACAGGGTGTCCCTGGCACAGGGATATAAAGGGGCATTCTCCTGCAGGTCCCCACCCAAGAACCTCACTAGCTCCCACCTCCACAACTTTGCCAGTCCTGGGTGCTGCCACCCAGAACCCCAGCTTCTCGCTCCATTTAGATGCTGCCCTGAAGGTTAATTTAGGCCAGTCCTCCTGATAGCCAGCCTAGGCCCTGGAGCTCTCTGGCCTGGGGCTCCTGAGGTCCAGGAAAGGGGGACCCCGAGTTACAGCAGCAGATGCCATGCTCACCACCCTGACTCAGTGTAGGGAACTGAGACTGGCAGCAGTGTCCACCCCCAAAGGCTCACTCCTGACCATGTCCACAGCCAAAGCTGGAGGACTATACAGAGAGAAAGCACAGGATCGGAGGACAAGGCCAGGGTAAGAAGAAACCAGAGCCCCGTGTGGATAGAAGCCACAGGTGCACTGGGGGAGAAATCAGCATGGGAGGAAAAATGAGCAAAGTCCTAGCCAGGCATGGCAGTACACACCTGTCATCTCAGCATTTGGGAGGCTGAGGCAGAAGGATTGTTGCAAGGTGCCAGCCTGGACCTTGAACCTGGACCCTGAACTTTGAGATAGCCAAGACCTTGTCTCCAAAAAAGCGGGGAGGAGAGGAAGGGAGGGAGAGAGAGTAGTGATTTCCAGGGCAATGGCTAAGCAGGAAGGACTTCGGCTGCTGTGTGAGCGCAAGTTTCCTCTTGAGGCAATGAAAATGTTTTGGATCTGGATAGAAATGAGAGTTGCACACTATGATTGTATTAAATGTCACCAAGCTGTAACTTTTAAATTTTTGTTCTGTACATTTAGTAGAAAGGAGGGGAGAAGGACGGAAAACAGCCACAGGCCAAGTGAGGAAGACCTGGGCTTTAGCAGAGGTCAAGAGAAATTGGGAGCCCCAAGCAAGCAGAGATCATGAGGGGAAAGCAGACCTGGGCAGAAGACAGGAAAGCAGGAGAGCCCAGGAGACAGGCTGTGGCTGGGAGGGAAGCAGAGAGGCCGGAAGAGAGCCCAGAGCCCACTAGAGCTCAGTAGGGACAGAGAAGCTGATGCCTGACCTCTGTTGCACACAGCTATTTACCTGAGGCGCCTGCCCTTCAGGCCAGTGCTCATAAATAACCCACTTCTCATCCACCAGATACTTGCTGGCTCCAGACCCCTGCTGCATACACCACAGGGCTGCGTCGTAATCCTCTCTGCACTAGCGTGCTGCAGGCCATTCTGGGGGCACTGACAAAAGCCTGGTGTTTCACATACTCCAAGACCAGCACCATGCTGAGGAGCTGAGTAATCAGTGGGGGAGAAGGGGACTGCACATTATCAAAAACAAAAAAGCTAGACCCTAAATTAGATGTGTACAGGCCTGTAATCCCAGCTGCTCAGAAGGCTGAGGCAGACAGGAGAATCCCAAGATAGAAACCAACCTAGGCGATTTCACAAAACCCTGTCCTGAAGATGTTTAAAACTGGCTCAGGATGTAGCTCAGTGGCAAAGCACTTGCCTAGCAGCCAAAAGCCAGCTGACATTCTGACAGTATCTTTTTACAGCCTTTATTACTAACAGCATTAACTCTGAATAATCTGACCATCTAGTTCCCAAGCCCTGAGGCTTCCCCACCACCCCATGCTGCTTGGGCCCTACCTGACAGCATAGGCCGAGGTGGAGGAGGCAATGAGGGTGCTGACCATCTGCTGCAGGAGGGAGATCTCCTGTCGGGAAGGATGACAAACAAATGCTGCTGCCGCTGCTACTACCCAAGACTCACCCCATGGCGACCCCTCCAGGCCTGGACCCTCAGGATCGGCCTCTGTGAGAGGTGCTTCAAAGGCACAGAGCTGTGGGCTGACAGTGCAGCTCTCAGTGCGAGCGGGAGACACCCATACTGCCGATGCACTCGGGGGCCACCCAGCCTTCTTGCTGGACTGGGAAATGTGTATGAATTTGACCTCATGCTCTGGGTTGCACAGGGCTCATCACACCTATAATCCCAGCATTTGAGAGGCTGAGGTGGAAGGAGCGCCAAGGTTGGGGTTAGGGCTAGGGCTAGGGCTAGGGTTAGGGCTAGGGTTAGGGTTAGGGTTAGGATTAGGGTTAGGGTTAGGGTTAGGGCTAGGGTTAGGGCTAGGGTTAGGGCTAGGGCTAGGGTTAGGGTTAGGGTTAGGGTTAGGGTTAGGGCTAGGGTTAGGGTTAGGGTTAGGGTTAGGGCTAGGGTTAGGGCTAGGGTTAGGGCTAGGGTTAGGGCTAGGGCTAGGGTTAGGGCTAGGGTTAGGGCTAGGGTCAGGGCTAGGGCTAGGGCTAGGGTTAGGGCTAGGGTTAGGGCTAGGGCTAGGGTTAGGGCTAGGGTTAGGGCTAGGGTTAGGGTTAGGGTTAGGGCTAGGGCTAGGGTTAGGGTTAGGGCTAGGGTTAGGGCTAGGGTTAGGGCTAGGGTTAGGGCTAGGGTTAGGGTTAGTGTTAGGGCTAGGGTTAGGGCTAGGGCTAGGGCTAGGGCTAGGGTTAGGGCTAGGGCTAGGGCTAGGGCTAGGGCTAGGGTTAGGGCTAGGGTTAGGGCTAGGATTAGGGCTAGGGTTAGGGCTAGGGCTATGGTTAGGGTTAGGGTTAGGGCTAGGGTTAGGGTTAGGGCTAGGGCTAGGGTTAGGGTTAGTGTTAGGGTTTGGGCTAGGGCTAGGGGTAGGGGTAGGGTTAGGGCTAGGGTTAGGGCTAGGGTTAGGGCTATGGTTAGGGCTAGGGTTAGGTTTAGGGCTAGGGTTAGGGTTAGGGTTAGGGTTAGGGTTAGGGTTTGTTACAAGCCTGGGCTACAGAACAAAAAATGGTGGGGAGCAGGGGCTCTTTCTCTTTCCAAAGGAGGAAAGGACAGAAATGAAATATACATGGACATACATAGATGTACAGATATTTAAACACATGTGCCGAGGGGCACACACAGACACAGTTACTTTTGCAAAAATAACCACTAACTAAGGAGGCCAGCTGTTATGCACCTGCCTCAGACCCCAGCACTCAGGAGGCTGAAGCAAGATGATCACCTTGAATTTGAGGCCAGTCTGGACTACAAAGTAAGATTCTGTCTCAAAATGAAACAAAAAGGAAAGAAAAGAGAAGGGAAGGGCAAGGCAGGGCAAGGAAGAGATGGGAAGGGAAGGGAAGGGCAAGGAAGGGAAGGGAGGGGAGGGAAGGAGAAGGGAGGGGAGGGAGGGAAGGGAAGGGAAGGGCAAGGAAGGGAAGGGAGGGGAGGGGAGGGAGGGAATGGAAGGGCAAGGAAGGGAAGGGAGGGGGGAGGAGAAGGGAGGGGAGGGGAGGGAGGGAAGGGAGGAGAAGACAGAAGCTAAGGAGAGGCTAAGGCCTACTGGGACTGCATAGGAATGAGGCAGAAAAGCTGGGGAGGCAACGATGTCTTCATGGAACACATTTTGGAATAGTTTTGATCTAGGAGTCTTCTCATATTTACATATTCATAAAAGAGATTAAATCAAAGACTGCAGAGAAAACTAAAACTGAATGCAAACAGAAGTATATAAACCTAACTATTTCAAATGATGAATATAACTGCACAGAAAACCAACACACAGGCGCTGTGCCAGGTAACTTTGATCATCTGAAGGCATACAGATGCCTGCAGAGCCAAGAGGAAAACAAACTACAGGCAAAGCTTGAACCCTGCAGCAGGGTAGAGTTGAAGAGGGTTGAAGCTTCTGGGGAGCCCGGTTCCCACTGAGGGGGAAGAAAAATGGGAAGATTAAGTGGGGAGGGCTCCAGGGGGAACCTGGCAATGCTAGATTGAATTTTTTCTTAGGTTTTTAAAACAGGGTCTCAGCCTATTGCCCAGGCTGGCCTTGAATTCACCATCCTCCTGCCTCAGCCTCCTAAGCACAGGGATTACGGGCATGTGCCACCAACACCTGCTCAGATTGCACCTTGAGGTTACTGATGAGAAAGCATAATTTTCAGACACATGTAGGGATGTTGGAGGTTTCCAGGGAAAGGACCTCGAAGTAATGCCACCCCTGTAGCAATAAGATTTTTAGTATCTGAATCTTGGGTTCCAATACCTAGTCCTTTATAAGCAAAAACCAGAGCTGGGGCAGCACAAGCACAGAATTATTTGTGCTTCTGTAATTGCAAGAGTGAAAAGATCTTTAAGAAATCAAGAGTTTGTTTTTAAAATAAACTGTCTCAGCCTGGCATGGTGACTGAGACATCTGTAACCCCAGCAGTTGGGAGGCTGAGACAGGAATATCCACACAAGTTCAAGGCCAGCCGGGGGCTACACAAGCCAGCCTGAATTACCATAAGGAGATTTTGCCTCAAAAATAAAAAATAGCCAAATAAATGATAGAGTAGAAAAGGCACCTTCTGGCAGGCAAGGTGGTGCTAACTATTCAGGTAGTAATCATTAACAGAAGCTAGCACGACTGAGTGAAAGGTTACGGGAGTCAGAGTCTCCCGAAGACGCCTTGGTCATCATAGAGAAGAAGGTCAACCCAGTGGTCAAAGCCACTTCGCTGGCTATGGGACGGGCTGGTCAGGGGCATCCCGCTATCAGGCCCTCAGAGACATCAGCTCCCAGTGGTGGAGTGCAGCTGAAATGCAGGCCCTGGATAACCCCGAATATCAGTGTGTCCAGGGGGAGGACCGCACACACGCACGGTAGAGCCGGCCTGGATGCTTCCCAAGTGTCAAGGTCGTGGAGACAAAGAGCCAAGGCGCTATTTCAGGTGACCGGCGCCTGGACAATCAGATGCAACCTGGAATGCTGGCCTGCAGCCTGGGCTGAGGCTGGAAAATCAAATCAGCCTCCAAGGACGTCATTGGGGCAATCAGGGATCCTGAAATGTTGACTGTTTAGAATTCCAGCCACATTCAACTTCCTGACTTAGGTAACTATGCTGTTTATAAAGAAAAAATGGCACCATGGGGGTTGGTGATGGAGCTAAGTGGTACAACATGTGCCTACTAAGCAAAGGACCCTGAGTTTTGTCTCAAAACACCAAAAAAAGAAAGACAAAAATAAAAAAGCAAATAGCCAGGTGTGGTGGCTCATGCCTGTAATCCCAGCGCTCGGGAGGCTGAGGCAGGAGGATCGTTTCGAGTTCAAGACCAGCCAAAGCTACAAAGTGAGCTCAAGGCCAGCCTGAACTGCACAGAGAGACCCTGTCTCAAAAAGACCAGAAAAATAAATAAATAAAAAAGCAGATATCATTGTTTTTAAGAAATACATATGGAAGCCCGGTGTAGTGGTGCACACCTGTCATCCCAGCACTCTGGAGGCTGAGGCAGAAGGATCACAAGTTCAAGGCCAGCCTGGGTTGCCTATCAAGTTCAAGGCCACCCTGAAATTCACAGCAAAACACTGTGTCAAACAAAAAAAAAAAAAAAAAAAAAGAAATACACATTGAAATACTTGAGGCATAATGTCTACAACGTGCTATCAAATAGTACTGTGATAATAAGTCATTTTCAGCAAAAATAGTAATTGAAAGAGCTTTGACCCAGACAAGACACTGTAGCTGGTGAAGCCTTAGAGGTGGAACCAAGGAGCTCCTATCTCCCCCACCCCTAGGAATTTACCTGTGACTCCATCTTCCCCACCCCTAGGAATTTACCTATGGCGCCAAACAAAGACCAATGGGCTACCCGTGCATCCCTAATGCCCCCTTAGGTTCCACCCCAAACCGAGGCTACCTATATACCCTCCCACACCACGTGTCCACCACAGAGAAAGCGGGACTCCAGGGGTCGGAGGTGTTTTGGTTTTCTCTCTCTGCATTCTCAGAATAAAGGCCTCTTTTGTTTTATACTTCTCTTCTTTTGGATACAATCTTATCAGTAATGAAACACACACATACATAGAGAGAATCTGGGTGTGGTGGCATATGCCCGTCATCTCAGCACTCAGGAGGCTGAGGCAGGAGGATCCCATAAACTAAAGGCCGGCCTGAGCTACATAAAGTGACCTTGTCTCAAAAAACAGAGAGAGAATGTGGCAAATTATCAATCTTGATAAAGGATATGTAGGAGTATCTTGTATGTTTCCTGCACCTTTCCTGCAAATTTGAAATCACTTTAAAAGAATGGAGGGAAGGCAGGTCCTTCGATGGACTGAGAAGGTTATTAAATGAACCCTGGAATGTAAGTGACCTCACTGGCTCCCTGGTGCTCTGAGTGACCATATTGCACGTCGCCTGTGTGCCCCCAATAGAAATAAGGCCACTTTAGCTGTCGCAGCCCCACCTCCTGCAGTTCCCCATCCCTACCCCAGAGCCTAAGCCAATCCCATGGTTCCACACTTGGGCTGGCTTCACAGTCCGGCCTGGGAAAGCCTCAAGCTCACTCACCTTCTTCAACTTGCGGTCGACGTTCAGGTAGCGGCCCCTCTCAATGCGCAGCAGGTCCAGCTCCTCCCGCAGGGCCGCATTGCGCACCAGCTGGACATCAAAGCGACAGGTGACCTGGGAGCAGGGACATGGAGTCTTGTGTGGCATGGCCTACCACCCTCCCCCAGCTCAACCAAGTGGGCACCAGTAGGGTGGAGACCAGCCTGTGTCCTCTTCGGGTACACCTGCCCTTCCCTTGGGACCTCCCAGTCCAGGGTGTTTCCTCCTGATGCTGCCCCTGTGCTTGGCTCTCCTGGCCCCCAAGGTCGTGGCCGGGACAGAGCCCAGGGCAGCCTCACCCTATCCAGCTGGTCCTCCAGGATCTTGATCCTGCGTCGGATCTTGGCCTTGTGATCCCTGATGACCCCTGGAGCCAGGGTGTTCTTGCTCTGGGTGAAGATCCGGGTCTCCCACTCCTGGATCTAGAAGAAAGATGCAGGTGTCCAACTGGTGCCCAGGAAGGACCAAATGGCTGCAGGGGTAGAGGGGCAGTGCATGCAGCTGACATCTGCTGTCCCTGTGGTCCCAACAGCCCTGTAATCTTCTCCATGCCCACCGCTCTGTGTCATTGGCGTGGGGCTGCCTGCTGCACCCCTGGGCCTGGCCAGGGCCTCTGACACCTCCCCTGGGATTTGGGGGAAGTTGAGACCTGAAGCATAGGACTGGGGCCGGCATGGTCACCGCGCCCAGGAGGATATGGGGGAGCAAGGCCAGCTGACAGAAGTGCAGAGAGCCTGAGAGGTGCCAAGCGTGAGCCTGATGTCATTAGAGGCCCTGAGTCAGCCTGTATCTGAAGCCAGCCCCACCCTCACCCCCTCCCCCGCTTCCCATCCCTGCACTCATTTTTAATTACATGCAATGTGCTCTGTCTTTCCCACTGAGCTAAGGGCTTAAAAAGCAAAAAGATCTAAACCAGGCGTGGTGGAACAACTGTCATCCCAGCACTCGGGAGGCCGAGACAGGAGGATTGCCATAAATTCAAGGCCTTGGATTTCATAAACTCACTAAAGAGCTCGTGCTGGCCTCGAACTTGTGGCGTTTCCCCTGCTTTAGCCTCCCGAGTGCTGGGATGACAGGCACGTACCGCCAAACCAGGCTGACATTGTAAATGCCTGGGGCCAACTTTGACCTTGGTCGGACACATTAACTACAGGCTCAGTGCAGTGCACAGGCTTGACACAAGATGGCGCTACGTTCCTTCACGGTCGCGTCTGTGGGAAAATCAAGTTTTCAGCGATTACTGCGATAAAAGTCAAAAAAAAAAAAAACCCACCAATGTTCCTGCTTGGGCAACTAAGCAAAATGCACAGAGTTTAACTGTGCACTTATTCTGCCAACCGCGTGTGAGCCTACACTTCCCCAACTAAACTTTCAACTATTTGGGAGAGTTTTTTTGTTTTTTAATTTTCAGTCTGGAAAAAGCAATGACAACACAACCCAGAATCGACTAGAAGTCAACGGGGAACGAGGGTGGCGATATTCAGTTGCAAGATCAGAAATGCATCGCAAGGGGCTGGGGATTTAGCTCAGCGGCATAAGCACCTGCCTTGCAAGCAGGTGGTCGTGAGTTCGATCCCCGGTACCGATAAAAATGAAAAAGACAAAAAAAGAAATGCGTCACAGCGTGCACCAAGGCCCGCATTCCCGCCTGCTAATTATGGCTCTGGAGTATGAAACACAGATTGGTGCATGCAGGACGGCGCACGCCTGTCATCTCAGCACCCAGGGGTGTTCAAAGTCAGCCTGGACTACACAGTGAGGTGGGGGCAGGTTAAATACATTTTTGAATTTATGCATATATGTTACAAATGCTTTCTAACCTGCTAAAACACAAACACATAATAGTTATTTGAACCGAATCAGTTAATAAAAGAAACTTTTAAGTGGGCGTGGTGGCTCACACCTGTAATCTCAGCACTCAGGAGGCTGAGGCAGGAGGATTGTTGCGAGTTGGAGACCAGCCTGGGCTGCAAAGTGAGTTCAAGGCCAGCCTGACCTGCATAGAGACCCTGTCTCAATTTTTAAAAATAAAAAAATAAATTTAAAAAAAAAAACTTTTAGTTGGACATGGTGACACATATCTGTAACCCCAGCCCTCAGCAGGATGAGGAAGGAAGATTTCTACAAACTTGAGGCCAACCTGGGCTAGAGACTCGTCTCAAAAAAGCCAAATAATAATAATACAGTTATTAGCAGTGTGATACTTGGGGTCACTCGAGACAACTGGAGAACCCATGGTTATGTTTCAGGAATTCTGTGAGCCAGGAGTTAACAGCTGGTAGCATGAAGACTTCCGTGGTATTAGTTTTCCATTACTGCATCACTGTCTCAGCCAGCTTCCTACTACTGTGACAAAATAACTGAGGCTATGAACCTGGGAAGAGAAAAGCTTATTTCAGCTGATGATTCTGAGGTTCTAGCCCAAGATCCGGTGACCCTGTGGCCCTGGGCTCCGGTGAGGTCCTGGGTAGCCATGGCAGGGGAAGGTATGTCAGAGGCAACAGCCCACCCATGACCCAGGAAGCAGAGCAAGAGCCCACAACCCAGAGACCACACAGGCACCTCTGTCCCACAATAAAGCAGGTTTCTCAGTGCCAGTGAGGCAGTGTCTGCAGTCTGCAGTCAACTAAGATGAAGTCCTAAATGTCACGAGCTAATCTGTCACCCACGCCTCATTCGTGGGACAGCAGCAGAAGTCACAGATTCTATTAGATCCCAGGAGAGGGACACTCAGTGGTATGACTCACAGGGCTACCTCAAGTCTGCACATCAGCAGGAGCACAGATGTCACAAAAATAAGCAAACGCTGAAATTGAGCATTTTACCCCTAGGCACTATTTCCTAGCATACTTCAGACTGTCAAGGATTTCTATGAAGGCTAAAACATTTACTAGGAAGCCAGACATGATCCCAGTTACTCAGGAGGCTGAAGCAGGAGAGCCACTTGAGCTCACAAGTTTGGGTCCAGTCTAGGCAACGTAGCAAAACCCCACCTCAAAAAAAAGGCCAAGAAATTCAGAGTTCCAGGGAAAAAGAAAATTTAGGACCCACTCATCCAAGAAATTCTTCTCAAGATGAGAAAACATTCTCTTTCAATCTTTAAAAGTACTCAAATTTTGCTTTTTGCAATTTTTTTTATTTTTTGGTTTCTTGAGACAGAGTCTCACTATGTAAGCCAGGCTAGCCTCAAACTGGTGGCCATCCTCCTGCCTCAGCCTCCTGAGTGCATGGATTATAGGCGTGGGTCATACCATCACACCCAGCTCATGGACAAATGTTTTCTTTTCTCTTGGGTAAATATTCAGAGTGGAAGCCTACCGAAGGGGATGCTTTATTTCTTTTTTGTTTGTTTATTTCTTTGTAACTGCTGACTTGGTTTCCCAGAGAGGTTTTACCATCTTACATTCCCTCCAGGGCTTGACTAACATCCATGAGCCTCTGGGTTTGATTCTCAGTACTACCAAAAAGCAAAACAGTAGCACTTGGTAACAGATCAGAAATTTAGAAAATTCATCCTACACTCATGCAGCTTAAGAAACACTGGTTTATAATTTCTATCAGTTAAAACCTAACTGGAGACTAATTCTGTACTTTTCTTTCCTGGGATGTGTCTCCTGCTCTCTTGTTCTTGAAAGAACATTTCCCCAGGTGCAGCAGCTGAAGGCTCCAGCGCCCCCCTTCAGTCCTGAAGTTAAGCCGTCTCCTGACTGCCAATGTTTCTTTGGAGAAATCAGCTGTCAGTCTCATTGTGGTTCCTTTGAAAGTAATGTCTTTTTATGATCTGCCTGCTTTATTATTCCAAAGCTTCCTGTGCCCTGTAGATTGTGGTTTTTTTATGCATCCCGTCTGGGACTCTGAGGCTTCCTGGCATCATGTATGTGGTTTTTTATTGGTTCTGGTCATTGTCCCATGTGACCTCCACCCTGTTCCGGTCCCTCTGTCCTTCTGACACACACGAAACCTTCTCACTGTGTTCCTCAGCCACCTTGTGATAATCCCAGTTTCTTCCCTGTCTGTGCTAGATCCAGATGGTTTCTGCCACAGATTCTTTATCTGGCCTCTTGTCAGTTTCTTCCTGGCAGATTACAAACTACATAAGCAGGAGCCCTGGTGCATTTCATTCGCTGTTCCTGTGCCTGAACTTAGAACTCAAAACATCTGTTGGGCTGAATGAAGGTCATCAGATAACTCCATCCCTCCTCAACCTCATGGGGACTTCCTGGTCTCACCCCTGGCGACCCTAAATCTCACCAGACCTACAATACTCCATAATCGCATTTCTCCAGGGAAAAGAATCCCTGTTGTTAAAAAAAAAATAAGATGCCCCTGCTTGAGCCTAACTCTAGTGAGCGTCCATGAAAGGCGAAGGAAAAGTAAAGTCCAGCAGCCACACCCACCACGCCACTGCACCCCTTGGAAACAACCCAAAGCCTGACATGAGAAAATCAGAATTCAGCTTCAAAGGGCAGTCAGGTGAGATCAAGGGCTGTTTGAAGACTGACACAAAGTCAGCTGTTAAAAAAAAAAAACAGTGAACAAAAACAGAACATATGACAGGCAAGATGATGGCCCCTGCACACATCCACGTCCTAATTCCTGGAACCTGTGGCTATGCTGCTACTGTGACCGACCAGGGGAACTCTGCATGCATGTGAAGCTAAGGATCTGGAAATGGGGAGACGCTCCTGCGGCACGAGGATGAGCCCAAGTGCCACCTCAGCGGTCTATTAAGCAAAAAGGGGAGCAAAAGAAGCGAAGGAAGCTGGGGTCAGAGTGATGCAGGTATTGCTGGCTTTGAAAGCAGAGAAAGGGACCATGAGTCAAGCCTTGCAGGTGGCATCGAGGCACAAAAAGGGACTGAAAATACATTGTCCCCTTGCATCAGAAAATGCAACCCTGCCAACACCCTGATCATAGCCCATGAGATCCACTTCTGATTTCATGCCTCCAGAACCGTAAGATTTTATTTGTCTGTTTGTTTTTGGTTCTGGGAATCAAACTCAGGACTTTGTGCTTGTCAGGCAGGGACTGTGCAACTAAGCTGTATCTCCAATCCTTCCTTTTTCCTTTCCTTTTTTTTTTTTTTTTTTTTTTTGTCTTTTTGAGACAGGGTTTTGCTATGCAGACCAGGCTGCACTCACTCACTTTGAAGCCCACACTGGCCTCAAACTCACAGCAATCCTCCAGTCTCAGCCTCCAGAGTGCTGGGATTACAGGCATGTGCCAGCACACCAGGCTTTTTATTTGCTTTTTGCAACAGGGACTCACTCTGTAATCCAGGCTGATGTGGAACTCAAGGCTAACCTGCCTCAGCCTCACCAGTGCAGGGATTCCAGGTGTGCACCACCACACCCAGAATTGCAAGATGGTGCATTTATACAGGCCACCAAGATGAGTAAGTTTTCCAACTCTCATGAGCCAACAATGTACAAAAACACAGTTTAGACTCTAGACAGGTGGGGTTTTAGATGACAATTAGGTTAGAAATAGCAAAATGAATCTCACATAGAAAAAAGGTGTTATCTGGTGGAAATCTCTGTTTGATACCAGTTTGTGTGTATGTTTACATCTCCAGATGTACAGGAAACCCTATCACAGTGAGTCGCAAAAACCTGGAAGGACACGGGTCTTGAAAAACCACATCATTTGTAAAGCCAGAAAGCAAGATCGGGAGGTGCTGGATTAGAAAGCTGCCTCCATTCTGCTGCCCCCATAATCCTCCTTCCCACGTGAAGAAACTGGGGCCAGGGAGGCAAAGACCCAGGGTGACAGAGCCAGGATCCCAGTGCAGGCTTTGCAGTCTGAGAAAGCCTTACCGGTTAGCACCGAGAGTGAGCTGGCACACAACCTGGCGCGGAAGACACCCCTGCTCCCAAGGCCACCGCTGCAGCCAAGGCTCCTGCAGAGCTGCACAGGGCCCAGGCAGGACCCATAGCGCAGGCCCACGCACCCACCTGCTTGTCCAGAGCCCGAGTCTGCTGCTGCAGCTCCTCCATCTCCGCCTGCACCTGAGCCCTGCACTTGAGCAGGCGGCCCATGTTCTCCAGCCGCTCGACATCCCGAAGCCGCTTCACCTGGCTCTGAGCCACGGTGATCTTCGTCTGGAGATCGGCCCGCACCTGCTCCAGGTGCCGGATCTCCTCACTGCCCAGGCCAGGTGCGGGAGAGGGCAGAGGGGGCGAAGCTCAGTGTAAGCTAAAGGTTGGACACCTCGTGGCCTTCGACACCCCTCCCAGGGCAGGGCCCAGGCCGGGCTCACAGCTGCTTTTTGATGCGCTGGTGGACTTCCTTGCTGTAGGCTTGCCTCTCCATCTCCATGACCTTGTACCGTCGCTGCAGTCTGCTCAGCTCCCAATCTATTGAGGGTAGTCGGGGCAAAGATGCCATGGGCATCCCCTTCCTCCCTAGCACCCAGGAATTCTGACCCCTTAGAGTCTTACAAACTGCAAAGGAACCGCAAAGAACCTCAGGTTCCCTCATGGCTCCACCCCAAACTGACCTCAGATTCCTCTCCACTCAGACTGTGGGCACAGGTTGGTTGTTACCTCTAGAGGGCGCGCCGGGAAGGCCGCCGATCTCCCGGAGCAGGACCCCCAACCCGGGCACCAGACCTGGATCCCTTCTTCCAAGCAGCCCTCAGCCCCCTCTTCCTGCCTAATGCCTCTCTCCTCTGGTCCCCGGACTCAAACTCACCCTTTCTGACTGAACTAGCAACAGATTCCTCCTCAACCGCCCTGCAGTGTTCCCAGAGCCTCCTTCCTCTGAGGACTCCATTCCTCCTCCTACTCACAGGCCTCCAAAGCACCCCAGTACCCTCAGGACAGTTTTAGCTCCTCAGGCTGGCCCACCAAGACCCATTGGTTCTCACATTTGACACCGTGGTGACATTTTTTATTGTCACACTTAGCGGAAGGGGGGAATTAACAACTGAGGGTTAAACCTAGTGACGCTGTTACAATGAACAGGTCGGGGCAAGGATAAGAAAAAATTATCCTACCCCGACTATCAATACTACTGAGATTGAGAAATCCTCCTTTAAGAGCCACACACTGTTCTTGGTGAAAACACCAGTCCCTTCTTCCCATTGCAGTTCCTAGAAGTTCCGGCCCCGATCAAACCTCTGCTGCCTGTCGGAAGTCTTCCTGGACCCCTCTATTTCCTGGGCCCCTCCACTGCCTAGACCTGGCCCACCCATCGATTCGTGTCACCTCCACCCCGGCACACCTCTGATTCCCCGCTAGAGGGTGCACCTGAGAGGCCTCTCTGTCCCGGACCCCGGGGCAGGGTACCTAGAAAAGGGGTACATTGAGGACAGAAAAAGAATGGATGGATTGAGAAAGAACACACGAATTACCCAGGCTCTCCAGGAGGACCTCGCTGCCCTCCTCGGAGAGGGTGCTCCTTGCAGAGAGTCCCAAAGGCATCGCGGCCAAAGAAAGCGGTGTCCTGTAGGTGAAGATTCGGAGCCTTCAGACCGGACAGGCAAGGGAGTGGAGCCACACATAATCACTCTAGCCTCTCTCTGAGTCTCAGTTCCTGCAAGGAGATGGACGGCGATATCCCACCCTCCCACCGCCCACCTTGGAGCTTGGTCTAGTCTCTCAAGCTGGTTATCAGCATCTCCAAGTCCCAGCTCCTTAGCACAGCAGCAGGACAGAGGGGACGTCCCAGCCAGGAGACACCCCAGCAGGCCCTACCTGCTCCAGTGCCTGACCTGTCCTGGGTGCTGCAAGCACACTGTTGTGATCTGGTTACTGGGGAGATAAACAGGCCAATGAGGCTAGAGGACAGCGGCCGGGGAGGGGCGGAGGGAGTGGGGAAGGAGGGAGGTGTGCAAGGGCGATGAATGGAAGCTAAGATTGACAGACGGCCGGGTCTGCGAAGCGCGGGGCTGAGAAGGCCGCGGAGCGCAGGGGCGGGGGCTTGGGGCTGCCGAGAGGAGGAGCCAGAGATCTGCTCTAGGCAGGAGTAGTTCAGGTCCTGAGAAGAGGGCAGCTATGGAGTGAGCAAGGGGCGGAGCTGCAGGGAGACAGGGGAGGAGCCAGAAAAGTTTTTGGGTGGGGTAAGAGGGAAGAGCCAGGAAATTTATAGAGCAGGGCGTGTAAAAAGGTGGGGGGGACAAAAGGTGGGAGTGGAATACTGTAAAGGGCGGGACTTCGGGCATTGGCGAGGGGCGTAGCTCAAGTGTTTAATTGCTGAGGGGGCGAAAATGGTGTGGCCAGGAGCTCTTAAAGAATGGGGCTAGAGGCGGGGCTTGGGTACTGTAAAGGGCAGGGCTTTCAAGTCTGCCGAGGGACGGGGCTGCGGGGCAGACCAGGGGAGGGGCCATGGGCCTATAAAGGCGAGGCCAGGGCTGGCGAAGGGCGGGGCTCCGGTGATTACGGCGCAGATTGGCGCTCAAATTGGAAAAACACAAGAGGTTTGGTGGGAGGGCGGCGAGGGTGGGTGTCATAGGCTGATTAAAACCACGGTATTTTAAGAATTCACTAGCAAGAAGCGGTGCCGACGCCGGGACTTGTGAGAGAGAGGAGAGCGCTCACCACCACCTTAGGTCCTCGCAGACTCACTACGCATGCGCGACCAACGGCTGGCAGAGAAGCAGCCAAAAGCGCTGGGCCACCTTCAGCGTCCGCCTCCGGAGAGGCGGGGGCGTGGTCTTCTCTGGCCACACCCTCTACCGCAGGCCACGCCCTCCGCCGCCTGCTGCTGTCCACGTGGGCCTCGCGGGAGGGTGGAAGGTGGGCGCTTCTCCCTGCAGGGTGGGTGTGCCTGCCGCCTGCGGTTTCCTGTAGGAGGAAGCGGGTCTCGAGCGCTCAACTCGGCTCGCTCCTCAAAAGGCCAGTGTGGGGAAGATCCCGCTATAGCCTTCGGATCTCCTGATTCTTCCCCTTCAATGGAACCCTACCCGTCGGGGGGCACCGCCCCAACATACCCCGGGGTACCTCAACCCGGTGCCGACTCGACTCACAACCTAACTGGACTGCTAGACTTCCGCCTCCCCAGCTTAAGCGCCCATCTTTCCTCCCAGAACTGAAAGGCATTTCCCTAACCGAACACTCTTCACTCTGATACACACACGCGCGCGTGCGCGCGCACACACATACACACACACACAGACATGCACAGAGACACAAACTCATTTTCCTTCAGAGACTTAGACTTTCTAACTTCTTCAGGATCTGAGTTCAGTCCGTATTCTCCCTCCTCAGGAATTTTAGTTCGCAGCTATTTATTCTCTTCCCCTAGGGATCCTCATTTTGCATTCAAAACTTTAGCCTCAAGGATCCAGTGTACTCAAGAAGCTATTTCCCTAATTCCTAGAGACCCTGAACCAGAGTACTTATGAATCTTCTCAGGGCAGGGCCCCATAACTAACACATACGGCACTGTGCTTGCTGTGTGCTAAGACTATTGTAAGAGCTACACATACTAACATTTGTTATCACCCGTTTTATACATGAAGAAACGGAGGCAGTTGGGCATGGTGGTACAAACCTGGAATACCAACACTTCTAAAACTAAAGCAGGAGGATTGCTGTAAGTTCAGAGCAGTGAACTAAATATTGAGACGGTCTCTCAAAAGACCCACAAAAAAAAAAAAAAAAGAAGGGGATGGGGATTTAGCTCAGCAGCATAAGCACCTGCCTTGCAAGCAAGCAGTTGTGAGTTCGATCCCGGTACAGATAAAAAAGAAGAAAAAAAAAAGTGAAAGAAAACCAGCTGTGGTGGTACACACCTGTAATCCCAGCACTTGGGAAACTGAGGCAGGAGGATCACTGTGAGTTTGAGACCAGCCTGGGCTGCAAAATGAGCTCAAGGACAGCCTGAAATGCATAGCAAGACTGTCTCAAAAAGACAGAGAGGAAGAGAGAAACAGACATAGAGAGGTTATTAGTAACTTGCAGCCAGTGAATAAAGCTTGGATCCCAATCTAGCCCATCTGGCTCTAGGGATGGTAACAGAGTTGTACCAGTCCCACTCCCTCTCAGGAGGTCCAGACCTCCAAACTAGGCTCTGGCCTCATCTGATACACAGACACTGCTTCTCGTCCCTGCTTCCAGCTTTCAATTCATGTGAACCGCGGCACCTGGTGCCTGTCGAGTCACCCAGGTGCATGGTTAAAACTCAGTCCCTGGTGCACGTACTACACTTGTTAAACTTCTTGCGGGTTTCCGCTGCACTCAGCAGAACATCCAAGCTCCTCCTTTGCTCTTCAAGGGCTCCCTTTGATTTCCCCACCCTCCCTCCTTTGGCTGCCTGTCCTCCAGCCACACTGACCCTTCTGTCTGCTCCCCAAACAACTGCAGCTTGTTCTCCAGGACCCCAGCACTTCCTGTTCTCCTAGCATCAAAGGATTCCTGTCTTTAAATCTCAGTTTAAAAGTCACCTCCTCCGAGAGGCCTTCCCTGATTATCCCGTTTCAAATCGCCTGTGCCACACCCTTCTTATCTCTATTGATCTACTTCCTCCAAAACTGTCATCACTTTAGAAAGTTGTGTTCCTTCCTCATAGCCAGGTTTCCTTTATTGTCCATCTCCCCCTACTAGAAGATAAGCTTAATAAGTGCTGAACTCACAGGGACTTTCTTCATTATTAATTTCTGCTTGATTGTACAGGCCGAATGGTGTGGGTTTGTCACCATGCCAATATTATCTTCTTTCAGAATATGTATCACGGGGCTGGGGATTTAGCTCAGTGGCATAAGCACCTGCCTTGCAAGCAGGCGGTCGTGAGTTTGATCCCTGGTACCGATAAAAATGAAAAAGACAAAAAAAAAAAAAAAAAAAAAAAACCGAGTATCTATCACAATTACTGTTGCCAGCATTAGAATATCGTTGGTAGTACTGCACCCAACACACAGACGAGGAAATTGAGGCTGGGAGTGGTGAAATAATTGGCTCAAGTCACCCAACCTGGAAACGACAGCACTGGGATACTTGACTGCCAATTCCTGCCACTTCCAGAGTCTGGCATATTCCTTCCATCCTGGAACCTGGGACTCCCTCAGCACCCAGCTCCAAACTCCACAGCAGAGAGCAGTCCTCTTCCCTCAAACCCGAGGATGGGATCCCCGCCCAGGCCTGTCGCACCCTGGTTCTGAGGAAACCCTCTTGGATGCCAGTCTGGGGACCCTGGGTGGGGGCCAGAGAGAGAGGAAGGCGGGCCCGGGGCCCTCCCACTGCTGCGGCCCTCGGCGGGGCGCGGTGAGCGTGGTATAAAAGGGTCGGTATATATTAAGGAGCAGGGCCAGAGACCGGAGCCAGAGGAGGAGGCTAGGCAGCGGCGAGAGAGGGCTGCGAGGTGAAGGAGGGAGGAGGGCGGCGAGGAGGGAGGCGGGGGCCTCAGAGGGGAAGGAGGGAGCAGAAGGGCGGGGCACGGAGGCCCGGGCCAGGGACAAGGCTCCAACTCTGACTTTTTCGGCGGCTCTTGGGTAAGTTTTCAGTCCGTTATTCGGCCTGGGATTTCTTTATTTACTTAGGGGTGCAGCACTCTGGGTGGGGCAGACTCCTCCAGGCGGAGAGAAGCTTCCGGCTTTCGACCCCATGGAAACCCTTGTAATTTAAGAAGTGCTCTCTTAGCACTTGGGGTGGGGAACCAGGAAGGAATGGATTTGGCAGGGTTTGGAGGGGCTCAGCAGAGCCCCCTACGGGAAAGCTTCTCCCCAGGATTCTCTACTTTCTCCTGAGGGCCCTGAGATCAGGAGGGGCTTGAGGGGTATCTCTGGGACTCCCTGTTGGCTTCTGGAAGTGGGAGGAGGCGCTATTGTCGGCCCTCACTATCCCAGCAGAGATCCCATCCATGACTCCAGGAGGTGTCACCCACAGCCAGCGGCGGGCTGGGGTGGGGACATAGCGGGATAGCCAGGGACTGGGGTTTCCCTGGTGTTTGGAGCCAAGCGGAGGGGGTGGGGGGATAAATGAGTCACGGGTGACTCACCCGGGTCCCCCCTCCCACCCAGGAAGGGAGTGGTGTAAGTCAAGGATGCCTGTTGCCGGGTCAACCACTAACTCCTGATAAATGGGAGGGGGTAGAGTCAACTTCAGTTTTCCTATGTTGGCCCACATGTCCCTAGAGACAGGATTCGGAGGACGCAGGTGCTACACCGATAGTCCTACTCAGTGTGGGACCCAAGAGCCGGTCTCCCGCAGTCTGCATCCTGCCCCAAGGAACACAAGAGTCTGGGACTGGACCTCTTCCTCCCTGAGAGACACAAGAGTTTAGTCCCAGACACTCCTCGCGCAGACCCAGACGTTCAGACCCCAACCTCCTCCCTCGGTCTCCCCCGCCTCGGTCCCAGGCTTATGACCCTCCACCTAAAGCTGCCCCACCCCTAGGCTTCCATCGCAGCCATGTCGCTCCTCCTGTTGGTGGTCTCTGCCCTTCACATCCTCATCCTCATCCTGCTTTTCGTGGCCACTCTGGATAAGGTAAACCTTCTTGGGGCGGGGCCCGCCCTGACCACTGACCACGCGTGCCCTCCCAGATCGCTGTAGCCCCGCCCACTTTCCCAACTTTGCCTCTTTCATCTTTTCTTGTCCACCCCTACCGTTATTTCCCACAACCTCACCTGCCCCTTACCCACCTCCTTTCCTCCCAGCATCCCTGCCTCCCAGCCCCGCCCTCACCCTGCTCCTTCTGGCTCTTCCCTCTCCCCGCCCACCTCCCCTCCTTAACCCCCACCTGGTCTCTCCTTTCACCCCAGTCCTGGTGGACTCTCCCTGGGAAAGAGTCCCTGAATCTCTGGTACGACTGCACGTGGAACAACGACACCAAAACGTGGGCCTGCAGTAACGTCAGCGAGAACGGTGAGGGCAGGGACTGGGCCGCAGCATGGTAGGGGGCCCCAAGTCCTCTCCAGGCCCTCACTTTTCAATGCTCACAGGCTGAGTGGGCCCCTGGGGTGGTGGCGCCCCACCTGTCTATATGATAGTGGGCTGTTGCTCCTAAAAAGGATGGGCCCCCCTTAGGATTCTACAGGTTGAAGGAATAGAGAATAAGACTCAAACATTCTGAGAAGGCTTTATGTCCAAAGGTCTAAGCAGAGGCGCTGGTGCGTGAGAAAGAGCAAGGCCGGAACCACCTTAGGGTTCCAAATTCCAAAGGGATCTACCTGCACCCTCCCCCCATCCCTGCAATCCCCGGGGTAAGAAGGTGGGGCTGGAGCAGGAGAGTACTTGTCTAGCACAGTCCACCCCTAGTTCCATCCCCGGAACTGCAAATAAAAATAAAAATAAAATGCAAAAGGTTAAGTGCTTTTCCCTTAAGATCAAAGCCAGCAGTTTACCCTCATCTCTGTTCAAGCTTGTACGGACATTAGTCAAAACAAGAGAAAGAAATGGAAAGAATTAATCAAAAGTGGCTTTATTCCTAGGACACATATTTGTTTATGTAGAAAACCCTTAAAATTCTGCAAAGTAACCACCAGAGCTGATGGAGGAATGTTAGCGAAGGTCAGGCGACCGAAGGTCACTTACGAGTACTGCTAGGTGTCTGCACTGCGCTGCATCTGCTGCTAAGTAGCTCTGAGTGGGGCGGGGTACAGGAAGCAAAGGGGTGAAAGATGAGCAAGTAGGGAGCTGAGTCCCAGCCTCCTGCGACCCGCACCTCCGTGTCCCCCTCTCTGCAGGCTGGCTGAAGGCAGTGCAGGTGCTCATGGTACTGTCCCTCATCCTGTGCTGCCTGTCCTTCATCCTGTTCATGTTCCAACTGTACACCATGCGGCGCGGGGGGCTCTTCTACGCCACCGGCCTCTGCCAGCTCTGTACCAGTAAGTGCTGCCCCTCCTCCACCTGGGAACTGGGTGGGGCGGGGCGGGATGCTGGGGCCCCGAGAACAGCTGTCTGCTAATAAAAAACTTTTTCCAGCATCCCAAGAACCAACTCAGGTGTCTTCCTGGACGCCTTCCCTGCTCTTCCCCAAGGACTGGTGCGAGTTGTAGTTTTTGGTGACTCAAGGGCAGTTTTGACGTTTCTCTGAGTCACTGGGGAGCTTGGGGCTCCCAAAGAGCCTGCCTGGGGAAAGGAGTTCTGGTAAATAATTTGGGCCCCAGGGATGGGGTGACTAAGAAGCACCCCAGAACGGATATCTGAATCATAGTGGTAATGTTATTATGTCAGTTAACCACTATTTCCTTTGGTTTGGTTTTGGAGACAGGGTCTGGCTATGTAGTGCAGGTTGGCCCTGAACTCACCATATATAGCTCAAGCTGATCTCAAACTCACAACAGTCCTGCCTCAGCCTACCATGTGCTGGTATTACAAGCATCTATCACCATACCCAACCTATCCAACCACTATTTCTTATATAGCTATCATGACTCCAACACTTGAAAGAAATTTATCTTTTTAATTTTTTTTTTTTTTTTTTTTTTTTTTTGCTTCAACCAGCAAGGGACTCAGTTAATCATAGTGCTTGGTTTGAGAAACATTATCGTTCTGTTCCTGTTTTATTAATTCACTTTGCATATATGGCTTGTAAAAAAAAAAAAAAACTCATCTGGACATAGTGGTGCATACCCAAAATCCCAGCACTCAGGTAGCTGAGACAGGAGAATCGCCACAAGTTGGAGGCTAGCCTGGGCTACACAGTGAGTTCATGACCAGCCTGAACTAAGAGCTCCCGTCTCAAAAACACTAAAAATAAATAAATAAGCTCAATATCTCAGCACTCTGAGGCAGAAGGATAATAAATTTAAATCTAGCTGGGCAATTTTAATGAGTTAGTAAGACCCTATCTCAAAATTTAAAAAAAAATTTTAAAAGACTGGGGATGTAGCTCTGTGCATAGGCCCTGGGTTCAAACCTCAGTACTGGAAACAAAATATTCCATGGGATGCATGGGTGGGTGGGTGGATAGGTGGCTGCATAGGTAAATAGACATCAGGGTCCCATTTTGTGGATGAGTACATGAGACCCAGAAAAGTTAAATACCCAAGGCTACCCTGCAGCAGCTCGATCGCTTTCTCAGTGTTAAGACCATATGGCTCCTCTCGGGTGGGTGGGACACACCGTCTCCCTGCTTGCACCTGTGAAGCTGGCCCCGTGTTCCCGCAGGTGTAGCAGTGTTTTCCGGGGCCCTGATCTACGCCATCCATGCCGAGGAGATTGTGGCAAAGCACCCGCGCGGGGGCAGCTTCGGGTACTGCTTTGCGCTGGCCTGGGTGGCCTTCCCCCTGGCACTGGTGAGCGGCATCGTCTACATCCACCTGCGGAAGCGGGAGTGAGCCCTCCGCCCACTGCCCAGCCGAATCCTCCGGAGAATAAAACCATTTCACCGGGTCCTTCTGCTCTCACCTTCCTTCCTGACTCCTGGGGGTGGGGGGGGTAAGCAGGCAGCACTGGCCTGATCTCTCTGATCTCTCTCGACCCAACCTGGCAGGGCCCCACCTCCAGCCTCAGAGCCATCAGAATGCCAATCTCTCCCCAGAGAGACTCAAACTGAATCTTAGCCCTCCTGGGGACCCAGGATTGCTGGGACGACCTAATTTAGACTGGCAGACACTTCTGGGGAAGAACCAGGAGCCAGAATCCCAGCAAACACTGGTAGAAATCAGAAATCTAAACTGGACATGGTGGCACACGCCTGTGATCCCAGCACTTGGGAGGCTGAGGCAGGAGGGTCACCCAAGTTTGAGACCAGCCTGAGCTAATTATCGAGACCCTATAGAGACCACAGAAGTCTGTGGTACAGACCTCTCTCTGTTCAAGGTTCTGTTATTGGGTCCACATTGTGGGACCCAAGCGTGCTGTGTATGTTCCTAAATTGTTAATCTCTTTAGTCTTCTCTGAAACTGTCACTCTGGAAAATGTTTTTCTTTGTTCCTCTTGGAAACCATTCTCTCTTCCTCTCCAGAACCCAGTCCTTCCTCTTTTCCTTTTCATTCTTGAGACAAAGTCTCACTGTGTACTTCAGGCTAGCTTTAAACTCACTATGTCACCCAAATGGGCCTTGAACTGGCAGCAATCCTCCTGCCTCAGCCTCCCAAGTGCTGGGATTACAGACACATGCCACCATTCCTGGCTTCTCATTTTCTCTGTCTCCCCAAAAAGCTGTCTCTAGCTGTTAGGATGCTTTAGTAAAAAACAAAAGGCACACCTCTCCTCCTGGCTAACCCAGGCTTACACCAGGACACAGTGGCCCACAGGCTGTATTTCACAGCCACTTGCCCAGAGGCTGTGTGCTTTTGTTCAGTGCAAAATCCCGCAGGGTCACCGGATCGCCCCTGCTGGTGAGACCAGAATCAGGTCCTCAGAAATGAGGTCCTTTTAAGATTCTCTTCTGTGATCCAGCCCTCTAAGACTGCAGCTCTCTGTGCCCGACATCCTCAAGATGCAGAGCTCCTTTCCAGGATTCTGACACCCCCACCCTTCATCACCCTAGGCACTCAGATTTATTAAACATGATTTATTTGTTTGGGAGAGAACTGGGAAGAAATTCACAGACCAATAAATATGCATGGGGGAGGGGGCTCTAGACCGAGGTAGTTTCTGTAGAGAAGGTGAGAGCCCCAGGCGGGGAAGGCACCTGAGGTCGTTGGAAGCCTGAGTTGCAATGAGCCTTGGGTGGGATTGGTCTCCGATTCTGCCAGGTCCACACCTGCCAGCCTGGTGCACGGTTTCAACACCTTCAGCCCCGACAGTAGACCAGATGGCTAGCACACGGATACAAAGACCAGGCTCCGCCAGGAACTCGGATTGGTTGCTTCTTCTCTACGGAGACAACCGGCTGCCCCTGGCCGATGGTGCCCAGCTGCTGCCGCTGGCGGTGGGCCAGGGGGCGGAGCCAAGCGGCTCAACTTGCGGGTGCCGAGCCCCGCCCAGCGCCCGTGATGGACAGGCACCCAGCGGGCTAAAAAGACAATTGATATGGGGCTGGGGGTTTAGCTCAGCGGCATAAGCACCTGCCTTGCAAGCAGGCAATCGTGAGTTCGATCCCCGGTACCGATAAAAACGAAAAAGACCAGGGGAAAAAAAAAAAAAAAAGACAATGATACGTTGCCTGGCGAGGGCTCAGCTCTCTCCCCTCTGCCTGGAGGCTTACAGAGCCGAAGCTCAGCAGTTGGGACCGGCTAACAGCCTCACCTCCTCCGGTTCGATGTCTAGAGAGAGGGTAAGACTAAGGGTTCCATAACAGAAGCCGGGCAAAGCTGCTTCGATTCCTGAAGAGGGTATGCCTAGCAACCGGCAGCAGGCTCAACTGACTGCTTTAAATATACAGCGTAGCCAAAATTTACCTGTCAGTAACTGGGTATTGGAGAGTGACAAAGTGCAGTAGCCGTGATTGGCAGCCCGTCGTGGAGGGGGCGGAGCTTAGCCCCTGACCAGGTGGCAATCACGGGGCTCTACTGCTGGGGGCGGCCTGCTGGACCCCGGCAGTGCCTGGGGCCAATGGGTCTAGTTTGGGGAAACCCGGGGGAGGGTATAGCCCAATGCTGGGGGCCAGGGCTTGCAGGTGACCCAGGGCCCGGGATCCGTTGAAGGTCACATCACAGCCAGACTGGGCCCGGAGCCAGCTCTCCACTTCCGACTGCAGCCATCGGGAGGTCTCTGCGGGCAGAGGCAGGTGTGAGGCCGGCCAGGGGTTCAGCGAACAGGGACTAGGCCTTCATCTGGACCACTGGTGTGTGTACAGGGAATCATGGGGTTCCGGTCGGGGAGGGGCTCAGAGAGTGGGATAAGAGCCCAAGTCAAATGGGGTTCACAGTGGGAGCCAGGGTTGGCCCCTAGAAAGAGCAGACGGGGGGCGTGGTCGGAGGTGGGCGGGGCCATTGGACAGGTCTTGGTTTGGGGCGGGGCACATTCCAGAGGGGGAGGGGCGGGAGGAGGGGCGGGGCGGGCGCACCTTCGGGCGGGCAGTGCGTGCCCCCCGGCCGCCGAGCCAGGAAGCTGTGCGCCAGCAGCGCCTCCTTGGCGTGCTCGTCCTGCGCGCGCAGGGCCAACGCGCTGAGCAGCTCGGAGTTGTTGGACGTGCTGCGGAAGTACAGCATGTGCGCCAGCTCCAGCGCCTGCGCGCTGCGCCGCTGCCCGAACATCTGCGGGGACAGCCCGCGGAAGGCGGAGGTGAGAGTCTGAGGGGTCCCCACGCCGCCCTGCCCCGGCTTCTTCAGTTCCGAGCTAGGACTGCGGTCTAGAACTGATTTTCACCCTTGGGTATGTGGGTATGGTGTCCCTTCGGGGCTCCCGGCTACCAGACCCCACACAAGCCCCACTAGTAGGAAGATCACTGGGATTTTTGTTTTGTTTTTGCAATGCTAGGGACTGGACTCAAGACCTGGCACGTGCTAGGCCTGCGCTCAACCCATATTTTGTTTTGAAACAGGGTCTCACTAATTGGTTACATTCCCCAGGCTGGGGTGAAACTTGCAGCCCTCCTGCCTCAGCCTTCTGGGTACATGGGAGGACAGGAGCGCCACCATGACGTTTGAAGATTACTTTTTATCAATCGCGACGCCGGTTTGCTGTTTTGGGCTATGTTTAAATGGGTTTTCTGAACAATTTCAAAACAATAAGAGTTGTAGTTTTGGACGTTTGTGTTACAATAATAAGTCCCCGTCTTGGACGGACTTATACTTCCCTATATCCAGATCCATGTCCAGATTTCAAAAGGACCCGGTGGAGGAGGGGCTGAGTGCAAAGGAAATCATACTGATTCACTAACTCTGGGAGCCGGGTACCCATATACCAGAGTTCATCACACTCCTATTTCTGCATTTTGGCTGAACTTTTGCATAATAAAAAGATTTAAAATATTAAACCTTGATATTAAATGGTATTTAAATTATAAAGAGAACCTAGGGGACAATGTTGAGGGAGGGGAGGCCTGGAGCCCGGGGGCTCATCAGCCACCCCACCCTCTCTGCTGGCCCCTCACCTGTACTCCTCTCCCCATCCTTGGGGTATCTCAGGAGGGGAGCTGAAAGCCCACCCTAGGCTGAGACCAAGTCGTAGGATAGTGAGGCTGATGCCATGAGCCCAGAAGGTCAGCCCCTGGGACACAGCCTGGCCCATGGGGAGTACTGGGACGTCATCAACAGAACAGCCAGTTGGGCGACCATGGTGCATGGCCCATCTCCCAGCAGTGCCGGAGGTGACACCTCACAAATCACTGAGATGCCACACAATACCAACAGCAGGGACATGGCTATGTGCACACTGCACCAGCTCCCTGCAAGCCCAGCACCTCCAGCCTCTGTCCCCACATAGCCAGTGGGGGATTCGGGAGGACAGCCTTAGGGCCCTTCAGATAGGAAAAGCACATTAGCCTCTGTGTCCGAGGCTGCCAAGCCATGCAGCTGGATTCTCCTGTGCCTCACTGTGAATGGCACTCAGATGGGGCCAAAAGTCACCCAGGAGAGCAGTGGCCACCTGCCACTGGGACCCAGCACTCACCCCTACCACACTGCTACCACATGGGGATGGACAGCCCCGCATCTTTAGCCCATCCCCACCCAGTTCCAGGGCTGGCCCTGCCCCTCCCTTGCTGTCCCCAAGCACCAGAGCTACCCCACCACACCAGCACACCTCACTCGCATGGAACACGCCAGGTCACCAGGGCTGCTCTAACAGCCACTCCTCTGCTGTGGGCTCACCTCTCCCCGCAGATGCACACTTTTGTGTTCCTGGGCTCATCAGTCCCCACCACAACCTCCACTATGTATATATGTGACTCTGTCCCTGCAGGGTAGCATGCAGGGGAGGGACAGGACAGCTCTGCGTGTGAGGGACCAGTGGAAGTCTGAGCACCCAAAGATGGGGAACCCTAACCAGAAGGAGCAGGTGCAAGAGATGTAGGCTGAGGGCTGCAGCCTGGCCAGGACATGGGGAAAGCTCACAAAGTCACTCAATTCACTCTGTATATGTGTGTGTGTGTGTGTGTGTGTGTGTGTGTGTGCTGGAGATTGAATCCCAGTCACTCATACTGAGCTACATGCCTGGCCCATTTTTTATTTTTATTTTGAGACAGGGACTGGCTGAGTGGCTAATTTGCCTAGGTTGAACTCATCTGCAGTCCTCCTGTCTCAACCTCCCAGAGTGCTGGGATGACAGGCCTGTACCTCCACACCTAGCTATGATGGGTTTTTGTTTTGTTTGTTTCGTTTTGTTTTGCTTTGCTTTGCTTTGATTTTGTCTTTTTGAGACAGGGTCTGGCTCTGCAGTTCAGACTGGCCTTGACCTCATTTTGTGCACACTTGTGTTTCTGGGCTGATCAGCCTATGCTGATCCTGAACTTGCAAAGAATCCCCCTGCCTCAGCCTCCCAAGTGCTGTGATTACAGGAGTAATGGGTTTAAACAGGGTTCATCAGCCTGAGAAGCTCTGGAGCCCCTAGGGCCACCAAGGGACAGAACAGATGAGCAGCTCTGGGCTGGGGCTTGGCATCCCCTCCCCAGAATGCTAGGTCCCCCTCGCTGGCCTCTAGCCCCATTGTTGCCCTACCCTCTGTCCTCCATGGACACTGCAATCCCTCCTGGCTCCCTGTACCCCTGAGAACAAAGCCTGGGGCCATCTCTTCTTGTTGTACCCCTTTCCTGCCTCAGCCCTGGTCCTGAGCAGGAAGTGCCCCCCAGACTTCCTGCTGGCCTGGGACTCAGACCCTCCTGGCCTGCCCAGCCTGGCCATTATCTGTGGGATTTATGACCCATCTTTCCGAGTGCCTGTCAGGACGCGGCAAACAGCTTGAAAACCAATGAGCCAGCAATCGATCGATGGGGTACAGCAGCAGCCTCACACTGCTCCTTTCTCCTGGGGCCAGCGCCAAGCTGGGAGAGTGGTGCAAGGCAGCCCAGCCAGGCCAGCTTAGCCTCAAGACACAGCAGTGCTAGGCATTGACACCCTCACCCTGCCACAAATCCCGAGACAGTGAACAGCCTGAGCAACTGTACCAGGCGGGCCTATGCTCACGTGGAGTAGACTCAGGGAGGGAGCTTGGTAAAAACAATTCCCTGGAAGCCATCCCACTGTTTCCGATCCAGTTCATTTGGGCTGGAGCCCAGGAGGTGCATTTATAAACCAGCTCCCCAATGATAATGACGCCCGGCTGGGATGGAAACTCGGGGAACAAATAGTCCGATCAGTAATAATAACCATCATCCTAATAGCTAACACTCAGATGAGACTTCTGAGACTGCGCCAGGCTCTGCTCTCAGCCTTGTATGCAGATTAATGCCTCCACCCCCCACCCCACCCCCGCTACCCTTTGAGTGAGGTCCTATCACCTCACTGCAGAGAGCTGAAGCAACTCAAGATCACACAGCTCAGCCAGGCATGGTGGCACAGGCCTGTAGCCCCAGCACTCAGGAGGCTGAGACAGGAGGATCACTGCAAGTTCAAGGCCAGCCTGAATTACACAGGGAGTCTCAAAAAACCAAAAGATCACATGGCTCCAAGATGTCAGTCAGATTCAAATCCAGGCTGAGGTGATCATGCACCCCCTGTCTGCCTGTAAAGCAGTCCCCAAAGCAGGTCCTCTGTGAGGGGCTTGAGGGACAGCATGCAGGTGACATGCCTCTCACAGTGACCCACCCTCCAAGGCAGGTCTCACTATTATTTTCATTTTCTAGACAAGGAAACCGAGGGGAGGTGGCAGGGCAGCAGAAATAATGCATGAGATGAAAATACAATAGACAGTACCTGGGGATACAGCGTGTAATCCCAGCATCCTGGGAGGCTGAGACAGAAGGATCACAAATTCAAGCCTGGCCTGGGCAAGTTAGTGACTTTGGGAGACCCAGCCTCAAAATAACAAAATAAATAAAAAGGGCTGCATATGTCAGTGCAAAGGTCCTGTGTTCCATCCACAGCACCAACAAAATATGAATAACAATAACAACAATAACCTAAAGTAATATTAGTAATAGCAGGTACCTCACCGGCAGGTGGTTACCTTGGAGGCCCGCAGGCCCATGAACATGGCAAAGAGCAGCAGCAGCAGGGACGTGGCCACCTTGAGGTCGCTCAGCACCACCATGCCCACGTTGACGAAGAACACCAGGCCGGACACCACCAGTGTGAGGTTGAGCGCAGCACGCTGCAGCGTGGGCGTGCGCACCTTGAGCTCGGGTAGCAGCTGCTCCAGACCCTCCAGCGGGGTGTCCTTGAAGCTCTTTAGCACCAGGTGGCCCCGCTTGGTCCGCGCCGCCAGCACCACCCGCTTGAAGTACCTCCTGCCGGGGACAACAACACAGGGCTGGGGCGGCCTACACCCTGCCAGGGCCATGCTCGCAGCCACGCGGCCATGCGGGTCTGCGGGCGGCTTCATGCAGGCCATAACCTGCGAGTCCAGCAATAGGGAATCGGTGATGCGACGGGACCCCGCTGACTGGATCCAGCTGCTCACCCGCCCAGAACTGGCCCAGTCTTTCTCTTCCTGCGGAAGAGAGGCAGCACCGGGTGACTCTGCCTCCCCACAACTGTTCCTCGAGTCCCCACCCCCCACTGCCGATCTAACCTGGCTCCCTCTTACTGCAGCTGGAGAACAAGGGCCCCCCTCTCACCTCTCTGCAGGGGGCTGCTTGGTGAAGAAGCCACGCTTGGAGCCCACACTGGACATACGGGGCATCTGGCCCACTCGCTGGCCCAAGGCCCAGAACTGCATGTAGATATACTGATCCAAATTTATTGTCACCTACCAAAGGGGACGAAGAAAGCAGAGGCAGCTGAACGTAGGCTGGGGTGTTATGTGCAGGACCCCCGCATAGATGTCCTTCCCTAAAATGATTCTTCCCAGCCAGTGCCACCTATCATCATTCTGTGTTCAGGTAGAGAAGCCACCTAAGGTTGTTCATGTTGGACACTGCACAAGTACACATCAAAAATGGCATTGTTCACATAACAGCCACTGTTCTTACCATGCTAGGTTTTAGATTGAAAATGTCCCCCCAGATCTCATGAATTCAGAAGGGAGCTTTTGGCAGGTGATGGGAGCATGGGGGCACTATATCCATCAATGCATTAACCCACTTACAACAACATGGCTGAACCTTAGGAGTTAGGAGGTGGGGCCTGGATTGGAAGTGAGTCATTTGGGGTATATTTTTGCCCTGGCTCCTCTCCTCTCTCTCCACTTCTTGGCTGCCATGAGATGAGCAGCTTCTTCTCCCAGGCCCTTCTGCCATGCTCTTCCTGCCTTTGATCCTACCATGGACTGAACCCATGAACTAAAACAAACCTCTCTTCCTATAACTTGCAGGTGTAAGGTATTCTAACCCAGTGATGAAAAGTGACTAAGACACCATATTTCCTGGTCTCTAAAATGCCACTGACTTTAAAATACCCCATTGGTTGGGCATGGTGGTGCCCACCTACAATTCCAGCACTTGGGAGGCTGAGGCAAGAGGAAAGACTTTAATTCAAGCCCAGCCTGGGCTACATAGTGAGTTCACAACCAGCCTGGACTATATAGAGAGACTCTGTCTCCAAAAAAATCCTTTTATGAAGCAACTATAAAATATATTGCCCGTTAGATAAGGTCTCACCATTGCTTTTAAATCACATCTCAATTTCAGAGATAATTGAGCTGGGTATATTGTTATACATCGATAATCCTAGCACTCTGGAAGGCTGAGACAGGAGAGTCATGAGTTCAAACCCAGCCTAGGCAATTCAGTGACTGATTTAGAGAGCATCCACCTCACAATAAAAAATAGAAAAAGAATTAGGGATGGGCTCAGTGTAAAGGCCCCGTGTTTGATTCTCTGTCCCCCCACGAAAAAAAAAAATTACTAAAATGTGGATTTTAGGGACTTTAGTGTTTAGGGTTTGATTTGTTTTTTGTGTTGTTTTGGTACCAGAGATTGAACTCACAACCTCACACTTGTTAGGCAAACACTTATACCGCTGAGCCAAATACCCAGCCTGCTGATTTGTTTTTTTAAGACAGGATCTCGCTGTGTAATCCACACTAACCTTGAACTCACTATGGACCCCAGACTGGTCTCCAACAATCTCCTGCCTCTGCCTCCCAGATTCTGGGATTACAGCCCTGCCCCACCTCACAAAGAAAGGATGAAACTTTGTATCGTATATTATTATAATTTTCTGGAACATGGCAGATAAAGTCCTAAGAAAATCCGTATTTGAAGATACTTTTCCTTTTCTTGTTTTCTTTTTTTTTTTTTTTTTTTTTTTTTTTTTTTTTTTTTTTTTTGTCTTTTTCCCTTTTTATCGGTACCAGGGATCGAACTCACGACTGCCTGCTTGCAAGGCAGGCGCTTATGCTGCTGAGCTAAATCCCCAGCCCCTAGAAGATACTTTTCCTTTTCTTTAGTTTTTTCCATACTAAGAATTGAACCCAGAGCTTTCACACTAGCTACATGCTCAGCTCTACTAAAATTTTTATTTAGGGGTTGGAGATTTATCTCAGGGGTACAGTGCCTGCCTGGCAAGCGTCAGGCCCTAAATTCCATTCCTGGTACCCTCCCCTCAAATTATTTATTTATTTATTCAGTCATTCCTTTGTTAATCTTAGAGACAGGGTCTTACTAAGTTGCTAAATTCCCCATGCTGGGTTCAAACTTGAATCCTCCTGCCTCAGCCTCCTGGTTTGATAATATCTTGATGGACAGCCCTGAGATGACCCACAAGACAGCCCAGTTCTTGAATTCTAGTGCTGCCTGGCCCCAGGCCGTGTATTGAGGACACACCTCGGGAGCTCGGCTTGCCCCGGAAGCCAAGTACCTGGACCTCATCCTGAGGGTGGTGGACCACAAGCGCGTAGGCCAGGGTGTCCTCTGACAGCGGGCAGAAGTTGGCCTGGGCCAACAGCGGCTCCAAGGCCTGCAGCACCTCCTTCTCGTTGGACAGACGCTGGGGGTCCGTGAGTGATGGCTGGTCGAGGGTCTCCCTGTCAGGGTTGATGGGGTCATACAGCACCTGCGCAGAGAGTGGGGAGGGAAGCGGGCAGGGTTACGGGGTGCAGGACTGCGTCCTGGGTCCCCATGCACCCCGATGCAGTTCCTCAGGGAGGGCTCCAGCCTCTTCCTCCTCAGGCACAAGCTACCCAGCTGGAAGGCACATTTAGTCTTGGGACTTCGGGCTTGTCCATGGGTGGGAGGAAAAGTGTCATGGCTCCTTGGAGCGCTGCTCTCGCCTGTTCTGCCTCTTTAGAACCCTCAGGCCTACTAAATTATACATGTTGTTAAAGCTGTGTGTGGTAGCACACGTCTGTCGGCCCAGCATTTGGGAGGCTGAGGCAGGAGAGTAGCCATGATTGCTGGGATTGCAGGTACATGCCACAGCACCAAGCTACACCAAACTCTTATGTTAATGATCTCTCTGACAGTTCCAGGTGATGCTCTAATGACATCTGTATCTAAACAGAGCTAGAGAGACTCTCATTCCCAGTCTGTCTCTGTCTCTCTCTCTTTCTTGCTCCTCAATACCCAGGACCTTCCCACTGAACTATTATCCCAGCCCCTTTTAAAAAATTTTTTGAGAAAGTTTTTGCTAAGTTTCCCCAGACTGGCTCAAACCTGTGATTCTCCTGCCTCAGCCTCACAGGATGATAGGATCACAGATCTGCACCACCACACTGGGCACCTAAATCTCTCTGGAATCCACCTTACTCTCCAAAGTCATCTTCATCTCTCACCTAAACAACCACCTTGGGAAGCAGGAGGATCCAGAGATCAAGGCCAACCTGGACTACATAGTGAGACCTTGTGTCAAAAACAAAAAACACGGGCTGGGGATTTAGCTTAGCAGCATAAGCACCTACCTGGCAAAACACCAGGTCGTAAAAAAAAAAAAAAAAAAAAAAAAAAAAACCAACAAGGTGGTGGTACATGCCTGTGATCCCAGCACTCGGTGGCTGAAGCAGGAGGATATAGCCAAGAGTTTAAGGCAGCCTGGGCTACACGTCAACATGTTGTATTTATTTATTTATTTATTTTTTTTTGAGACAGGGTTTCCCTGTGTGGTTCAGGTTGGCCTTGAACTCACTTTGTAGCCCAGGCTGGTTTCAAACTTGCAGCAATCCCCCTGCATCAGCCTCCCAGAGTGCTGGGATTACAGATGTATACCACTACACCCACCTAACACACCATCTTTAAAAAATCCAAACAAAATTTTTAAAAAATTTTTTTCTTTTTGAGACAGGGTCTCACTATGCAGTTCAGGCTGGCCTTGAGCACACTTTGTAGCCCAGGCTGGTCTTGAACTCATGACGATCCTCCTGTCTCAGCCTGCCAAGTGCTGCGATTATAAGCACGCACCACCACGCCCAGCTTCAAAACAAAATTTAAAAAGCACTCAATTACAAACTGATTCTATAATTCACACACCTCACACCTCACATCCCAATGGCTTCCCTCTGCATTCAGAGTAAAATGCCAAGTTTTCCCTGACCTCAAGGCCTCTCACAAACTGGCCAGGCTCCCTTCTCTTCAGCATCCTCCCCACCAAAAAAGCCCTTCTGAACTAATGGAAAACGTGCACTTCCAACTGCCTGGCCAGCAGGACTTGTGGTCAGGGGGAGTCTCCGAATGACGTGTACCTCCTCACGAGGCCACAAGCCTCAGGAGGTCATGTCTCCACACCAAACACTCAACTCTCAGGCCACATCCTCAGACTCCTAGATGACCTTGAAAACCCCAGAGCCAAGGATGAGAGGAAGAGAGAAACCTGCGTCCATCAAGTCTACACTGCAAGGGAAGTTTCCTCTGCACACTTCACATAAGCCTCAAGCTTTGAGCTGGGACCCTGGGCAACAAGAAGGGCCCTGCAGTTCCTCTCTCGAACCAGGATCCTGTCCACTCCTCCCTCCCCCAGCCCACCTGGGCTGTCCTGCTGACTCCTTATCCCAGCCTCTTGAGGTTGCCAGGGAGAGCTTGGCAGCAGTCAGGATGATAACCCAGGAAACACGTGCATGCACCTTCTAGAGGTGGTACTGCAGTGATCCTCATTTATAGATGTGGAAACTGAGGCACAGGTAGGATCAGGAAGTCCCTACGGTCACACAGTCAGGAAATAAAGCTGGAATTCCACATCAGACCACAACGGTCACTACTACTAGGACCCTTTCAAGCCCAGCATGTACTGTAGCGCAACACTAGCATTCAGGAGGCTGAGGCAGGAGGATCTCTGGGAGGTCATCCTGGACTACAGAGTGAGTTCAAGACCAGCCTGAACTCCTTAATGAGACCCTGTCTCAAAAAAATAAAAATAAAAAACAGAAAGACCCTTTCAAGGCCCTGCTGCTCTGGGAACCAGGACCTCACTCTTGGAAGGCCCTCCAGGTGTCAAAATCTTCCTGGGTGGCCACATACCCTGGCCTTATTCCTCCAGTCACAGGACTTTGCACATGCCGTCACCAACACTCTTTCTGCCTCCTTTCCTTCACTACAAAATCTCTCGCCTCTGATGCTGCAGGTCCACGTCACTTTCTAAGCGTTTCTCCAGCCCACAGGTTGAGGAGGGCTGGGCAGGGTGAGCCCTGCACCAAGGGTGCCTGTTCCTCATCTACACACAGATCCCGGCATGGACGCCAAGGCCACTGTGTCCTCCTCATCCCAGCACCATGCCCCTCACCCTGTCTGCACCTAACTGTCCCTAGAAGTCAGGCTCGGCCCCTCCCCACCTCACACCAAGCCCTGTGAGCAGGGGCAACCTGCACTCCATCCAGAGCATCGCTCCACCCCCACCCCCCAGCCCCTTTTGGCAGCTGCTGGAACAATGTGGGATAAAACTGGGCCCTCCTGGCAACTGTCACCACCATTCTCCATCCTTGAGCAACCTTGGGGAGTCTCAGATACCAGCTGCTAGGCAAAGATCCCCTGCCAGGCTTCTGTGCCCGGGCTTGACACGCCAGCTGGGGCCCACCCAACGCTCCCCTGGGACGCCCCCCCCCCCCCCCCGGCTCCCAATGCTAGCTCCAGGCTGAATCCTGTTTCCACCACAAACCTGCTCCTCCAGGAGCTCAGGTCCAGAGCCTGCAGTCCCCCTCCCCCACCCCCCACCAAACCTCTTGTTGCTCACACAACCAACCAAACGGCCAATTGGGGCATCTGAGATCAGCTAAGCATGGTGACACACACTGTAATCCCAGCACTCAGGAGGCTGAGGCAGGAGGATCACTGTGACTTCAAGGCCAGCCTGGACTATATATCGAGACTGTCTCAAAACAAGTAAGACATAGATCAGGTATCCAACCACTCCTGGTCCCTGGCCGGAGCATGCAGGCTGTGTATAGACAAGAGGTCAGCTCAGTTCCCTTTGTACAGCGGCGCCTTCACCCGGGCCCTCTGCACCTGTCCTGCACCACAGACCCACCTGCCTGCTCTGCAGGGGCCCAGCCCTGGGCTTCAGGCTTATCAGCATCCAAGAGCCCGCCAGAGGGCACCTGTTCACACTTGCGGTAGTGCGATTTGGCCTCTGTTCCAGAGAGCTCACAATGCGCACAAGAACCTGCAGAGCGTGGCCCTAGCTCCAATCCACCCTTTTGTGCAGCACTGTTCGTACAAATCAGTCAAGCCTCTCAGACATCCTTGCTCTTCCTGCAAAACTGCACATACCCCTGTCTCAGGGCCTTTGCACCTACTGCTCCCTCAGATGCACGCAAGTCTAGGTCCTCCTCCTCCTCAATAGGCCTCTCCTGACTACCTCCTGGGTGTGGTGGTGCACTCTTGTAATCCCAGTACTCCGAAGGGAGGCTGAGGCAGGAGGTTCACTGCAAGTTCGAGACCAGTTTGGGCTACAAAGTGAGCCCAAGGCCAGCCTGAATTGCTTAGCCAGAGCTGTCTCAAAAAGAAAAAAAAAAAAAAAAAACTCACAATAGCTGGGGCATAGTAGTGCACACCTGTGATACCAGCACTCTGGAGCCTGAGGCAGGAGGATTGCTGTGAGTTTGAGGCCAGCCTGGGATCCATAATGAGTTCAGCATCAGTCTGTGCTACATAGTGAGACTCTGTTTCAACAAGTTAATAAATAAATAAAACTGTACAACAACCTCCATTCACTTTCTCAATTACAGTTGTCAAATTTCAAAAAAGAAGAAAATGCATATCATATAGACAATATATATATATATATATATATATATATATATATCTTATCTAGAATATATATCCTGTATGTAATATAAATGTAAATGCTAGGTGTGGTGGCCCATGCCTGCAATCCCAGGATTTGGGAAGCTGAGGCAAGAGGATCACAAGTTTGAGAGCAGCCTGAATAACATAGCAAAATCCTCTCTCAAAGAATAAGAAAAAAGACAAAACAAAACAAACTGCAGCTTTTAATATATACACACACATAAAATCTTTTGGGTTGAAGTATGTTCTATGCAATATTTGAAGACTATTTCATAAGAGACGCACTAAAAAAGTTCCTAAGTTTATATGAAATTCAAATTAATGGGTTATCAAAAAGCTGGGATTGGAAGTCCCATTCGACCCAGCTATTCCACTTTTAGGCATATTCCCAGAAGAACTGAAAACATCATACCACAGCGATATATGTGCACCTATGTTTATAGCAGCACAATTTGTAATCGCCAGATCTTGGAAACAACCCAAGTGTCCATCAACTGAGGAATGGATAAAAAAGTGGTATTTCTATACAATGCAGTATTACTCAGCTATAAAGAATGATCACATTGAGATATTTATAAGTAAATGGATGCAACTCGAGACCATAATCATAAGTGAAATAAATCAAATTCACATGTATAAATACTGTATAATCTCCCTAGTATAAGAAATGGTAAGAGTACATAAGAGTTTATGGTAATCATGGTTCCCCATTATATTGCTTTGATTCCCCATTTATATTGCTTATAAAATTTTCATTCATTGGTTGGAATGGTTTTATTCTGTTTTGTTTGATTTTATTATGTCTGATGGAATGAACAGCTACTTTAAAGAAAACAAGACATCATGGCAGCCACTGCTGATTTAATACCATCTTGCTTTGAAGTCCTACCATGCTTTTGTTCTTCTATTTCCATTGGTTCTATCATGTTGTGTCTTATTGGATTTTAATATGTGTGATAGTATAAACAAATTTTTTAAGGAAAATGAGATAATACAGTAGTCATTGTTCATTATCTGTTATTTGGTTCTAAATGTTCTGTAATACTTCCATTCTCTTGAACAGTTTTATACTATTTTACTATGTTTGATACTATTGTATGTGAAGGTATGTTCACCTATTTCAAAGAAAAGAGATATTATGGTAGCTACTGTTAATATCCGGTTGTTATGTTATGATGTGGTGTGTTTCTTGCATTGTTTTGTTCTGATTTGCTTTGTTCTATTCTATTTTATTCTCTTTAAAATTAAAAAAAAAAAACTTAACTGGATAGAGTGGGCTGAAAAATATCCCCTAAAAATTCATGCTCTACCTCCAAGGAAAAAATTGTTTACATGTTTTTTAAAAATTCATATCCTTTTCTGAGTTTGGCAGTGCATGCCTATAATCCCAGCACTTGGGGAGGCTGAGGCAGGAGGATCACAAGTTTGAGCCCAGCCTAAACAACTTAGTGACTTCCAGAGACCCTGTCTCAAAATAGATTTTTTTTTGAGATGAGGTCTCCCTGTGCAGTTCAAGCTGGCCTTGAGCTCACTTTGTAGCCCAGGCTGGTATTGAACTCATAACAATCCTACTGCCACAGCCTCCCCAGTGCTGGGATTAAAGGCCTACACCACCACATCTGGCTTCAAAATAAAAATTTTAAAAGGTCTGAGGATGTGGCTCAGTGAAAAGGCCCTGAGTTCAATATTTAGAGCCACAAACAGATAAACAAATCCCCTCCAAGTTTCAAAATATGACCTCATTTGGAAATAGGGTCTTTGCAGGGAAATAAGGTAAGGATGAGTTGACATTAAACTGGACTGGAGTAGGTCCTAAATCCAAAAGGAAGGGCCTTATCTTAAGAAACAGAAAAGAGCCCGAGCACAGTGGTGCATGCCTGTAATGTCAGCATCTAGGAGGCTGAGGCAGGAGGATCTCAGTAAGTTCGGGCCAACCTGCTCTACATAGCCAGACCTTGTCTCAAAAATAAATACATAAATATCACGAAGAGAGACAGGATGAGAAACAGAGACCAAAGAAGAAAGGCAGGTGGAGCCAGAGAGGGGGTGGGAATGAGGCCTCCACCAGCCATGAGTACCACGGGGCAGGCCACGGCCACCACCCACTAAAGAGAGGACAGAACAATGCATCCCCCCTCCCAGCCAGTAGAAGCCCATCCTGCCGACACCCTAACTTCAGACGTCCACCTTCCCAAATGCAGTATAAACCTCAGCTGTTCTGGGCCCCCGGCCCAGAGGCAAGCAGGGAACCTGGGCTCCTCTCCACCTCTCTTGTGGTGCTCCACGGGAGGCAGACAAGTAGCACACAGCTATCAGATCATGGCCACACCCTGGGGCCTGGGCCAGTCAGGGCACACAGCAGGTGCCAGTAAATATTTATGGAGTGGATTCACTGGGTGAATGCAGAAGAGAAAGCAGGATCAGAGAGAGGTCACCTCCAAGGTCACCGCCTGCTAGGGAACATGGAAGCTGGCGTTTGAATCAGCGCTGCACCAGCTGCTGCCCAGTGAGTCAGGTATATTCCCCTGTGTCCATCCTCTAGCTCTCTCTCTCTGGCTCTCTCCCTCAACAGGGTCTTATGGAGCCCAGGCTGGCCTTGAACTTATGATGATCCTCCTGCCTCAGACTCCTGAGCACTGGGGTTATAGGTGTGCACCACCAAGTCCAGTTTAACCATTTGGCTGTCAAAGCTAACCGGTTTACAGCATCTGTGCTCCAGTGGCCCAGGTGAGACACTAATTCCCTTGATTGGTCCTTTTCCCTACCATCAAGGTCCTTCCAGTGCTTCTTCTCAGCCCAGGCCTCTCCTCTCACCTCTGGACCCACGTCTTCCAATCACCTCTCTACCTGGCTGTCCAATGGGCAGCTCGAATTCCTAAATCCAAGAGCTGGGTTTGGAGGCGCCCACCTGAAATCCCTGCACTCAGGAGACTGAGGCAGGAGGATTGTCTCGAGTTTGAGGCCAGCCTGGGCTGCTTAGTGAATCCCTGTTTCAAAAAACAAAACCAAGAACAAGCAACAGAGAAACCAAGCTGCGCTCTCTTGGCTCCCTGCAGACCTGCCTCCCCCCACATCTTTCACATCTCAGGCAAGGGCAGCTGTCTGTTCCTTGGGAGGCTCTCTCTGGCCTTTCTCCTGCTGCCCCACCCACAGAACCCCTCAGCCTTTCTCCCCAGGGCAAGGCTGCGGTCACTGGGGAGCTTCCATCATCTCGCGCTGGACAAGTACAATTGGTTCCATAATTGGGCTCTAGGCCTCTCACTGTCTGCTCCCCGCAGGGCAGCCAGAGGGATCCTGTTAGCTCCCAGGCCAGCTGCATCTCCTCTCTGATCACGGCCCTCCTGTGGCACCCGGCTCATTCTGGCTCAAAGTGAAGTCCTCACCAGGCCCAGGATGATTCACCCCGTGCCTGTCCTCTTATCCACCCAGTCTGCCCTCCTCCTTCAGCCGGGCATGTCCTCCCCCAGCCAGCCATCAGCCTCAGTCCCTCTTTTCACACAGGACTCAAGCTGCCAGTCAGTTACTTCTCAGGGAGCCCTTCCCTGACCACACCAGCTAAAACACACCCTTACCGGAGGTCTGCCATCCCAGCACTTGGGAGGCTGAGGCAAGAAGATCGCTACAAGTTCAAGGCCAACCTTGGGCTCCATAATGAGTTTAAGGTCAGCCTGGACTACAAAGCAAGATGCTGTCTCAAAAAACCAAAACAACAGGGGTTGGGGATTTAGCTCAGCGGCATAAGCGCCTGCCTTGCAAGCAGGCAGTCATGAGTTCGATCCCCGGTACCGATAAAAAGGAAAAAGACAAAAAAAAAAAAAAAAAACCAAAACAACAACAAAACTACTAGCCTTTCCCTCCCATCCCGCTTTCTTCCACCACTCTGCTTCACTGGTCTCCACGGTGCTCCCCTCCCAGGCATCCTATGCTATTCCTGTTTTATCTCTTGTGTTCCTATCCAGGAGGGCATGGCTGCCTCTGCCCTGTCCGCTGCGGGGTCCCCAGGGCTCCAAGAATGTATGATGGAGGGAAGGATGGATGAGTGGATGGATAAATGATGGATGGATGATGCAAGGATGGATGTTTCGATGATGGATGATGGATGGATGGAGGGAGGGATGGAAGGATGATGGATGATGGGTGGATAAAGGAATGGATGAATGGTGGACAGATGAGTGGAAGGGTAGATGATGGACAGATGGTTGCATGGGCAAACAAGTGGGACAGGGCTTGGGGGGGCTGACCTCACCTGCAGCCGGGCCAGGATGTGGTGGTAGTGGAACAGGGTGCAGAAGTCCACATGGGCCGAGAACTCCTCCAGGGCTGCCTTCTCTGCTGGACTGGAGTGGAATTCCTGTCATCTCAGGAAGCAAAATCTCTTTAGGTCCCTTTGTCCTTCCCATGCAGAGGAATTCTTTTCCCAGCAGCCCAAATGCTTTTTAAAATTTGTATTATTTGCGGTTAAGGGGGAAGGCTTGAGCAATCTTGCTGATCAAGAAACTGAGGCAGCTCAAGACAGTGAAAAACAGTTGGTTTGCCAGGCGTGGTGGTACATTTACCTACTCTAAGCACTTAGGAAGCTGAAGCAGGAAAATCACCATCCTGGACTACATAGTGAATTCAAGGCCAATCTGAACTACATAGTATGAGCCTGCCTCAAAAATAAAAAAAAAAATTAAAATAAAAACATTAACAAAGGGCTTATAGAGGTGGGTGTCTGAGTTCCAACACTGGCACAATGTTTATGGTGTATCAGGTACTGTGTGCATGATACCATGGCCCAAAGACTGCATGGGCTTGATGGAATTATAACTCCCATTTTTCAAAGGGGGAAACAGAGACACAAGGAAGTCATCTCCTGAGGGCTAGTGAGGTAACTCCAATCCTGATCTGATTCAGGTTACATACTGAAACCCTTCACCATGTCACTTTTGTTGCATGGGCAAAGGAGCCCGCTTTGTTGGTGCCTGGTTAAACATCTCCACCTCAGTGAGAGTCACTTTCTGTCTAGCAACAGAGGGTTCCAGCCTTTTTCTCATGGGGCTGTGGTGAGCTTGATGAGATTACCTGTGACTGTGGCAGTGTCTGTGTGCCTGTGTGTGTGTGTGTGTGTGTGTGTGAAGTATAGCACAAGACTTAGCACATAAAGCAAGTGTTTGATAAAAACTTGAAGTGAGTGGATGACCATCCTCAGGGCTGACAGGTATGATGATGGTGGGTTAGAGCTGAAACGCTGAAGCAGGACCAGGACTAGGGTGAGGTGAATAGGTCACCCAAGGGCAAAACACGTATGTTTTACACCTAGTTGTTAGGTCAGCCAAGGTTGGGCCACTATGCTGTGGCCTTTTCCTCCTGAGCACTTCTGCTACCTCTTCTATAAATGGGGATGACAGGGGCACCTCCTTTATTGGGTGGTTCTGGTTAGTAAATTCATGGCAAATACTTGGCACGGTATCACTAAGTATAAGCTCAAATAGTATGAAAACAATTACGATCATAGCTTTGTGATTGTAGATAGTTTTTATTTGGTATAGAAACAGTAATGATGAATGGATTGGAGGGGAAACCATGCCCCAGAGAGGGCGAGTCCCCGGAGAATCTTTCCTGAATCTGATTTTTTTTTTTTTTTTTTCCGGTCTTTTTTGAGTCGGGGTCTCACTATGCAGTTCAGGCTGGCCATGGGCTCACTTTGTAGCCCAGGCTAGTCTCGAACTCACAAGGATCCTCCCACCTCAGCCTCCCGAGTGCTGGGATTACAGGCATGAACCACCACGCCCGGCTCATAAATCTGATTTATTAGCTCTTACTCCTGCATTCCATCTCAGCACAACCATTTGGCCACAGAGGGGATCTGGAACTACAATCCCCCGAAGGCTCCTTGACAGCCCTCCATGGCATGCAGGGCTCCGGCGCCCCGAGGCCTGCTGGGAATTGGAGTCCTCAAAATCTCTGACCCGGGGACAGTCTTTACCTGTATCAGGAGGCGGAGCAGTTGCTCCTTGGAAAACGGAATGAAACGCTCTCTGTATTGCTGGGCCCAGTCGCGGGGCTCCGTGGGGTTCCACATCTTGCGGTACACCCCCATCTTTTCCGCCAGGGATGACAGTGCTCGGGGGGTCCCAAGGAGTGCTGACAACTGCGGCCGTACTCGAACCCTGGACCCCCAGGCTCCTCGGGTCACGTGCAGCATGGCCAGACACTTTCCCCGGAGCCTAAAAAGAGGGAAAGGAGTGGGACCAAATGTCATCCGAAGGAAATGTTCCTCGTGTCGCATCCTCGAGGGCCATCCCTGCCCTACAGCCTGGTCCACCCGCAGCGTACACATTGTTGCCCGTCCCCTCCCACACCGTTCAGTGGTCCTGGAACCTAGCATGGGGTCAAAGGTCAAGGTGTTCTGCAGACCCAGAGATCTTGTGTTGGTAAAACTGGTTTTTGCGGGATCTAGGCAGCAAGGTGGATCTTAGGCGTATAGGAAATGCTCGAAAAGCTACACTGGGGATGCAGGGCCGCCCTCCCACGGCTATGCAATCCCCCCGCCCTTCCCTCACCTTAGGCAACGCTCCACTGTCATTGTGCCTCCTGCGCATGTGCAGGATGGTGTCCTGGGCTCCGGGTTTTGGCTTCAACCAGCATCAAGACGCATGCGCGAACCCTGGGTCCGTCAGAGGAGTCCGCTTCTTTGACTGCCTTTCTCAAGGCACATGCGTAGTATGCACGGCTTTTTTTCCGCCGCCAGCGCCAGTTTTTTGTGAGGCGCATGCGCCACATAGTGTCTCCTTGTCCGCGGACTTCAAAGGGAAGGGGCGGGACAGGCGCGAGGCCAAGGACTGGGCGGGGCTCCCGCGCGCAGCCCGCCAACGGCGAACAGCCCAACGTCTGTTTAGGTCACACCCTCGCTCAAATCAGCTCCTGAGTAGGCAGGAAAAAGGGGGCGGGACTTGGGTGCAGCCAATCAGCCAGGGCGGAACGAAAAGGCGGGAAAAAGAGGAACCAAAAGAAGGCTGAGGTGGCGCCCGCGACCCGAAGGGTAGGGAAGGTGGAAGAAAGAGCCGGCCTCCAGGTGATACCCGCGGTTCCCGAGAGTAGAGGTGGCCCTTTTTCCTCAGACAATATCACCCCCAAACTCCAGTACTCCCATCCCACTAGCACAGGGACTTCGTCTTCTCATTCTGTGGGGAACAGCTTGTTTCTGAGGTTCTTCCCCTGTCCCCGCCCACCCTTTCATTTTTATGAAAGATGAAACCGAATTCTAAGGGGGCTGTCTCCTCTAGGACATAACCCCAAGGTCCAAGGACATCCTAAAATATACCCTGCGTGCCTGGACTCTCCCTTGTGGGGGCTGAGCCTGGCATGTGGTACATTTCTGTTAACCCAGCTCTCAGGAGGATCACTGTAAGATGGAGTCCAGCCTGGGCTACATAAGGAGACATTATCTGCAAAACTACTACTCTTAATAATAATATGAATACCAGTCACCCCCAAATCTGGGATTCATCTGGTTCAGATCTCCCAAAGACGTCTACCTATGTGCCAAAAGACATGGGCAGTCCTCTCCGTGTCTTTTCTCCTCGCCTGGGATCCCCTCCCCTTGTGTCACCCCTGGGGCCCCTAGGGATCCGTGCCCCCCAGCCCAGATTCCTCAGAGTCCTGGCAGTGCCCCTTCACTCCTACCTGCACCCCAACTCTGATATCAGCATCTATGCTGTCTTGCAGAAGCTGAACCCAGGTGGCCCTGCAGCACACAGACGGTGGCGCCCCACACCCGTGTCCCCGCACTTTGGGGCCAAGGCAGGACAACCTCCGCCATGCACCTCCCCCCGAGCCTGCAGGACCTGACTAACAGTGAGGCTGTGCGCTTCCTTAGGAGGCCAAAGAGTATCACACGGATCCTTGCAGGGGTGAGGCCTCTGTGGCCTGCCTGTGGCTCTGGGGGACAGGGGACAGAGAGAAGAATTCTCAGAGCCAGGGCCCAACGGTGGGTCAGGGAGCAGGCAGGAGGGAAAATGAAGAAAAGAGAGCTAATAAGAGGAGCCGCCTTCTACTGAGCACCCCACTGTACCCCACACCCCTCTCAGCATTATCAACTCCTAACAAGAACTTTAAAAGGAAGTCCCTTGAACCCCCTTTTTGATGATGAATTTTTTTTTTTTAAGACAGGGACTGGCTATGCAGTTCAGGCTGGCCTTGAGCTCACTATGTAACTCAGCTCACATTGTAACTGACAATGATCCTCCTGCTTCAGCCTCCTGTGTGCTGGGATTACAGGAGTGCACCACCACATCCAGCTGACTATGGATTCTTGAGACAGGGTCTCATTTGTAGTCCACACTGACCTCAAACTGATTTATGTGGCCCAGGCTGGCCTCAAACACACAAGATCACTATCCTCCTACCTCAGTCTTTGTAGTGCTGGGATTGCAGCCATGCAGTGTCACTATGCCCAGCCTTGTTTTGTTTTGTTTAATGAGACAGGATTTCCTATGCAATCCAATCTGGTCTTAAACTCACTATGTAGTTCAGGCTAACCTCACACTCATGGTGAGCCTCCTGCCTCAGCTTCTTGAGTACTGGGACTGTAGGTGTGCACCACCATGCCTGACTAGGAGTCAAATCTTCACCAAGCACAGACTGTGCTGTGTGACTTTGGACCAATCACTGCTCCTCCCTGGACATCACTGTTTGGGGGGGGGGGGTCAAAGGTGTGGTTATGAGCTGCCACCTGCACTTAGCCCTTTACAAATTGGAAACAAGCCAAAACCATGACAGCATTTGATCCAGCTCACGGGAGTAGGCAGGGTGCCCTGTATCGCCCTGGGTTTCCTCACAGACTCCTCATACAGACTGTTCCCTCTCCGGAGAGGGGACCTGCTTTGAACCTGGCTTCAAGCCATGGCCTGGCTCTGCCCTGTCCTTTAACAAGGCACAGTCCCTGTGGTCCTGAGCCAGTCCTGGCATAGCAGTCACAGCAGCAGCTTCCATTCTCAGGGTTGCCTTGTTTTGTCCCTCAGCTTCCATGGTCACCCTGTGACTGTGTGACCTGGAACAACTTCCTCACCCTCTCTGAGCCTCCAGAGATGGAGTGGAAAAGGCTGGTAGGGAGACAAGTTAACGCCTAGATAGCGCTGAGTGTGGGCCTGGCAGGTGGGGGCTTTCCTTAAATAGCAATCATTATTGGAACAAATCATGGCTTGCGAGGGAGGACAGATATGGGTGGAGGGTGCCTAGAGTGACAGACTTGAATCCCCGGTGCCAGATCCTTTGTTGGTGGTGGCTCCTCTGCTCCTCACCACAACCCTATGAAATGAACATTCTTACTCCTGCGTAACCCAAGGGGAAACTGAGACTTGCCCAGGGACATCATTAGCTGATAAGCAAGACAGAGCCACAGTCACCCCACCTGTCCCCAAAGCTGGAAGGAAGATCGGGTAGAGGGGAGCAGAAGGCCTAGGCAAGACAGGACTCCAGCCATGCCAGACACACTGCTCACAGACTTCACCATCTGCCTCTGTCCTCCCACCACCCTCTCCTCTGCCCCCCTGGCCTGGCTGCTCGGCAGGGAGCCCCTGGGCAGCTGGTGCCCCTGTCCTCCCTGATGCCTGCCAGCTGCTGCCTTAACTGATGAATCTTCACTCCCTCCCTGGGGATGGGACGGGAGGGCTGGAGGAGGCTGGACTCGGTCAGGTCCCTGGGCCAGCGCACACCCTCCCCCCTCTTACCATCTTCCATGTCCCAGGCTCCATTGCAGCCTCAGTCCGTTCTGGTCGATGGGCAGACAACCCTGGGCCCGGAAGTCCAGAGAGCCAGGTTCTAGTCCCACCCAGCCCAAGGGTGACCTTGAAGGGACACTTCCCCTCTGGGCAACTCCTGAGCACATGGTTTTCCTGAGCACCTACTAGGGCTGAACCAGTCACCCCCGTGTCGCCCCTCATTGGGGCTCTGTCACACTAGGAACCCAGGGCTCCAGGAGCTGAGAGATTTGCTCAGGGCCACACAGCTGGCAGTCACTCGCGCCTGGCTCTTTCCACTCCATCGTAATGGCTTCGATTTATCACCTGTGAAACAGAAAGGCATTAATAACACGGCCGCGTGGGGCTGGTATAGGTTCAATGGATTCGAGCTCAGCAATGATCGATGTGCGTTCTCGTCCTTGACCTGGCTTTGCCCCAAACCAGCGGCACAAAGCGTGTCCCTCACAACCTGGTCCTCTGCTCCAGCCTCCCTCTGGGCAGCAGCACCATGGAGAGAGACGGCAGCCCAAGAGGGACCCTCAGCCTCAGGCATCAGTGCTGGCGTTGCAATGAAGCTAGGAAGGATGGGTGGGCCCAAAGCCACGGTGTTTAGGAGTCAGGCTTGGGTCTCCCCTGTCCCTGAGCTGAAGGACACAGCAAGAAGCCAGCATCGCTGTTCCACAAGTATTCACAAGCCTGATCTCTTCCTGAGTGCTGGGGACAGTGCAAAGTCTCCCCATAGAGCCTGTCCTGTGGGAGCTCTGATTTTCAAGAAGAGGACATGTTTGACACTCTCTTTCCCTTGGCCTACCCCAAAATCTGCCATTGCCAGCACTGTCACATCCAATCAATCTCCAGGTCCGATTTTACATCCTGGATATTCCTGGACTCCCCAGGGCTCTGGCCTCCAAGGCATGCCACTCTCAGGTCTATAGCCTCTCGTCTCGCCACATGAGCCCAGGGGACTTCGCTGCCCCCCAAATGTGACTCTGGCCATCCTCAGCTCAGAACCCTTCTGCACATCAAATTCAATTCAGACCACTTTTCCCCGGCTCCCAGCTCCTGGCTCCAGGGCAGGCTTGTCAGGCTGACTCCTGCCCACTTCCCATCGAGTCTCACCAGATCCCTCAAACTGGGGCTTCTCTGGTCCTGCAGCATGTGACCTTCACACATTCTGCTCACCTTTCCTCCTCCAGGGCCACTGGGGGTCTCAGTTTACCTCCTAACTCCAGCCCATGACTTTGATTCCCCAGCAAACTCCTTCCTGCCTCACCAGCTGTTCTCCCCTCCTGCCCTCACTGTCCACACTCAGGGCTGGTTCTCTGTAGTAACCCCCTGGGCCAACCCCACCACACACACACACACACACACACACACGGGCTCCTTCTCGTCTGGCATAGCCCTAGCCCACTGCAGCAGGACTATCTGAGCCTTGACTCTTTGCAGAGTTGCAAGGATTAAAAACCCCTTCCTCGGGGTGTTTGGTCCAGAATGAGGAGCACAGCCAGGAGTTCAGAGTGGACTGAGAAGCCAGATGGCTGTGGTTCAAATGCAGGCTCTGCTGCTGACCAGCAGACCAAGAGCAGCCCATTCCTATGCTCTCTGTACCACTGTTCCATTCTCTGAAAACCAAGATTGTGCTGGCCATAGTGATGCACACCTGTAGTGCCAACATTTGGGAGGCTGAGGCAGGAAGAGTGCCAAGAATTCGAGACCTGCCTGGGCTACATGGTGAATTCAAGGCCACCCTGGAATACATAGTGAGGCCCTCTCTCAAAAAAGCAAAAACAGTGGGGCTGGGGATTTAGCTCAGCGGCATAAGTGCCTGCCTTGCAAGCAGGCAGTCGTGAGTTCGATCCCTGGTACCAATTTAAAAAAAAAAAAAAGCAAAAACAAAATAAAGAACAAGCGAAGCATGATGGTATACCTCTGTAATCTCAGCACTCTGGGAGGCTGAGGCAGGAGGATCTGAAGTTGAAACCAAACTAGATAATTTAGCAACTTAGCGAGACTCCAACTCAAAAAATAAAAAGGGCTGAGGATGTAGGTCAGTGTGAGGGTTCTGGGTTCCGTCCCCAGTACCACTCACGTACACACATGTGCATGCACACACACACACATGCAAATACACACACACAATGTGTGTGGACACAATAGTGGTAACACTGGTTGGTTCTGCATAGGGAGTGCTGGGTGTTTGTTTTGCATCTCTCTGCACTTTTCTGTGTGCACGCATTATTTCCGATGACCCCACAAAGTTCGGGTGCCTGAGTCTGATAGCAGAAGAGTGTGGAGCAAGGCAGGGATGTGTGGGGACAGCTGGGTCAAGGAGGAGGAGAGGAGGGTGAGGCCCATGGGGCACCTTGAGTCTAGGCAAAGGCTCTGAGGTCTGAGGAGATAGTGCCGAGGTGTAAAGGACAGGGGTAGATAGAGGGGCTGAGCCGAGCCAGAGAGACAGGGTGGAGAGAAGCAGGGGTGCAGGGTGGAGACTGAGGGCTCTGCCCAGTGACGGGGGGGGGGGGAGGAGCAGCCAGGGTGCAGCAGGACTGTCCCCCCCAAGAAGTTGAGACCCAGGGTCAGGGGAGAGATGCTGAGCTCTGGCCTGGTCCCTCGAGTCCCCAGGTCTTCTCGTTGGTCATCTTCTCCTCCCTGCTGACCGATGGCTACCAGAACAAGACAGACTCTCCCGAGCTCCTCTGTGTCTTCAACGGCAACCAGGCGGCCTGCAGCTTCGCTGTGGGTGCCGGAGTCCTCGCCTTCCTTAGCTGCCTGGTCTTCCTCTCCCTGGATGCCCGCGAGGCCCACATGGTCAACCCCCACCTCAAGATGGCCTTCCGACTCCTGGACATCATCGTGGCGGGTGAGCCCTGGCTTCCCAGAGTCTGCAGGGGCCAGCCCTTGTGGCACAGTGGTTGGCCTGCACCCAAGGTCTGACTCCAGGCAGCCCCACATCTCTCAGGCACAGATTACACATCTTCCAGTTTGGTATGAAGCTCACCCCTTTTGACTCTGGACTGATCCTAGAAGGAAGTGTCCTCCTCTCTCTCTTTTTTTTTGAGGGGAGCAGTGTCTCGCTATGTATTCCAGGCTGGCCTTGGACTCCCCACAAGCCTCCTGCCTCAGCCTCCCAAGTGCTGGGCTTAAACCTGGCCTGAGGTTTGTGACCCCAGGTTGTTGTTGTCCAGGAAGTGGCCTGTGGCTCTCATGTTGGGGATGAAGCTCTTCTTGGAAGGATTCACTTTGTGAGGGGGGGCCACAGGACAGGGTGGCACCAGAGGGAGGGCCAGGAGACCCCAGTCCGGCCTGCACTCCTCAGCAGCCAGCCGACAGGGCTCTCCCAGCCTCTTCTCTCTTGCAGTGCTCTGGGCAATCACCTGGTTCGTGGGTTTCTGCTTCCTGGCCAACCAGTGGCACCATTCCTCACCCAAAGAGCTTCTTGTGGGGAGCACCGGCGCTAAGGCGGCCATCAGCTTTGCTTTCTTCTCCATCTTTGTCTGGGTGAGGACGGGGCCTGGTGCTCCACAGCCCTCCCCCACCCTCCCGCCCCTTCCACAGGGAGGGGCAGGCTGGCTGGGCTCCAAGGCCAGGCCCAGCATCAGGGATCCGCCTCGCCTGGTGGTCCTCAGCCTGCCCTTTTCTGCCCACAGATAGTCCAGGCCTATCTGGCATTCCAGGACCTCCGGAATGAAGTCCCCGTCCCCTACAAACGCTCTCTGGACGAGAGCGGTGTGGTGCTGACCACCCTTTCCCCGCCGTCCACCTCCAGCTCGGTGAACTTGCCGGCCTCCAACCCTGGTAGCCTGACGTACTCCAGCTCCCCTCTGCCCTCCCACGTGACCACCCCGAAGGGCCCCCGCCTGGCTATGATGCCCGACAGCTGAATGTCCTTGTCCAAAGCAGTAAAGAGATATTCTTTCTTCAGAAAACAGCCCTGTGTCTGTCCTCTTCTCCCCAGAATTCCACTAGCTCATCTCCGGGGTGTCTTCAGGGGATCACATCTCCTTCACCTCTAGGCACCTTTTGATGGCAGCAGTGGGAGGTAGTGCCAGACCAGAAGCACAAGCAACACCTCAGGCCTGGTACTAGCTGTGGTGGGGAGACCCTAGGTGCCCCATCCTGCAGTTGAGACTCAACATGCTTCTGCTGGGTAGAGAAAACCCCATCAAGAATCAAGCTCAGAGCTGGATGTGGTGGTATACACTCGTAATCCCAGCACTCAGGAGGCTGAGGCAGGAGGATCCTTGTGATTTCAAAACCAGCCTGGGCTACAAAGCGAGCTCAGAGCCAGCCTGAACTGCAGGGCAAGACCTTGTCTCAAAAAGACAATACCGCGCCCCCACAAAAGAGAATCAGGCCCAATGTTGGGGAGCTCAGTGGTACAGGGCCTGCCTGGTAAGTGCAAGGTCATGAGTTTGATTCTCAGTTTCCCCTACCCCCTGTAAAAAAAGGATCAGGCCCAAACCAGAAGTGATGGCCACTCCTATAATCCTGGCACTTGGGAGGCTGAGCCAGGAAAGTCACGGTGATTAAGAGGACAACCTAAGTTACACACTGAGACCTTGTGACCAAAAAAACAAACAAAGAAGAATCAGGGCCAACCATGGATCAATGAGCCCCTGGCCATGGGTTTCACAGATGCCAAACCCTACCTTCCTTCCACTCCCCACAGTGACAAGGACCCAACACAAAGCCACACTGTGTGTTGAGGGGGTTGGGGGAGGGTGAGGGACAAGAGACTTGGGAGCCCATGAATGAGATTCAGAGGAACCCTTGTCTTTCTGTATTTCAAAGTCCATGCTGCTGCAAATTCAAGGCCAGCCTGGGCTACAAAGTGAGTTCCAAGCCAGCCTAAACTATGTAGTGAAACCCTGTCTTAAAAAGAAAAAATTCATAGTGATCTCCCTGGCTTATCTTCCCCCAAGTGCTCAGATTCCAAGCCTGGCTCAAAGGATGTTTACAAAGTAACTAAAGATTTTTTTTTTTTAAAGTAACTAAAGATTAACAATTCCAATGTTGAGGCTGAGGCAGGAAGATCAATGCTGCTTCAAGGCCATCCTGGGCTACATCGCGAGAAAATCTGTGTAAGAAACAGGTCAGGTGTGAAGCCAATCTGGAGACCTGGAAAATATTTTTCTTTTAACCCCACACACACACACAGAGCAATCGACGCTGACCCATTAACAAATGGTGACAGCCCCATAGCCAGTCCTGGGGATGTGGGGCAGGTGCACACCCCAACCCATTCAGCTCCAGCCATCTGTGCCACCCGGAAACGCCCCGGCACTGTCAGAAGAAGGAGCTTTTCTTTCAAACGAAGCCAGAAATCCCAGCTTCAGTGTGAAAATCTGGTTCTGAAACGCTGGCAACCCATCCATTTTACTTTTCTAGCAAACACAAAGTGCTGGACAAAATCCAACCCCATGCTGACTGGGCTGGGGTCAGGGCCCTCAGCAGTGTAGGAGCTCTGGACTCCTGAAGGTCAGGGGAACCCTCGGACACTTTTCATGCCAAGGTTAAGAGGATCTGCAAGCTTTTCCCCAAAACCTCTTCTCCAGCACAGCTGTGGGGGCCTCAAGTGCAGCTGATTATCTCAGGAACCCCATTTCTCATTCTGCTGTTCCCCGATCTCTGGATCACCAAAGATGATCAATGAGGCAAAAGCAGAACAGAGAAGGGGCATTGGAGTGGACCCCATGATCAGCAGAGAGGAAAAGGAGTAGCAAAAGAGGTATCATTTTCCTCTGTTTATTTCAAGAGAACAAAGAATCAACCATCAAATTCTGTACAAAAACATGGTGTTAAGAGCCGTGGGGACCCAAGGGCCAGCCCCCTTCCCACGTCCAGGCCCAGAGCCTCCCACAATTTTCCAAAAACCAAGACAAGACCAAAAAATCCCAAATTCTGGCAAAAATTATGAAAACTCTAGGGAGACCTTCCCGGGCCTCCCTTCCTCCCTGTCCCCCACCCAGGGACTTTGTGGGAGGGAGCAGCAGATTTGGGGTTTGGCAACCAGTGGAGGGGCCTGGGGACGGGAAGAGCTCATGTCCTGGCTCATGGGACACTCAAAAAGAGTTTATAAAAATTGGGGCCAGAGAAGGAAAGAAAAAGGGCTCATCAGAATCAAAAACTAAAGAGTGGAAAAATTTTTCTTTTTTTTTTTTTTTTTGTCATCTCTAAAAGGCAGAAAACTAGAAACAGCCCAGGTCCTGAGTTTCCCAAGACTTGGGTCTTCCATCAGCCGCCCCAAACCCGGTAGGAGCGGGTACAGGGAGTGGGGAAAGTCGGGTTCTTTAAAAAGTCACTCCTGGACGGAAGGCGCCGTCAGTCTCCTGACACCTTCCTCTGCTTCTGCTGCTGCCTCCACCATGCTGAGGAGTGGAGTGGGCCGGGCCAGGCCGGACCAGGGCTACGCAGGCAAACTCAGCTTCTTCCCCTTGAGGACTGTGGGGAGAGACACAGGCATTACTGGGAGCCTTCCCCACACCACGGCCCAGCCAGCGTCTGCCATATCACGGACCAAGCGGAATGGCAGGGGCCTGGACCAAGGATCCTGGACTTGTGCCAGGGGCTGAGCACAGGGTGACACAGGCCCCCCGTTTCAGTGATGGCTGGGTCTCTTCCTGCTCTGTGGCACCCAGGATCGGCCGCCTCAAGTCTCTGAGGGCAGAGGCGCTGCCCCGGCTGGATCCTACTCTGGCCTCTTCAGCATCACCTCTTCTCAGGCCCTAGGCGAAGTCGTGCCCTGCAGCACCTCGAGAAGGCACCCCTAGTTTCTCTCCAGGCTCTCCTCACCACTGGGAATTCCTTCCCTCTTCTTCCTGCCCCAACTTTCCCTCCAGGCTCAGAGGGGAGGAGAAGGGCCTTGATCATCTTTTCTTTACTTTTTTTTTCTCCTTTGGTTTTGGAGACTGGCCTGGACTATAGTCCAGGCTGGCCTCAAACTCAGGGCAATCCTCCTGCCTCAGCCTCCTGAGTGCTGGGATGACACGGGTGTAAGGTACACCACAATGCCTGACGATGACCATCATTTCTCCTCCTGCTGCACCTGGGGACCCTGACGCCTTGCCTGGGACACACAAAGTACTCCAATACATTATTTGTTTCTTTGTTTGTTTTGGTACCAAGGATCGAACTGACAACCTTGCACTTACTAGGCAAGCTCCTGAGTCACTGAGCTAAATCCACAGCCCTCCACACAATTGTTCAATGAATGAACAAAGTTCAAGGTTCTAAGTCCTCCCTGGCCTGATCCCCACTTGGGGATCCCCCAATATGGCTGCCAAAAGACAGAAACTCCTGGATCCTCGGGGAGCCAGGGACTAGAGGCCCAGATTCCCAGGGAGCAGTGGATAAGGTACCCAAAGCCCCAGGAGGAAGCCCTCCCTCCCATGACAGAGAGAGAGAGGACTCAGGACTCCAACCCCAGCTCCCAGACAGCACAGAGGCTGAGGAACGGGCCTGCGCCCGGGCTACCTTTGGTGATGTAGAGGTAGAAGAAATCGCAATACAGGACCGTCTGGACCAGCCCAGCCACAATGGCGATGAGGTCAAAGAAGCCCTCGAAGTGGTAGCGCCAGATCCAATTGAAGAGATAAAGCGTGCGGTAGACACCCAGCGCGAACAGGTAGTGGCTGGTGATGGTCTCCGCCTCGCCAGTCTTGCTCACCATGAACAGCTGTGGCAGGATGGCCACGGACTCCAGGTAGATGGAGAAGGTCCAGAGGATCTGTGGGAGGTCAGAGAGGGGTTAGCAGGGCGGGCAGAGGGGACAGCAGTCAGGGCTCAGGGAACCCCATCCGGTGCCGCCCCTATTATATGTCATTTAACTCTCACCACTGCCCCAGGAGGAAGCTACAGGAGGAAGAAACTGTTCTTTCATTCTTTTTTTGAGATGGGATCTCACTTTGTAGTTCAAGCTGGCCTTCCATTCACTATGTAGTCCAGGCTGGCCTTGAACTCATGGAGATCCTCCTGCCTCAGTGCTCCTGAGTACTGAGATAACAGCTGTGCACCACCATGCCTGGCAGGAAGTTATAATTAACAACATCCCCATTCAATAGCTGAGGAAACTGAGGCTCAGAGAAGGTAAGGCACCTGCCCAAATTACATAGCTTATTAGCAGCAGAGCTGGAGACATCATGTGTGCGTGTGACAGTGGGGAACCCAGGGCTTTCCCCTCCTCCACACCCTCCCAGTCTCATGCTTTGGTTTCCTTCTAAAGAAAGATGCTTCCTGCCAGGCCCTTTTCATACCTAGCTTTGTGAAAGTCCCACCTGGGATGGTCTGCGACCTGTGACTACCGAGCTGAAACCTCCCCTCACAGGACAGAGGCAGCAGCAGGAGCAGCCCCTGCTGTTTTAAACGCCCTGAGGGAGGACATGGCTCCAGGTCCAGGAGGCTGGAACACAGGGCCTGCCCTCAGAACCACCCAGAATCCTCCAGGAGGCTCTCAACGATCGTCAGCTAAGGCTCATGGGAAATGCACCCACTGGGCGGATCCACACCAATGCTCACACTTGGGATTGGCCTTGGGGAACAGAACCAAGGCACAGGAGGAGACAGAGGTTTGTGGCACTGGGCATAGTTCATGGTATCTCTTTGTTTGTCTGTTTTACAGCATCAGAGATTGAACCCAGGGCCTCAGCACTGAACTACATCCCCAGCTGTTTTTTCATCTTTTAAGAGTTGGTTTTGCTAACTGGTTAAACTATCCAGGTTGGACTGGAATGCCAGGATGCAGCACAACAATTTAACTGACTTTATTTATTTTTTTGGACAGTCTCACTAAGTTGTCCAGATTGGCCTCAAACTTGTGATTTCTCCTGCCTCAGCCTCCCAAGAATCTGGGATTACAGGTGTGCAGCATGATTGCTTGATAGCCAAATTGGTTTTGTTTTTGTTTTTCCTTTGGTTATTTTGTTTTGTTGCTTTTTAGTGTTTGAGGATTTTTTTTTTTTTTTTTTTTTTTGCTTTTTTGAGACAGGGTCTTGTTATGTAGTGTAGGCTCAAAGCTGGGGCAGTCCTCCTTGTTTTAGAGCCTCCTGAGTGTTGGATTTTGTTTTTTGGGCTTCTTCTTCTTCTTCTTCTTTTTTTTTTTGAGACAGGGTGTCTATATACAGTCCAGGCCAGCCTTGAACTCACAATAATCCTCCTATCTCAGCCTCCTGAGTGCTGGGATTACAGGCATGAAACACCACTCCCAACAATACCTGAATTTTTAAAGAAGAATATTTTCGGGGCTGGGGATTTAGCTCAGCGGCATAAGCACCTGCCTTGCAAGCAGGCAGTCGTGAGTTTGATCCCTGGTACCGATAAAAAGGAAAAAGACAAAAAAAAAAAAAAAAAAGAATATTTTCCTTCTAAAATATATATTTTTTTAGGGTCTGGGGATTTAGCTCAGCGGCATAAGCACCTGCCTTGAAAGCAGGCGGTTGTGAGTTCGATCCCTGGTAACAATTGAAAAAAAAAAAAAATATATATATATATATATTTGAGCCAGGGATTTAGCTCAGCGGCATAAACACCTGCCTAGCAAGTACGAGGTCATGAGCTCAATCCCCAGTACTAATAAATAAATTCATTATATATAATATATATATTCATATATATTAAGCAAGCACCATTTACTAGTCCAAGCTTTAGCAGAAGGAAGACTGGGTTCAAATGATGTGAGCTTTCCCCTTTGAACCTCCCATCAATCCTCTAAAAAATGGGGTAAGGCCCAGCATAGTGGCACACTCTTATAATCTTAGCACTGGGGAGCCTGAAGCAAGAGAATCACAAGTTTGAGGCCAGTGTGGGTAACTCAGCGAGACTCTGTCTCAAAGTAAAGTCAAAGAACAGACCGGGGCCAGGCATGTGGCTTAGCACTAGAGCAAGTGACCTCTCCCCTCTGAATGAGGAGACACCAACGCCTGTTTCTGGGCCAGGCCCCTTTGCCTTGAGCAATCCTCAATCTCCCCATCTCCCTCACTGTCCCTTCTGCAAACTGGGCTCATGACCCCCCGGGGCAGGGTAGTCACAGTCAAGGGTAGGCCCCTGCTCTGTGCCAAGTGACAACACTGATCTGTTTGGAAGCCCAGCACGCCTACTGCAGCACAGCCAGTGTCCCTCTGGTATTTCTAGGGATACACGGGCCACAGTCACCTCTGTTGGACTGGTCAAGCCTGCACAGTGCCTAAGGAGATATATTGTGAACCCTGTGGCCAAAATTTTAAAATGGGATCTGCCTAAAAACTACTAGATTGGTCAGGGATATAGCTCAGCAATTGCCTAGCAAGGTCAAGGTCCTGAGTTCGATTCTCGGTATAAAAAAAAAAAATACCGGGTTATGGGTTCTATCGAAAACATAGGCTCACCCTGCCATCCAGGCTGGCTTCCTGTAGGGCAGGAGCGGGTGTGAGGAAGGCAAGGTTGCTTCAAATTTATGACTCCTAGCAGTTGACACAACATCTCTAACTGTGACCTGGCCCTCCCAGAATTCCTCTGAAGGGCCCCCAGCAAAAAAGCCACAGAATGAAAATCACAGTGACAAACATCTCAAACCAGAAAGGTCAGGCATGGTACCGAACACTTCAGTCACAGACACAGAGATAGAATACTTCCCACCTTCCAAACATCAACCCCACCACGGCCCCGCACTGGCGAGGGAGACCAGCGTACGGCTCAGTGTGCAGTGTGCACCCAACACACACGGGGCTCTGGATTCCAATTCCTACACCAAAACCACACACTATTAGATCAGAACTGTTTATCTGTAGTTTAACAGATGGGGAAACTGAGGCACGGGAAGCTGCACGACTTGCCTCAAGTCTCACTAATGCTCAGTGGAAGGAACAGGTTTCAGACCTCTGCATTACAGTTCTAGAGTCCCTGTGTGTTTCACCATGAGGCACTGCTACAAAATATCAGAAATCCTCATAAGGGCCTGATCCCGACTTCATATTTGGGAAACTGAGGTAGGAAAAGGTTAAGTCACAGGCCCAGGTTCATGTCAGTAGAAAATAGGCAGCTCTGGGATTCAAACTCAGGCAGCCTGGCTCCTGAGGCCCATCCCAATTCCTGGCCTATTCAGTCTGGTATTACGAGGTCAGAGACTAGGGATACTTAGACCCCTGAGTCTCAGTTTCCTCATCGGCAAAGTGGGACTGTTGTGAAAATCAGCGAGACCAAGTACGTGGGATGAGCAGAGCAGCATCCAGCTCACACCGCTGCTTTCACATCACCAACTCCGGGGCCTGTGCCCTGAGTGTGTAGCTCCCAAAATAAGGAAGCCTCAGCAAACCAGGCAGACAGAAGTGTGTGAGAAGGCCTGCCATCCAGCAGTCATTCTATCACCACCATCTGACCACTGCAGGAGTCTGTGGGCAGCCTACCTCTAGAGGAGTGAAGTCATGGTTGACCAGGAATGCGAGGACAGCCGTGGGAAGAACAAGGAACTCCACTCGGAATGTGTCATGGTTCCCATCATACGTAGCTTTGAACTTGCTATAAATCATCCAGACAGTGGTGAAGGAGCAAGCTATGTAGACCACCTGACAGGGATGACAGTGTGTTACCTCACTCAAGGGGGGCGGGCCCAGCCTGTGGCTCAGACCTAGGGGTCTGGAACCCCAGCTGCCTCCTCCCTCAAACCCGAGGGGTCTCTCATCCTCTCTCAGGGACCCAAGAAGATGGCCCCGAGCCTTACCTTCATGCACGTGTTGTAGAGTGAGATGTAGTTGGTGAACAGGTCCAGGTAGCGGGCAGTGAACACCACAGCAAATAGGACCTGGCTCTTCCCTGAAATTCCTGTGGGACACAGAAAGGACAGGAGAAAGCTGGTGGTGGGCTGCATGGGCCATGAATGAAGGCACAGTGTGGTGCCTGGGACCAGCCTGGCTCTGAACCACAGCTGTCTCTAAAGGCCTTCCCAGCATGCTCAGCCCAAGCAGGGCCCTTCTTTCCCACGGCCCACAGCCAGGGGGCAGCCGGCCCCAAAGCTACTCCAGCCCGAGGCTCCGTCCCGGGCTAGGCCTCAGAGCCATCTCGACCCTCCTTGGAGTCCTCCCACCCTCTCAATCGGAGGAGGGGCCTAAGGAGGACCCTGCCTGACCTCAGCGCCCCCCCCAAACAAGTCACCTCCCTCCTGTTCTCTTCCTGGCTGCCACTGTCCACGTCACCAACTCCCAGCCACCTCTCGGCCAGCCATGGCTCCCTGTTCCCAGCATGGAACCTCTAAGACAGCTCAGAGCGGGGCTTCGGGAGGCTGAACGCGGGCGGCTTGGCGCCACCAATCGGACCGTGTGCACCCCCGGCCTGGGGAGGCGAGCTGACCCCGCGGTGACCCCAGGCTGGAAGAGGGAGTCCCCACCGAGCAGTGGGCGCAGGAACCAGTCCCCCGAGGTTCCCCAGCTTCTCCCGGTCCCGGGATGCCCCCGCCTCCTGTCCCCTTCTCCCTTGGGCGGGCCTCTCACCGGCACACGAGCGGGACTTCCAGATTTTGAGCAGTAGCAAGATGATGGCTAGGAGGTGGGAGAGATCTCCCAGGAATCGGAAGAGATTCATGGCCAGGAGGCTCCGGCAAGGCTGAGCTGAGGGCGGGCGGGCGGGGGTCTGGCCCCCGAGCTGTTGCTCCGGCGGGCGGTTGGGCTACAGGCGGGAGAGGGCCCTCCGTTGGGCTGCGCTGCGGGGAGGGGGCTCTGGGTGGGGGTCCGTGGCCCGAGCTGGCGGCGGAGCCGGAGCGGGGAAGAGGGAGGGCGGCGGAGGAGGAGGAGTCTCAGCCGAAAGGCCCCGCCCCCGAGGGAGGGGTCCCAGGCTCTCGGGCTCCCCCTGTCGCCCACCTCCTGCTTTGGTAGCTCCGGTGCCCAAAGCGCCCCAGTCCTGAGCCCTCTGAACTTGGAGGGTCGCCGCGATCTGACACTCCCAAATCCCAGCATTGCTCCCCCAGACAGTGTGCGTCTTTGTAAAGGGTGGAGAAGAGCTTCGGAGACCCTGTCCTTACAGGGATTCAAGAGGCGCCTCGTGAACTTCAAAAGTCCTGCGCGGAAACCCAGCTGCTGGGCTGCTGGCTCACCTGGGGTCTCCAGCTCCAGTCAGTAAAGAAGGAGGCTCTTAGCATCACCTCTCTCATACCCAGGGGGCCAGGCCCCAGCACTCTCCCCTTCATATCCCCTGTGTTGGAATTTAGGATCCCACTTTAACATTTTATAGCTTGAGAGTTTTACCACCAGGAATCTAGGTCCACAGTCCCTTCCTCCTGTGCCACCTTACAATTCAGACCCTAAGTCCCTTCTTTTTCAGGACCATGCACCTTCAGACCAGCCCTTCCAGACTTTGGGAACGAAGGGAACAGGAGTTTCCTAGTGGGCTCAAGGGCAAAACTCTGGACTTGCACTGCCTCAGGTGCTCGTGGGCCTGGTACTAGCCCAGACTCCAGAACCGGCTCCATATCTGCAAGCCCCCACCCCCACTCTCAGACCCCAATTTCAAGGACCCAGTTGTCTGGTACCACCCTCCTACACAGAGGCTCACAGGCGGCCTTATAGGATTGCTTGACCAGGAGGGCAGCATGGGCAGATGGCCTTGTGGGCACTCAGAGGCCAGGCTGTGGTCTGGACACAGCAGATGCGGCTTTACTTCTGGATGTCCAAGCACCATGGCTACTGATTACTGTGCTCCTTAGTAAAGGAAGGTGCGTAGCCGTGCTTCCTCAGAGGCTTGTATGTACTATAACTATATCTCAGTGACATTCATGAGACCAAGGCTGGTTTGTGCTAGGAAAGGCAGAATGCCTGAACACTTTAAAAGGGGCTCAGGATTAGGTCCATAGGTTCCAGAAGAGATGAGGACCCTGGAGTCCGAGGGAGGAGGCTGGGCCTGAACCCTGGAGTCTGAGGGAGGAGAGCTGGGATTGAACCCTTGGGTCTGAGGGAAAAAGCTGGGCCTGGACCCACCAGGGTCTGAGGGAGAAGGCTGGGCCTGGATCCTAGTCTGAGGGAGGAGAGCTGGGGCTTGAACCCTTGGGTCTGAGGAATGAACCCTTGGGGCCAAGACTTCTAATTCCATAATAGAGACCTAGTTTTTGAGCCCAGCCTTTTGGGGTGACAGAAGCCAAGGTCGGGTCTTGGCATGGTGGTCAGTTGGTTACAGGAGCCAAAGAAAGGCCTCCAGGTGCTGAGCCTTTGTGAGGAGGGGGCTCAGGGCAGCTCCCACAGCACAGGAATCTCAATCAGAAACTAACATCCCCACGCTGGTTCTGAATCCCCCCCCCCTCCTTTTTTATTTGCAGCCCCTCTCCCGTGTCCCAGGAGGAAGCCAGGGGCTGGGAGCCGGGGCAGGGGGCGGCCCTTCCCCCAGCCCTCGCAGGAGGAGGGGTCCCCGGAGAGGCCAGGAGGGGGGGCTGTGGGTCTCCAGCAGGGACGGACGGGGACTGAATGTTAATCGCATCCCGACTGAGCGTGTGTGAGAGAGCAGTGAGTGTGCGAGTCCCTCCCGCTCCAGCTCCTCCAAGCCACGGCCGCCGCCGCCGCCGCCACCCTCCGCCCGCAGCCTCCTGGCCACCAGCGCCCAGCTGGGGGTGTGGGCCTGGGTGGGTCCGCCCGGCCCCCAGGGGTCTCCCGTGAGACTGCCATCTGCCCGGTGAGAATGCGTGTCCGGGCATGTGGGGCGGGCTGCGGGGGGGGTGTGTCTGCGGAGGGCTGCGGCGGCCGAGGGAGGAGGGGTCTGTCTGTCTGTCTTGACCCTGAGCTGCCTGCCTGCATGTCGCGGGCCCCCTAGTCTGCCCCCCTCCCGATCCCCCAGACTTGCAGGCATTGTGTGTACCTGGGTTCTTTGCCTCCTGCCTGAGTCCGGCTCCCGCAGCCAGCCGGGCCGTCTGCGTGTCCCTGGCTGCCTCTGTCCTCCTGTCTGTCCAAACAGCCCAACAGCAGTGGCAACTGGGCCCCCATTGGACCCCTGCGTGCATGCGTGTGTGTGTGTGTGTGTGTGTGTGTGTGTGTGTGTGTGTGTGTGTCTCCCTACTCAAGCTCCGGGGGTGTTGAGGGGGAATCCCAGGGAAGTGAGGTTGTGCGTGTGTGCCCGCGTGTGTCTGTGTGTGCTTCTGCCTGTGATCCAGAGTGGGGGCGCTAAGGGGAGGGGGGTTTGGAGGTGGCCAAGCAAGGAAGGGGTGCGCAGTCCCCTCAGGCAATCTCCTGCTTCTTTCACAAACATGCACACCAGCCACTGCTTCAGAGGTGACCCAGACAGACAGACAGACAGACAGACACAGACGCTGTGGGGGGGTTGCCCAGGGCACAAAGGAGGGGTGCAAATGAGCTAGGGAGAGGCGGGATGGGGCTTATGGACAGGGAGGATGAGCTGGGGCTGAAGCGGCAGAGGGGGGCACCCCTGGTGGGTGGAGGGGGGATCCCCATGGGGTCGAGGCCGCAAGAGGACACCCCGACAGCCTCTGCAATGTCCGGGGCCCAACTTCCAGCGCAACATGTGTAGCCTCGTCCTCACCTAGTCCGGGTGCCTGCAACCTTGGGGGACAGACAGGGCAGGTCAGGATCAAGGAAGAGGAGGGAGACAGCCAGGGACAGGAAAGAGGTCCCTGCCGCTGCTGCTACCACCGCGCCAGCACTACTGCCTCCTGCCACCGCCCCAGGGCCTGCCCCCCCCCCCACCGGCTCCGCGAGCCCTCCGCAGAATCTTCGGGTCCCTGGACACTGGGTTCCGGTTCTGGCCCCTCTGAAATCCCCCCCACAGAACAGGGTCATGAAAAGGTAAGGCTGGGGCAGGGGCTGTGGCGGTGGGGGTGGGAATGTGGACCCCCCCTAAATGTAGGACAGGGAAAGTTGGCCACAGGTTCAGGCATGAAGGGGCTTCAGGGGAGGCAAGGGTCCCCCCGGGTGCCTCAGAGACTCTCCTCCACCCCACTACTCCCTCCCTGAACCTCTTTTCTGGGTCCCTACACCACAAACCTCCTAACCCCCCCCACTTCCTCTGACACTGCTCCTCTCCCCATCCACACATACCTGACACCCCTACCCCTGCACCCCCTCCCTGTCAGGCTCCTCAGCAATGCTGGCGTCCCTCTCCCGCTCCCCTCGGGCTCACCCCTCCCCTCTCAGAGCTATGAGTCTGCTATTAATACTCCTGCCAAGGACCTTGAGAGCATCTAGGCCCCTGGCACCCTCGCCCCAGGCTGAGACCCCCTCCTCAAGGTTCTGCAATGCCCTTCCAGCTTCTCTAAGGCACCAGGACTGGGAGGGGGAGACCCAGAGTGGGGGGGGGCCAAAGGACCGTCTGCAGCGTAACTGGGGGGAAGCTATGGATCAAAGTAGTCTCTCCCCTTTTCTGCGATGGACAGGGTGAGGAAAGCAAGAGAGACAGGGACGCCCCAGGAAATCTCTGGCACCTTCCTCCTCTTCAATTTGGGGACAGTCTGCCATCAGGGGGACGACTGAGGCCAGAGCTGGAAGGCACAAAGGAGGGTAGTTCTAGGAGCCCAGGCTGTTGGGGCTGGGGAACAGGAGGGAACCGGGGCTTCTGGGTCCTGTTGAAGAGCAGAGTAGAACTCTGGAGTCCTCGGGGGAGGCAGGGGCTGCCCGCCAGGCTGGGGAGTCTGTGGGAGAAGTTGGAGGGCAGTGCTGGGCATCAGAGGGAAGAGGAGGGGTGGGGCCTAGCTGCCGGCCAGGGAGGGCTGGGGTCCTGCTCTTGGGCCCCCATGTGGCTGGACCAGAGTTGGGGCTGAGACTCAGGAGGAGGTGGCGCTTCCGGCCTGGACTCTCATCCTTGGGGGTGTGAGCTCTGGGGATCAGCCTCCAGAGCACTGGAGGGGTGGGGATGCCACTCCTCAGTCCCAGAGGGGTAGGAGGTGGTGTCCGAATGCCTGAAGAGAAAGAAGCTGGCCTCCTGCCTCCTAGGAACGCTGTGAACTGCCCCCCTGGTCTCAGCAGAGAGCAAAACCCTGGAGTGCCCCCAAATCAGAGACAAGGGGTGGGCCTGAGTGGGGGAAAGAAGGGGTGGAGGGGTGAGCAGCCCCCTAGAAGAGAGAACGCCAGAGTTAACCCCGCGGGGGGCCAGGCCACAGCTGTGGGTTATTTTGGGGTGGAGGGGGGGGCTATTCTGAGCGCTGATTGAGCCAGCTGCTTGGGGAAGGGCAGTGGAGAGGAGGGGCGAAGAGAAACCAGGATTTGGAAGCGGGCCTGTCTGGAGTCCCTGCTTCCTTATCCAAAAAGACAGTGGCCTGGGATCTCTAGCAGGGTCAAGGGGTGGGAAGGAGGGGTGAGGCCTTTGGGCAGGGCTGGGAGTGTGGGCCTTTCCCCAACCCTGGCTGGCTGGGGTGGTGAAGGCCTGTGCTACCATGGCAACTGGACAGGAGGCTGATTGACAGCCAATAGAGAACCCTCCCTTCTAGACCCTCTCCCCTTTGGGGAGCCCCCAGTGCGGGCTCCAGCACCTCACCAGGAGTCAGAAGTCAAGGCCCCCCATGTCCTCCTCCCTCAGACCCAGGACCCAGGAGCCTGGGCTCCCAACCCATGCACCCCAGGCCGCTGGGATTCAACAGGGGGCAGTGGAGGCAAAGCTGTATTTCCTCTAATTTACTAAATTGCTCTGGGCTAGGTGCCAGGGACCCCCCTCCCCAGCTCTGCACAGCTGTGCCCCCCAACCTTGCATCCCGGTCTGGCCCATGACTCTCACTCTGAGAATGAGGGACAGGGACAGGAGTGGGGGGTGGACTGGGGTGATGATGGGGTGAGGGACAAGGCCTGGGGGGGCATTTTCTCCCCTTAGGACACCCCGCTAATTTCTCTTCATTCTGTCTCCCCACACACCTGACCCCTTTTCCCTCTCTTTTTTTCCCCTCACTTTTTCTTCCTTTTATTTCCGCTCCCTCCTGCCACTGGCCTTCCTGGCCGGCCTTTCATGTCTGTGCCGGCACTTCCCTGGCGGGATCTCGGGCTCTGCTTCGCTCGCTATTTCTGTCCTCCTGTGCATTCGCTCTGCTCCGCCTGCCCTGTCCCTGTGGCTGTGTGTGCTTGTTCCCTGGTGGCCCTGGGGTCTATCTCCGGCTTCGGCTCACTCTCCATCTCCTTCCCTGTCCAATTTTTTTGTCTCTTACCTCTCCGGCCTCCCTACCCCTGTCTCCTTCTGCATCTCCCCTCTCTGGCTTACGCTCACTCCCTGTGTCTGTCACTCTGAGCCTGTCCACTCCGTCTGTTTTGCCTTCCATCTCTTCCCCTAACTCTTCCTTTACGTATTCTGTCCCATCGCTGCGGGGCTCACTGGCCCCTCCATTCTTGCCTCCTTCTCTTTTTTCCCCCCTTACCTCTGTATCACCCCCCCCCATTACTCATTCCCATCCTCCCTGGCTGGGTGCCTGGGTCCCACGAACCTCTCCTCCCGCTCCACCTCCCCAACCCCGCCCCACGGTACTGGGGCTCCCTTCCACCTCCGTCACTGTCCTTTTCTGTCTTCCTCGGTCTCTCCCTTGGTTTCTGTATCTCTCCTTTGCTGTCTCTCCCTTGGTCTGTTTCTCCTTTGGTGTCTCTCTTCTTGTCTCGGTCCTTCCTGTGTCTCTCATTTGGTCTCTGTCTCCCTCTCTATCTCTGTCTCTCCCTTGGTGTGCCTCTGTCCTACTACCGGTGTCTCTCCCGCCCTCTCCTCTTATCATTTGTCTCTGCCCCTCTATTTCTGTCTCTATCTGGATCTCTCCTTTGCTCTCTTCCTCTCTCGCTGTCTCTGTCCCCCCCCCTCTTTCCTCCCCACTCCTGTGCGCCCCTCCCTCGGTGCCTCTGTCCCTCGCAGGGGCCGCCCGGCGGGACCCGCAGGCGATGCGCCGCGCCGGGGGACCCCGCGGCCCTCGGGGCCCCGCTAGGATGCTGCTGCTGCTCGCGCTGGCCTGCGCCAGCCCTTTCCCGGAGGAGACGCCAGGGCCGGGCGGGGGCGCCGGGCCGGGCGGGGGCGCAGGCGGGGCGCGGCCGCTCAACGTGGCGCTCGTGTTCTCGGGGCCCGCGTACGCGGCCGAGGCGGCGCGCCTGGGCCCGGCGGTGGCAGCGGCCGTGCGCAGCCCGGGCCTGGACGTGCGGCCGGTGGCGCTGGTGCTCAACGGCTCGGACCCACGCAGCCTCGTGCTGCAGCTCTGCGACCTGCTGTCGGGGCTGCGCGTGCACGGCGTCGTCTTTGAGGATGACTCTCGCGCGCCCGCCGTCGCGCCCATCCTCGACTTCCTCTCGGCCCAGACCTCGCTGCCCATCGTGGCCGTGCACGGCGGTGCAGCGCTCGTGCTCACGCCTAAGGTGCGCGCGGGGGCGTGGCTCTGGGGGCGGGGCTCGGGTGGGCGGGGCCCTCCGTGGGTCAGCTCCTGGGACCCAGGCAGGGCCTAGGCCACAAGCGGGGCGAGCTTGAATAGGCGGGCACCTAGAACGTTCAGAGGATGGCCGGCAAGGACCAGAGCTTGGGGAGGACATAGGCCCCATCCTGCAGATGAAGAAAGGAAGGAAGGGAGGTACGGGATTGGCCAGGAATCTGTTAGACAGGATTAAGGATCCAAATGGGGCGTTGTCTAGTAGGAAGGTGGGCCCCGGAAGGCAGGGACAGGGACTGGGATAGTGAAGCACAGGGTCTGGAGAGGGACAGGCCAGCTTAGCCGTCTACAAGTCATCCAGCAAAACCAGTCTGAGAAGGGGAGGAATCGTCACAGAGAGGTGGATGAGAAAGGGGAGAACCAGGCCTGGAAAGAGATTTCTGGGCGGACCAACCAGGGAAGGGGCGGGGCCTCTGCGATGGAAAGGCAGGTCTGGGTATAGGGCTTAGGAAGGGGCCCTGCCCAGCCCTGGAGTTGGGAAGTGGGACAATGAAGGCCTATGTCGAGGGAGGCCCAGTCAATGAAAGGTCAGAGTCAGGAGGCTGCAGTGAAGTGGGAGCAAGTCTGGAGCTGGCGTGGCCTGTGAGAGGTTGCCTCCCTACGGCACGAGGAAGCCCAACTGTAGTGGACTTGTAGTAGCCAAGCATCACAGAGCAAGCCTGACCTGGCCTCTCAGATGGGGAAAAGTCAAGAGGCGGAGCTTGACAAACGGTGGGGCCTATTATAAGTGCCGAAGCTAGTGGAAATGAGAGGTGTGATTCGATAGATGGTGGAGCCACCTGAATGGGTGGAACCCCGATCAGTCAGTTTCTTTCTGCAAGGGCAATGACTTTGTGACCGGATCATTATTGCATTCTGGGACTCATAGTTCTCCTGTTCAAAGCCTTCTGGGAAGGACCTCTAACCCAGCTTTCTCTTTCTCCTTGGCATGATGTTGTGCAGAAGTTCGTAGGCAAAGCTGTAGACCTAAGAGTTGAATGTACTGTTTCTTGGCTGCCACTTTTGTAGAATAACAAGAGGTTCAGTCTTTCACGCTGCCAACTGCAGCTAAGGGTGGTCCACTCCATTCACTTTCTGCTGGACACTGGTCCACTCAGGGTACAGTCCATTGCCTTCAGGGAAGTGTAGTCCCCTTGGTATCCCTGGACAAAAGAAAGTGATCCTCACAGCTGGATGTGCATGCCATTGACTTCGAGGCATGTGGCCCCCTCTACATACTTCCACCCGCTGAAGGGTGAGGTGCCCATCTTCCCACTGCATGCTTGCGTTCTCTACGTGTACAACCACAGGTGCCTGCCTAGTGACAGTCTGCGTGCCGTCCACACTGCATCACAGGAAGGCTGTTTGAGGGCTGATTTTGTGAGAGAGCCACTTTGGGTTCTGGGGAACAAATTCCTGTCTTATGGAGCTTGAATTCTAACAAAGGAAAGTGATAAGACCAGCCACAGATAATAAACCTGGCCCTGGAGGAAACTGACAGGATGCTGTAATAACTGAAGCAGGGGCTTCAACAGCAGGTGATTAGGAGAGGATTGAATGGACCTGAGGAATGGGTAAATCAGGCACAGAAGAGCCAGGGACAGTGTCCTTGGGAGAGGTGACAAATAAGGACAAACGGTCCCAAAGGCAGGAGCATCGTGGTGTGTTTGAGGAGGAGCTAGGAGAAGTGTGCCTGGAGCCAGCTGGGTGTTAGGCATGGCAATAGGTGAGGTCTGAGTCCAATTCACACAGGGGCTTCTGGACCACGGAGAGGACTTTGGCTTTGATTCCAAAGAAGAATCATTGGAAGGCTCATAGCTGAGAAGGGATGTGATCCAATTAATATTTTAAAGGGATCACAGAGGCTGCTGTTTGGAGAATACACTGGAAGATGAAAGAATGGAGGCAGAGATGGGTTGGAAAGCTATAGGCATCTAGGCAAGAGACAAAGCGATGGTGGTGAGGGTTGTGATGGTGGCATCTGAAGTGGACAACTGGCTCATGGTCAGACATAGCTCTGAGACTTGGAAAAGGCCTGAGTATATGTGGACATGAAGAAAGGGAGTCTGACCCAAGGGTGCAAGTCTGAGGCACATAGAGGAGCTCAAGAATTTTATTTTTGCTGGGTGTGGTGGCATACAGCTATCATCTGTAATCCCAGCTACTTGGGAGGCTTTGGCAGGAGAGTCAGAACTTTGAGGCTAGCTTGGACAAATTAACAAGACCCTGTCTCAAAATAAAAAGGCCTGAGGATTTAGTCCAGTGTTAAGAGCCACCCTGGACTCCATTCCTAATACCACCTGCCCCCCAAAAATCTGTTTTCGACATGCTAATGTTGAGATGTTCTTGAAAATCCAAAGTGGAGATGTTGACAGACGGGGGGATAGGTTTGTGTATAGCACATGGGCTAGAGATGGGAGCCATCGGGATAACCTGCTGCATCCGGCGGAACTTCCTGCAATGTGAGGACAGCCTCCTGCATATCGGCTCTGTGCAATAAGACAGCCACAAGCAACCTGGGGCTGTCGAGCTCTTATGGTGTGCTTAGCGGGACTAGAGAACTAATGTTTTCAGTTTTACTGAAATTTAATTAATTTAAATTTGAATAGATACAAACTGGGCTATCATATTGGACAGTGTGTCAGGCGACAGTAATTAAAGCTGTGGGACCTGGATGACCTAACCGAAGGACAGAGAAGATGAGCAAAAGGGTGCTACACCGAGCAGGAAGGACCAGTAAAGGACATAGAGAACGAGGGGATAGGGGAGATACCATAAAAATCAAAGGGAAAAGTCCACTCCTCCTGGAGGTAGGATACCAGCACTGCATGTTGGGAGTGTAGTCTGCTTTGCCGCAGGGAGAAACAGTCTCTCTCAGTGCATGCTGGGAGTTGTAGTTCCCTTAGTGGTTGCTGGCTGTGTTATGACGGACATGTTAGCAGCAAACAGCTCAACTCAATACTGAAATTTGTTTTTCATTCATATAAAACCCAAACAGGTGGTCGTGATTGGAGCTGGCTGTCTCCCACAAGTTGACTGCGAGCCTCAGGCTCCTTTCCCTGTGTGGCTCTGGAATCCTGTAGGATTTCAGAGGCCTCTTCTTTGGCATTGGAGTCTGTCCTTTGACCAGAAGGAGTGTAAGGTTCATGTGGGAGAGTCTTTTTATTTATATTTCTTTTTTGTTTCATTTTATTTTACTTTCTTCTTATCTTTGTTGAGACAAGGTCTCACTATGTCGTTCAGGCTGGCCTTGAACTTGCAGAGATCTTTCTGACTCAGCCTCCTGCTGGTGGGATTACAAACCTGCCCCCACACCTTGGCTTCATGTAGCACAGTTCTTAGAAGAGGGCCCCAGAGGACTCAGTCACGCGATTAAACCTAAGACAGTGTAGCCTGCGCCCTGGAGGGAATGAGATAGGTTCGGTGAACTTCAACTCAGTCTGCTATGCTGAGTGCTGGCCCAGGCCATTGTCACTGGGAACTGGGGCTGGCAAGGTCCATCGCTGGTCTGTGAGGACTGGGAGGCTGACGACCCCGGACCCCCTTGTCTCACAGGAGAAGGGCTCCACCTTCCTGCAGCTGGGCTCTTCCACCGAGCAGCAGCTTCAGGTCATCTTCGAGGTGCTGGAGGAGTATGACTGGACATCCTTCGTGGCGGTGACCACGCGTGCCCCCGGCCACCGCGCCTTCCTGTCTTACATCGAGGTGCTGACCGACGGCAGCCTGGTGGGCTGGGAGCACCGCGGGGCGCTGACGCTGGACCCGGGCGCGGGCGAGGCCGTGCTGGGGGCGCAGCTCCGCAGCGTCAGTGCACAGATCCGCCTGCTCTTCTGCGCGCGCGAAGAAGCCGAGCCCGTGTTCCGAGCCGCCGAGGAGGCCGGCCTCACCGGGCCCGGCTACGTGTGGTTCATGGTGGGACCCCAGCTGGCCGGAGGCGGGGGCTCGGGGGCCTTCGGGGAGCCCCTTCTTCTGCCAGGAGGAGCTCCACTGCCCGCAGGGCTGTTTGCAGTGCGCTCGGCGGGCTGGCGGGACGACTTGGCCCGGCGTGTGGCAGCTGGGGTGGCGGTGGTGGCTAGAGGCGCCCAGGCCCTGCTGCGGGACTATGGCTTCCTGCCCGAGCTGGGCCACGACTGCCGCGCCCAGAACCGCACCCACCGCGGAGAGAGTCTGCATCGGTGAGTGGGGCTGGGGAAGGGGTGTGGGGAAGCGGGAGCCCTCACCCTGACCTAACCCACACCCGCACATACCCTGGGTCCCATTCCCTGTCTGAACCTCAGGATACTTTCTGCAAAATGAGTTTATGAAATGTGATCGGAAAAATATGAATTTTTAATTTTTAAAAACTTTATCGAGGCGTGGTGGTACACGTCTGTCATCCCAGCACTGAGGCAGGAAGATTGAGGCTGAGGCTGAGGCCCTGGCAGGAGGATCGCCATGAGTTTGTGGCCAACCTGGGCTACATAGTGAGTTCAAGGCCAGCCTGAAATGCATAGTGAGACCTCAAAAAAGAAAAATTAATACCATAAAAGACGTTGTCATTAGCTGCCTTCAGAATACGCTCCATCATTCTGAACACACTAATACCATTATTCTTGCTTGTTTCTTTTTTTTTTTTTTTTTTTTTTTTTGAGGCAGGGTCTCGAGCTATGCAGTTCCGGCTGACCTTGAGCTCACTTTGTAGCCCAGGCTGATCTCGAACTCACAGCGATCCTCCTGCCTCAGCCTCCCGAGTGCTGGGATTACAGGCATGAGCCACCAGGCCCAGCTCTCTTGCTTCTTTCTGAAGCAGTTCTGGGATTCCTGTCATGAATGTTGTTAGCTGTGCAGCTGTAGTAGCCTCCATGTCCTGAATTGATTCAAGATGTTTACTTTTCTGGTCATTTTGACTTTGAAGAACAGTCAGAAGTCACAAGATGTCAGATAAGGACATACTGCCGTGTTCGTACAAACCTGCCATTCCCTTGCCGCTTAGCAGTAGTGGCAAGAATGTTGGGCTAGGGCTGAGGATACAGCTCCGCAGCACAGTGCCTGCCTGACAAGTGTGAGGTCATGAGTTTAATTGCCAGTATATAAAAAAAAGAAAAAAGAAAAGAGAATGTGTGATAAATGTGTTTGAAGTAGAGGGAAAGATTTTGAGGGGGATTAATAGCAATATGCTTTTACTGTAATAAAACATTTTTTAATTTAAATAGTCACCGTATTTCTCAAGCATCCCTTTTAACTGGATTTATTTTCTGGGACTAAATCAGGTAATTTGGAAAGCACCTGACATACTGTGAGTGTATGACTATATTTCATGGTCTAAGTTGCATAATATTTCAAGTTTTATTTTCTTTACATTTGAGACAGGGACTCCCTATGCAGTTCAGGCTGGCCTTGAACCCATCTCAGGGCCCAGGCTGCCCTCAAACTCACAGTAATCCTCTTATCTCTGCTTCCTGAGTCCTGGGATTATGGGCATACAGCACAACGCCTGGCTATAGTTCATAACTGATAGCATTTTAGATTGGATCCTAGTTAGATTGTAAGGCGAGCTTCAGTAACAAAAAGACCTGATGATCCAGTGGCTCCTAGAAGCAGAATTGGGCTCTTCCAACCCGTGACAACCCAGAGATGAGTGGTCTGATCTCCCAAGGTCCCAGGACCACCTCCTAGTTGCCCTGGCATCCCCTACTGTCAGACTGGGTTCTGGGCATGCTGAAGAGGCCTAGTTCATGAGAAGCCAGGAGGAGGAAGTGGGGAGCAATCAATTTCCGTTTATTTATTTATTTTGTCTTTTTCATTTTTATCGAACTCACGACTGCCTGCTTGCAAGGCAGGTGCTTATGCCGCTGAGCTAAATCCCCAGCCCCTCAATTTCCTTTTAAGCGAAGTGGAAGGGTCTGGTCTCGCATCCTATTGGTGAAAATGCAGTCACGTGGTCGGGGCTGGGGTACTGGTTGTTTACCGCGACCTCGGTTCTAATTAGCGGGTGCCTGTACTGTACTGATTGTGAAAGAGGCTGAATGCCACCCCTGCACATGGCTCTGGTTAGCTGCTGGGAAGTGTCAACCTTAGCTTGCTGCCTGTGTGCCCAGTTTACACATTATGATTTTCTGGTGGAAAGCAAGCATCTCCAGCATTGGAAGCTGTTGGTGTGGGGAAACTGATAAGTCTAGTGATAGAAAGGCGGGAGGAGAGGCCGCTAATCCTAAAGTGAGTTGAGTTTGGGGGGAGGTAGGGGTGGGCAAGAAGACCTAGAGGAGGAGAATTGAGGACTGATGGGGATTTGGATCCCAAAACACTCGCCAGGAACTAGGGCTTTTGCTGGGTGCTGGGAGCTGGGAGCAGAGAGATGAGTAAGACTACGGGCTTCTTCAAAGAAAGCAGGGTCCAGGAGAGGTGGCAGCTGGGATGGGCACAATGACAGCGCAGTGTGGCGCTTGCAGGAATAGAGGTAGCACCCGCCTTGCATGGGGAGGGGGAGGATTCCGTGGAAGCCCGGATGTTTCTGGTTGCGAGGAGCCGAGTCTAATCTCAGGTTCCTCAGGGGAAAGGGGGTTATTGGAAAGATAAACATATACAGAGACACAGAAATGAGCGACAGAGGCTAAGCCTAGGGCCAGCCACTTTCATCTCTTTCTGATCTGTCTTTTCAGTCTCTCTCTCATCTTGCAGGCTTGCCTCCCCTGGGGCTGTTCAATTCTTAACTAGAATCTGTTTCCTAAAATTTCAGCCTTTGCTGGCTACCATACATCCCTCCAATCTCAGAGTAAAATGTCATCCCAAGAGAGGATGGTGAGGCCGGGCATGACCTCACCCGGCAGGCTGCATGCCTGTAATCACTGTACTCAGGAGGCTGAGGCAAGACAATCACTGTCTATCTGTCTGTCTGTCTGTCTCTCTCTCTCTCTTCTCTCTGAACTAGGATCTCACAATGTAGCCAGGCTGCCCTCAAACTCACAACGATCCTCCTGCCTCAGCCTCCTGAGTGCTGGAATTGCAGGCATGAGCCACCACGCCCAGCTCAAAATGCCTTCTTCTTATAGAGAATGTACTGGGTGCTGAGCACCAGTGTGGGCCAAAGGACTAGCGTGAAACAGTCTCTGCTGTCACAGAGCTTACAGTCTGACAGGGAAAGAAGTAGCAAACAAACAAGACAAGAAAGAAAATATCACGCTAGGGATATAGCTCAGTGGCACAGCGCCTGCCTTGTAAGCAGAAGGTCCTGAGTTCAATTCCTGGTACTCCTACCCCCCAAAAACAAAAAAAAGAAATATCAGCAGGTGGTAATGCCTAAGATGAAAATAAAACAAGGGGATGGGACAAGATGGGCCACAGTTGTTCAGAACAGGCAAGAGCAGCAGAATTAGGGGCGGCAGTGAGAAAGCCACAGAGCTGCATACAGCCAAGCTCTGGCCTCCAGCATAATGTTGAGAAGTCTGGACTCAGCCTGGGCCCTGGGGAGTCTTCAGCAACCATGAGTAGGGAAGGGGTGAAGCAACTGGGGCTAGGTGGGGTTCAGACTTCAAGAGAGGAGGTGAGAGGTAGACGCTGGAGGCAGAGGTGAGGTCCAGAGGGTTGTGTAGAAAGTGGGAAGGGGCAGAGCTTGGAGGGGGAGAGGAAGGTTCAGCCCAGTGATGGGACAGGCAGTGTGACATCAAAGCCATCAGTGCAGTCAGAGGCCCTCTTCCCAGAAGGGACACTGGAGCTGACTCTGTGACATGAGAGTTGGTCACGGTAGGGCTTCCAGTCAGAGAGAACAGCACCCATAAATGCCTAGAGATTAAAAAAAAATTTATTTGACATGTTCAGAGACACTGCATTCAGTGTGGATTCTATCAAAAATAGTTTTCATAGCCAAGCATGGTGGTGCAGCACTTGAGAGGCTGAGACAGGAGGATTGCAAGGACAAGATCAGCCAGGGCTGCATAGTGAGACCCTGTCTCAGGCAAAGCCAGGCATGGTGGTGCTCGCTGTAATCTTGTACTCTGGAAGGCTGAGGCAGGAGGATCAAAGAGTTTGAGCACAGCCTGGGCAACTGAGAGACTTAATGAGGTTGTACCTTGAAATAAAATAAATAAATAGAAAGTTTTTGGGTAGGAAACAGTCAGAGATGGGGCTCCAGAGGCAGGTGGAGCCAGAACATGCAGGGGCTGTTGGTCCACAGCACCACGCAAGGACAGTGCCCTGAGGGTGTGGGGCAGCCCAGGAAGGGTGTGTTTCTGAGATTTGGGGGGTGAGGGAGCAGAGATTCCATCCCACAGCAGGGACCGGACAATGGAAAGGAGTTTCCTCACAGGCCCTGCCTGTCTCCCAAACAGGTACTTCATGAACATCACCTGGGATAACCGGGACTACTCCTTCAATGAGGACGGCTTCTTGGTGAACCCTTCCTTGGTGGTCATTTCCCTCACCAGAGACAGGACGTGGGAGGTGGTGAGTCACAGGGTCCAGACCCCAAGCACAGGAGAGGGCTGGATTCCGGATCCTCACAGAGGAAGGTTGGAGGGCTTGGATTGGGTGGGGGAGGCAGGACTGGATCCCCAGATCTAAAAGAGGAGGCCTGGATCCCCAAGTCTGAGGGAGGAGACCAGGCCTGGACCCCTGGGTCCTGATGGGAGAACCAAACTGAGGGCCAGGCTCCTGTGTCTGGAAGAGGATGAAGCTGATGGTTCCTAAAAGGAGAAGGGCGTTTATTCCTAAGTTTGAAGGAAAGAAGCAGGGAGACCAAGACTTTCCAGTTCCCTTTCTAGTACCCAGAAAGTCCCCCCAGGAAGGCTGACCCTTCTCTTTGTTAAAGGTGGGCAGCTGGGAACAGCAGACTCTCCGCCTCAAGTACCCGCTGTGGTCCCGCTACGGCCGCTTCCTGCAGCCTGTGGATGACACGCAGCATCTCACGGTGGCCACGCTGGAGGAGAGACCCTTTGTCATTGTGGAGCCTGCTGACCCCATCAGCGGCACCTGCATCCGAGACTCGGTCCCCTGCCGGAGCCAGCTCAACCGAACCCACAGGTGACAGCCCAGGATCCAGGAATTGCAGCTTCAAACGCTCCTCCTGTGAAGCTCGAAATCTTGGTCCCAGCCCCGCAGAGCCCTTCCAGTTTAGTGACTTAGGGGTGCCTCGAATTTCCCCAGGAAGTGCTAACCATAGTTTCAGCCTCGGGGGTCCCTTCCTCCATACTCTCACGTCATGGGGGGAACCTAAGGGAGAAGTCTCTGAGCTCCCCAAACCTGGTCGCTTCCGCAGCCCTCCACAGGACGCTCCCCGCCCAGAAAAGCGGTGCTGCAAGGGCTTCTGCATCGACATTCTGAAGAGACTGGCACACACGATCGGCTTCAGCTACGACCTCTACCTGGTCACAAATGGCAAACACGGAAAGAAGATAGATGGTGTCTGGAACGGCATGATTGGGGAGGTGAGGGGGCGGACCGACAGCGGAAGGGCATGGCCAATAGGAGGACACGCGGCATCAGGAGGGCGGGGCCGCCAGCAAAGTGAGCTTGACAAAGGGGCGGGGTTACGGTTTGGGACGGGGCCTTGAAGGTAGTGGGTCTGGGGGCAGGGAGAGGGTGGGCGGGGCCGGGCAAAGAGGTAGCTCTCCAGGATGAAGGGTCCAGAGTCGTTTCCTGTGCCTTCCCTCCCCACCCAGGTGTTCTACCAACGTGCAGACATGGCCATCGGCTCCCTCACTATCAACGAGGAGCGGTCTGAGATAGTGGACTTTTCCGTGCCCTTCGTGGAGACAGGCATCAGCGTCATGGTGGCCCGTAGCAATGGCACCGTGTCCCCATCCGCCTTCCTCGGTGAGCTGGGGCCCTGGGACAGGGAGCCAGACTTCAGCAAGGATGGAGTAACTGTCCCTAATCATGTGGAGTCAGAAACCCAGGTTCCAAAGGATGTGGGAGTACATCCACATCCCAGCACTCCCAGAGGCTGAAGCAGGAGGGTCTTTCTGGGAGTTCAAGGCCAACCTATGCTGCATAGTGAGACCCTACATGACTCCGGAGATGTGACATCATTTCTGAGACCACATTTCCTAATCTGTAAAATGGGAGAAATCATTTCCCCCTACCAGAAGGAGTTTTATCATGAAATTAAAAGACTGAACTCAGGAGCCTTCTTTCGCCATAACTCATCCCAGCCCTCCTTTTCTATTCATAGTTACAACCTCTTTTCTTAAAGCGAGCCTTCCAAATTGTGTACACTTCAGGCCTCACAAAACCCAAGTCTTCCCCTGGGCCTGAGTGTGAGAGGAAGAGGCGAGATTAGTATGGCTCCAGCACACTATAAGCACTCGAGTCACCCATCTATGTGGCACTGAGTACCTGCTAGGTGCTGGGCTCTGGGCTGCTGGCTAGGACCTAGCACTGAATGAGCCAGACAGATCCTTGCCCTCTAGGAGCTCCAGGGCTCCTCAGGAAGACAGAGGGGAAATTTAAATGGTTACACAGGCCTTTCCACTGGTGACAGACACCGTGAGAAAAGGAGCCAGGGTGAGAGTTGGAGAGAGACCGAGGCTAGAGGGACAGAAGGTGAAGCCTGTGAGACAACAGGCAGACTTTGCAGGACCTCAGATGCTGCCAGCAGAAGTGTGGCTTTTGCCCTTACTGCAGTGACAAGGGTGATTACTCTGGAAGACAGCATGGGGACATAGGGTCACATGTCATCTGCTGTAGGAGCAGGAGGCTAGCAATGAGGCTGCTGCAAGGTCCATGCTGAGAAAGGATGTTGGGTGCAGTAGGGAGGTGGGAATGGAGTGATAGAAGCAGACAGACCAGGGGGTGGGTAGGATGTCGGCCCCAGAGGGGCTGGTAGCTCTGTAGTGGGTTGGGTAGAAATCCCATCTTCTGAGCCAGAGAACTTGGGAGAGATATGCCCAGGGCCCTGGGCAATGGGTCCTCTTCAGCGCCTGCTTGCTCTCCAAAGCTGGAGCAAAACCCTAGGAATGGGAGGACCCGGAAGATGGGGCACCCCTTCCGGTGCATTTTATTTTCTGTAGCTCTGGCAGCCTTTTCCTTGCACTGTACCCGACAGGGCACCCTGAGAAACGCCATATTAGGTCCCTTCCTCCAGGCAGCACAGGGCAGGGTGGTGACAGGGGCAGGTGTCCTGCCAAGTCACCTAGAAGAGGTGACAAGCAGTCCCCAGATGCTGCAGCAACAGCCCAGGGCAATGACCTTGCTGTGACAGGGATGGCTCCGACAGCGTAGGCCTACTTAGCCCTGGGAGGTGAAATTCCTGGGCTCCTGGAGGTGCCGCACAGTTACTGACTGAGAAGGGATGTGAGTGGGGGACAGTTTACTGTGCCAAGCAGGGGAGCCGAGGAGATGAGGTGGGGAGGGTGTAGCTCAAGGATAGTTACAGAGTGGCCCAGTGACAGTGATATGGTCAAGAGAGGAGGGCAGGACAAGGCTTTGTCCTGGGGGTACTGGGAGCCACTGGGAGGGCTGGGGGGGGGCACAGTCACCTCTCAGCCATGTAGGAGTTGGGCTGGAGCTGAGACCCTGAGCCAGGTGTTCCCACGAAGATAGGAAGTGTGCCCACTATGGGCCATGAGAATGGAGAGCCCAACTCGGACCCAGGGGACCCAGCCTTGGGGTAGAGGAGGAGAGGGAGGAGGCAGGCATGGCCTGGGACTGCATGGGTGTGGAACTCTTAATACAGGAGCCTGGGAGCTGGTCTGGGGCAGTGTAGGACATGATGCCCAGAAAATATTTAGGAGACAGCTGAGATTAAGTGTTAAAACCAGAAATGGGGCTGGATGTGATGATGCAGACTATAAACTCAGCACTCCGGAGGCTGAGGCAGGAGGATTTCCATGAGTATCAAACCCAGCCTGGTATCAAACCCAGACTTGAACCCATACTGAGTTCAAGTCTAGCCTGGACTACACAGAGAGACCATGTTTCAAATACCAAACCAAACCAAACACCACAGAAAAGGGTGGGATGGATCCAAGAGACACTGCCTCCCAGGCTTCTGTATGAGCCACGGGGCTGCCCCCAGAACTGGGAACTTCCTTCGCATGTCTTTGTGTTCCCCTTTGCTTGGCTGAGCCATGACACTATCTTCCTTGTCCCCAGAGCCCTACAGCCCTGCTGTGTGGGTGATGATGTTTGTCATGTGCCTCACCGTGGTCGCTGTCACTGTTTTCATCTTCGAGTACCTCAGTCCTGTGGGCTACAACCGCAGCCTGGCCACGGGCAAACGTGAGTGCCATATCTCTTCAGCGCCCTCAATAACACCCTGACCACACATGGAACTACATCTCCCAGTAGCCCTTTGGGGCAGAGCTACAGCCTCAAAGGCCACTGGGAGCTGTAGTTCTCTTTGCTCCCCCAAGAAACAGAATGGACTTGGGGTCCATGTCCCCTCCTGGCTCCCTGCAGGTCCTGGCGGCTCAACATTCACCATTGGGAAATCCATCTGGCTGCTCTGGGCCTTGGTGTTCAATAACTCAGTGCCCGTGGAGAACCCCCGGGGAACCACCAGCAAAATCATGGTGCTGGTGTGGGCCTTCTTCGCTGTCATCTTCCTCGCCAGCTACACAGCCAACCTGGCTGCCTTCATGATCCAGGAGGAATATGTGGACACTGTGTCTGGGCTCAGTGACCGCAAGGTGTGTGGAAAGGGGAGGCAGTGGCTTGGTTGGAGCACTCTGAGCTTGGCAGATGGCTGGCCAGAAGGGCACTCCTCAAGGTCCTTCCCAAGATGAATCCCAGAATGGTAGGCTGGAATGTTCTGATAGAAAGCAGTGTTTTAAAATGGATTTTTAAAATGTTCGGGGCTGGGGATTTAGCTCAGCGGCATAAGCACCTGCCTTGCAAGCAGGCGGTCGTGAGTTCGATCCCTAGTACCGATAAAAAGTTTAAAAAAAAAAAAAAGAGCAAAAAAAAAATGGATTTTTAAAATGTTCAAAGGCTGCTCTAGACTAGTGTGACTCTCAGATAGTAAAACTAGATGGTTCTTTACTTGTTGGTATTGAGATTTGGACCCAAGGCCTTTGCATCAAGCTGAACCTTCCAACTCTTTTTAAATTTTTTCAATTTTGGGGCAGAGTTTCACTAAATTATTAAGTTGCCCAGGCTGGGGTCAAACTTGCCATCCTCCTGCCTCAGCCTCCCAGACTCCTGGAACTACAGGAATATAGCTTATGCAAGGCTCAAAGGATTAATTTTTTGTTTTGTCTCTGTTGGTACCAGGGATTGAACTCAGGACCTCGCACTTGCCAGGCAGGTGCTTGTGCTGCTGAGCTAAATCCCCAGACCAAGGATTAATTTCTGAAACTTCAAATTCATCAAAGACTAGTGCTTTAGTAAAATGCAAGTGTAATGAATTACTAGTAAAGTAAAATTCAAAAGCAAGACATACAAAGGCCAACCCCATATTTTATTTACTGGATTCAACAAACATAAAACTGTCCTGTCCCATGGGTCCAGATGCCAAACCCCATGATTTCTGCTCTTGCCTCATTGTGCTTACAATGTGTTCAGGGACCAGCACTGCACAGAGAGACAGAGAGGTCCACCAGAGTCAGGACCTGTTAGAGGGCTGAGAAACAAGGTAGGTGGGTTGCAATAAGCACTTTTTTCCCCCAACAAGTGGAACAGAATAGTACAGAAATAGATGGTGTTGCGTGTGCCTTACATGGGATGCAGGACCACAGTTTTATGAGACTTTTACTGATAAACACACCCGACCTGAGGGTGGGATGCACCCATCTGGTCACACCTGTTGCTAAAATAGTCTTTGGCTACTGCTGAGCAGATTGGTCAGTGCCAGCTTGGCCTCTGCTGCAGTCCAGTGAGCCTAGGGTTAATGCCCAGCTGCAGGAGCTCCTGGCTTTTCCTGCCTGAGAAGCCATGCATACTGGGTAGGAGGGGAAACTGTACCTGGTATGCTGCCACACATCTGTGATCTCAGCACCTTGGAGGCTAAGGCAGGAGTTCAAGGCCTCCCTGAGCTGAGACTCTGTCTCAGAAAAAAAAAAAAAAAAAAAAAAAAAAAAAACCAAAGAAAAAGAAAAGGAAAAGAATCATGTTTCTTACTGAAGTGAGCAATCTAGGAAACACTTCTGAGACTGGGGCATCTACCAGTTGACAGGGATTCCCCAGAAGTGGGGGGCACCAGGCTCAGGGATGTCCCTGGGGCACAGGCCTCAGTAACTCTGCCTTTTGCTGCAGTTCCAGCGGCCCCAGGAGCAGTACCCGCCCCTGAAGTTTGGGACAGTACCCAACGGCTCCACGGAGAAGAACATCCGCAGCAATTACCCCGACATGCACAGCTACATGGTGCGCTACAACCAGCCACGCGTAGAAGAGGCCCTCACCCAGCTCAAGGCAGGGTCAGTGCAGACACGGGCTGGGCGCAGGGAGGGGAGTGGTACTGAAGCACAGACCTCAGCCCGGGGTGATCAACGGGGGGCGGGGGTCACGGAGATATCTGGCAAGTAGGGTCCAGTGACGTTCCCAGGGTGCAGTAGTTACAGATTTGGGACTACCCTGCTAGGCTCAAATCCTAGCTTTGCCCCTTTAGTGGCTTGGTCCCCTTATGGAAGTGACTAAACTTCTCCGAAGCTCTCCACCTCCTTCTCTGTACTATAGCCTGTCAGGGCATTATAAGAATTAAATTAGTTAGACCACAAAAAAGACCGGACACACCATATCTGCTGATATTATCAGCATTGAACATCAACTCATTAGAGTCAATACTTGGGTTATATCTTTTCTTACATTAGTTTTCTAAATCTTAGTCAAATTTAGTCCCTAAAGTATAGAGGATAGAGGTCCTGGGGTAGGTTTGGCCTTGGTTTCCTGAGCCAAAGCAGGAAAGCAGGTATGGAGGCCATTATGTCATTTCAACCTCCCAAGGCCCACTCCCTGTCACCCTCAATTAGCCAGTCCTTCCTGGGTCTCTGTCATCACCCCTGGCGTGGTTTTAATTGAAAAGGGACCTGGTGAATCTGCTTTAAGGAAGATGGGTGGGTCAGCCCAAGGGTCCAGGTGGGGAGTCTCAGAACCAACTGCAAAAAGCAAAGATAGGCTTTCTGGAAATGGGGAAATCATGCATGCAGTTAGAACTTTTTTACAGGGGCTGGGGATTTAGCTCAGCAGCATAAGTGCCTGCCTTACAAACAGGCAGTCGTGAGTTTGATCCCTGGTACTGATAAAAAGGAAAAAGACAAAAAAAAAACAAAAACAAAACTTTTTTACAAAGCATCAACTCTGTGCCAGGTATGTTACCTGCACTGCATGATACTAATGGGCAGCAAAACACGTCCATTTCTCAGATTGGTTAGAGCTTAAACAGACAGGTCCATCTCTCACAGAAAGCCCAAAGCTGGCAGGACAGCTCAGGGTCACTGCTAACAATCTGAGCTCTTACCAAGCTCACAGCCATAGATCTTTGTGCTCATTGCGGCTGTCTAATGGTCACAAGAAGGCTGCAGCCATTCCATGGAGCACATCCTAGTGCCAGGCAAGAAAAGAATAGAGGATTCTCTGCTGGCAGGGCTTTGCCTTTTTTTTTTTTTTTTTTTTTTTTGGTCTTTTTCCTTTTTATCGGTACCGGGGAGCGAACTCATGACTGCCTGCTTGCAAGGCAGGTGCTTACGCCGCTGAGCTAAATCCCCAGCCCCAGGGCTTTGCCTTTTTATCTGGAAAAATAAGCCACTGATAGGGATTTCTGATGTGTTCCCCAGAACCTCTCCGATGGTACCTCGTAGCTGCAGTGGGAGCTGGAAGTCTATTTCATTAGCCTCCAGCCTGTGTTGTAGAAAAGAGCAAAGGAGGAGAGGGAAAGGTCTTGAGGGCCACAAGATGGTCTCTGTGTGTGCCCTCCAGGGATCCTGCTATTTCTTGTTTCCGATCATGAGAATTTCAGCACCTGCAGGGCCTGCTGTGCTCTCTGCCTCTCCCCAGGCCTTGTTGGGTTTATTTACCTCTCTATTCCTCATCTTCTCCTGGACATGGTCACAGGCTGGGGCACAGGCTTCTGTGACATGAGGCTCTGGATGGGTATGCTGCAAACCTTGGGAGGGTCTGGGGCAAAAGGACAGTGGAGTCTGGTGTGGTGACACACCCCTGTCGTAGCCATACTCGGGAGGCTGAGGCAGGAGAATCCCAAGTTTGAGCTTGGCCTGGGTGACTTAGCAACTTAGTGAGACCCTGTTTCAAAATAAAAGTTACAAATTAAAGATCTGGGGGTGTCACTCAGTGCAAAGGCCCTGGTTCAATCCTCAGTACTGCAGTGGGGGCTCACAGACTCTCACACCATATGGATTTAAACTTGATAAGTTTAAACTGCCAAATAATATATTGCCCCCCCCGCCTTGACAAATATACTGTTCCTTCCTTCCTTTCTCCTCCTCTTTTCTTTCTTGCATATGGAGGTAGGAATTGAACAGAGGGCCTTCTCATGGAGCTACATCCCCTGCCCTCCCTTATTTTGACCCTAGGTCTTGCTAAATCTGAATTTCCTGGGCTGAGCTCAACCTTAAGATTCTTCTGCCTCAGCCTCCCAGAGTGCTGGGATTATGGGTATAACCACCATGCTCTGCTCAAATATATCTTCTTAGCAACCTGAAGGGCTACTAAGTTCCAGTTAAGAAGCCCCAGGACTCTTTTCTCTCAAACTCCCACAACAGAGCTGGACTCCTTGTCCTCCCAGGAGCCGATCCCGTGCCCCTTCCAGCTTCCGGAGGCTGCCACGCTCTTTGGCTCCTGGCCTGAGTCACCCTGACTTCCACTTCCACCAGCACACCTCCTTCTCTGACAGACTGTCTCACCCTCCTCTTCTGTGACTGCCTTGGGCCCACCCGACTCACCCCAGCAGTGGCACCTCATGACCCTCCCTTAGTCCATCTGCAAAGTGTGCTGCCATAGAAAATAACACATTCGTTCCTTGCAGCTATGTAAGACAGGGGCCCACAGATTCCAGGACATAATCTCACCGAGAAAAGTGTATTCTAGGGACCCCCAACCTTGCTCCAGGGGCTCCTCTCTCAAGAGAGAGTCCTAAATAAAAACTGGGCCTCAAGCAAGGCATAGTGGGGCACACCTGTGTCCTAGCACTGGGGAGGCTGAGGCAGGAAGATAGTCAAGTTCCAGGCCAGCCTCAACCTCATAGCAAGACCCTGCCTCAAAAAGCTAAAAAGGTTGGGGGTGGGGTGCACAACAGCACACCTTTGCCCACAGTCTGAGGTGTCGGATGGAGCACAGAACTGGACTTTTCCCCACATTGTGCATTCAGCCATCTATTCCTTCTTTGACAAGTATTTATGGGGTGTCTCCAATGAAGGAGGCTCTCTGCCAGAAGCCTAAGTCCCCGTGTACTTGAAGCCTCCTTTGGAGTGGCAGGGAGGCAGGAACACTCAGTGTTGTTAACATCACGCTCGCCCTGTAAAGTATCCTGGCTCTAAGCAGCTGACCACAGGGATGTCCTTGCCAGGCAGCCTCCTTTCTCCTTTCCCCCTTACAGTCCTGGGTGCTATGGTGGCTCCCACTGCCTGAGAGTTCTGACCAGTCCCCTGGGGACACCAAACAGCAGTAAACTCCAAGGCAGAGGGTGCTGGATTCCTGGGGGTGAAGAGGTACACCCCTTACTCCTGGTGGGCCCTGGGGTAGGCAATTCAGTTCCTGAGCCTTCACTTTTGCCTCTATAGTGGGGCTGGTTTACAACCTCTGTTTATCAAGTGAGGGCAAAACAGTTCAATGTCCTAGCTCCACTGGGGAGACTCTGATTGGGCCAGCACCAGTCAGGTGTCCACAGCAGGACCAATCAGTGGTGGCCAGGGTTGGTCATGTGCTGGACAGGACTGCAGCTCCCATAGAGAGCACAGGTTCTCAGGGGTCCACTTTGCAGGCTCCTTTGGTCAAGGAAAGCCTCGGGTTCTTCCCAGGGCAATGGTGCACATCTGTAATCTCAGCACTCTGGGAGGCTGAGGCAGGAGGATTGAAAATTCTAGCCCTGCCTTCGCAGTTCAACAAGACCCTGTCTCAAAATTTTAAAAAAACATTTTTAAAAGGCACTGAGGATGTAGGTCAGCATGAAGGCCCTCAGTTAAGTGCCAAGTACCACATTACCCATTCCCCCTCCCAAAAAAATGGGTAAGATGTTTTATGTTTGGGGGGGAAGGTCTGATATGTATTGAATATTCACAGTGCTTTTCAGTTTGGATTTGCCATCAGCAGCCGCATCCAGGGGCTGTCATGCTGGACTGGACAGTCCATGCAGAACTCTCTCTCTCTCTCTCTCTCTCTCTCTCTCTCTCTCTCTTTTTTAAAGGGGCTTTAAAAAAAAAAAAAACAAAAAAAAACTATTTTCTTTTTTGGTACCGGAAATCGAATCAGGGCTTTGCACTTACCAGGCAGGCATTGCACTGCTGAGCTACATGCCCGGCTCTAGAACTCTCTTTTGTCTTTTTTGTTATTTTCTTTCCCCTTCTGGGACTTTCCTTTCCTCTCCTCCTTTCCCTTCCTTTCTGTTACCTCACCTGCAAATGTCATTCAGGGGATCCTCCTGCCTTGGGACCTGGGTGAGGGTGGGTCAAGCCCTTGCCTGAGAATTCCATAAATTCCTGGGTTTCCCAGGTTCACCCTGGCTTCAAACTCTTTTTTACTGATTTAATGCACTTTCTGGGCCATCTCACTGGCCTGAGCGTGCTTTCCCTGACACAGCCAACGATATTAGTCAGAATCAGGACCCGCAAAAGCCCCCACTCTGAGTAGGGAAGGGTGGTGCATGCCCGTAACCCCAACAGTGAGGAGGCTGAGGCAGGATGATTGCCCTGGGTGTGAAGCCAGCCTAGGCTACATAGTGAGTTCAAGGCCAGCCTAACTACATAATGACCTCCTGTCTCACAATAAATAAAAAATAGAAGTGGAGTTTCATGATGTATCTTACTTAACCCCATACATTCAAAATCATCCTTGGCCTTGCCACAATAGTCAGTACAAACATGGCCACGACCCTTCCCTTCTGATTCTCCCACACAGTCGGTGTGTGGGCCAGGGCAAAGCTGCCCCCTGAACATCCCCCAGCACCCCAGACTTTCCCATTCCCTCCCCTCACTCCTGCATCCTCCCCAGCCTCCTCCCAGTCTTAGAGCCTGAAGAGCTGACCTGAATGTGACCAGCCAGGCAGACCTACCACCTCCTAATGAGTCCAAATCTGTACCTTCCTTGACTAAAGGAACCTAGGGGACCTGTACTTTCCCCCATACAGACAGCAGCCACATCCCCAGCCTTTACGGAGTGAAAAATAGCTTGAGGCCCCATCGCATGTCTTTGTGTAGATGTTTTCATCATTTATTTTCTTTTAATTTTATTTATTTGTTTATTTATT